CATTATATGTACTAAGTTTATTTGAACGTTTTATATATTTTTGAAATTTCCCTATAAATGTCTATAAAAATCCGCAATCTCAGCAAACAAATATTTCTCATAAAATATAAACTGCAAAATGTTCCATTACAGACACAAAATCGGCTACCAAGTCTCACACAACTTCTCAAGTACTCGAACTTCATTTTCAACTGATCACAACATCCTCAAACAAACTCTCCGTTACTCTATTAGAAACATTGACTCTCTTTACCTGTTGCTGATAGTGTTGATTATCAGTGTTCCCTTTAATTACAGCTGAAACGGCGTTGAAAACGCCAACAAGGAGAAGCAGCCTCACCAAACGATATACTAGCCCGTTCAGAGACATGTTCCCTCTAGTTGGAAACGAAGAAACCGGAAGTTGGTACAGCCACGGAGGAGTAAAACGCGATGACTCGGAGAGATACTTCGTCGCTGTTTCGAATAGTTTCTCGTCACTGATCCGTATAGTTGTTGCACGTAGGGGGGAAAGCTGTGTGGAGCTAGCGTCAGAACAAACTGGAGATTGTGTGGCGTCGCGACGCGCGGCGTCCCTCTTATAGTCGCTAGTCCAGTCCGCGATTCGTCCACGCTGCGCATCCCCAAACGCTTGCAACGTAACTATGCGACGATAACGCTGATAAAACGACCTGCGGTTCGCCTGCACACCTTTTTTACCCGGTGTGTCGAGGACCTTTTGAGGTCGCTGGATAAAGATGGAAAGGACAGAGGAGGCTGATAAATTTGGCTTCGATAGAAAGGGAAAGAAAAATTAATTATCATGGATAAATATAGATGATTGATAGAGAAGAAGAGTATTTCGACACGATATTAATTGGTACAGAATTTGATAGAATATATTATTATACTTTGGATATTTGACAGAATTTGGCAAAATTTTGGATAAATATAGTTTATGCTACTTGGATTTAAACTACATACTTTTGTTAGATTCTTTTGCATTCGTGGCAAATATTTCTCAATAAAATATAATTTTGATTGGACAGAGAAACAATTTAACATATTTACTTGACTATTGTAACAATGAGGCAACATTTTTGTAAACTTAAAAAATCAAGTTTAACATGATTAATTAGTTCTCCGTTCCTTTAGCTTCATTGGGCCAATGATCAAACGCGCTGTAAACTTTTTTCTTCTTCTCTTTCATTACTTCGTTAAGGTGAGTCCAGTGAACGCAATAAAGTACACCATCGTTATAACACACAGAAAAAAAAAAATACGAGATTACTGGTTATTAAGCTTTTCTTTCGAAGAAAACTTAGTAAAAGCTCAATGATAAAAAAAAATGTATATGTATGTATATATAACGAGTATAATTACTTTGATTTATATACAGGACTGATATAAATGTAATATAGGAACTGATAAAAATATAAAATACAATTAATATTTATGAAAATTTCTATTTTTACAAATATAAGTGGGAAGATGGAATTTAAATATGTCTAAGAATAACTAATTAAGGAAGTTGCAACGTTGAAAATCTGCATGTCATTGATCAGAGAAAATAGCATGAAAAATTCAAGCTTGCTAAAAAGTATGTAAATCAAAGAGAAAATGTTCTACAGTGATAATGCCTCCAGGGAAATAGTGTCTTGAGAGAGAAAAAAAAAAGAGAAAAACTTACGTATTTACATAGATTGCTCTCTCGAAAAAAATCATCCAAATATTAAGTTTGTTGCATTTTCTACCAACAAGATTTTATTTGTTTCAGTATTGTTGAATGAAATTGTAAAAAAACGTCATGTCATATTTATGGAACTGCGAGATAAATAGGAGGTTTCGGACTTAATTAAGTTATTCCAACTCAGTGGTTGAAATTAATGATTTTATCTTTTAGGAGAACACGAATGCAACTGAAACGAGTGTCTGCAAGATAACAAGGGAATAGTATAATATTGTGGCTGCAGTTTGAGACGACAGGACGCTCGTGTTACTGTCACATTTGCACAAACCATGGAATTCAGAGAACAACGTGGATATACAATAACAAGTAGTTTTGACTTTCTATTCTCACGCAGTGTACAGAATTTTCTTGTCTAGAAAAACCAGAAAATTCTTTTATTTCTTTCATTATGGAAAAGAGGCACTTTTGTAATATAATCTTTATATTGATGTTTATGTTTATTGAACAGTTCTGCTTGTTTTACTAATTTTATTAATGACATTTTTTTATTTCAAAATCTTTCAGTAAATATGTTTCATTTATTACTCTCTCAAAGCGTATAAATATGTGGTTAAATCGTATAGTTGGTGTATGTTTGTTTGCCTGAAGACAGGGGCGCATACATTATACATACATACACACAGGTACTTTAACTTTAATATTACATCAATATACTAACTTTAATATTACACCATTATACTAATAATTTATAACTTGCGATTTTCTAATATTTCAGAATATTTGTGCTTTTGCGTGTAAGAGTAATGCATACTTATTTTATTTATATAATTTGTACTACTTGTAAGAAATCTTTTTCCCATCTTACTCCAACATGTATTTATGATACACTCTATAAAACGCAATGGAAGGGTTAATTCAACTTCTCCCACCACTTCTCGAAAGAAGGAAATTATTGAAGCGTGATAAGTAGACTGCAATAGATATTGGCCTCCTGCAGGAGAAGAACGACGATCTCCTAATATCTGCCAACTGCGAGAAAGATGAATATATATGCCGAATGTACAATATGGCCGCTTATGTTTCATCCCCCTCGGGACTAATATCAATTAAGACCACTGGCCGTGATGTTTATCCATACCAGTAATTGCCATAAACTGTACCAACGATTGCGGTTCGCCTGTATTTTCCGAAAAGACACCTTCTCCAACTGAATTACGTTTACTCTGGATGTTGAACATTCGTCGCTTTCTACGACTTTATTGTTCCTTTTAGATTTCCAAATATTTGCACTTCTTCAGGGTGTTCTCACACATTCACGTTCCTTTACTGTAGAATTTTTTTCTTCCCTTTTCTTACTTGAAACTTTTATTTTATTTGCTTTGCTGCCCATTGTTTTCAAACATTGTTTTTTCCTGTCCCAAAGAAAATTTGTCCTTTTTTTCTCTCTGTGCTTGCCATACTTCATCTTTATTTTCTATTCTATACATTTTTCATATTCACTTTATAATTATAATGTTCTATTTTATATCATTTCTGAATATTCGGAGTACTTCTCCATGTCCAAATCGCAATCTGAAATAATATTCGTTACCGAAAACGGAACAGTCGTTCCTTTCTTCAAACTGCTTTGACAGAATCAAGAAGGAAGCGTCTCACAATGTGCACGTGGTCTGAAATAACGAATAAGAAGCAGCAATAAATATTTTAATTGAGCATGAATAAGAATGCAGGATCGACGTATTTACGAAGGTATTGATTATACGAAGTGTTCCGGTCGTTCTACAAGAATAGATTCGATGGCGTTCAATGGGGAACTGAATTATTCACTGGGACGCTTCTGAATTTTATTAAATCACGTTCGTGAGATTTACGAGCGCGACTTGGGGAGCCACGATTGTTTGATCGTATAAAACGTTCTTTTTTTTCTTCCTTTCTTTTTTATTTGGTTCTTCTACTTTGTTTACTGCCGTTAATGCTGACAAGAACGATCGCAAGCTGTCCATTTTAATTATCAATCATTTATCGGTTCTGAATGATAAAAATCAATAATCTATTTGGCAATCCAAGAATTTTTAATACGATACGAGGAATTATTAAAAAAGGTAATAATAATTTTTAATATACACTTTTTATTATTTATTTAATGCCCAATGTCATTTGCTGTATTTTCTAATTATAATTTTTTTTTTAAATAATTGTATAATAATTATTGATCCATTTTTGTGCAGAGGTAAAGATAGTTTCATTAGTTTTACTAGACACACAGTGGAGAGATGAGGATGAAAATTGTGAAATGCTCATCTTTCCAAGGCAAAATATCGAAATTAAGTCTCACTTCCTTTTTTTCTCTTTTAGAGTTTCCACGCATGTTCCTTCCAGTTTTCCTCCCTTTGTGGCTGCCAGTATAAAGCAACACGTGAATAATTTACGTCAGCAGTATGTATAAAAAAGAATTCTAGTGGTCTTCATTAGTACTAACATCGCTCTCTTTTGTTCAAGAATTTGTTATTACTCTGCTGGAAGGAAAAAGACTTCAAATGACTTCAACACTTATAAACGAATGATAGCTGACGAATACACTTTGTTTAACTGAAATTAAAGAATGAGACCTTTGCTTGAAAGAAAAATATTCTTGTAAAACGAAGAAAGAAATTTCTATATTTTACAATTGTTCAGTTGGATTGAAAAAAAAGAAACGGAGATAATTTTTACAGAAAATAGCTATCGGAAACAAATTTGCGGAAGAAAATTGTTATAATTATCGTAAAAACTTGAAGAGGTTTTTATTTGGATAGAAAATTCAACACCCTATCTTGGAACGATCGGGAATTCAAATAGCTGTGGTCAGACCTACTTTTACCACTTGAACCATGATATAACGTGACAGCTGTCTGACTATGGCTAGGAACAATCCACTGACGTTCGTCTGACATGCATGAGGTACACAATGTAGGAATGGAGATGCAGCACTGACAAAATTCAACTTCTCCAAGTATCATTAGTGACATTCTACAAGCAATAAATTTTCACAATGACACATAGAATTTATTAAATTTTATCTGTTCGTAGCTAGACGAAAATTAACTGACAATTAACTGACAGACATTTACATGTTTATATAAAGATGTATTAATAAGATTTGATCAGTATCAAACTTTTATTAATCGCTACAAATTGTCAAGAGGAGTTTTGCTAATTCAGTGAGATTTGAAATATCAATATAGTACTTTATTTTATTCTTAATTATACTATTATACTATGTATAATTAATCATACTATAAATTTATAATTATTCTTAATTATATTATAAATTTATAAATGTCTATTAAACTTGTACAATAATATTTAATGAACTCCGTACCTCGCCATGAAATTCATTACACATTTCAAATTTATTGTATTAATGAATTTTACAATGAGGTGCAAGATTTATTAAATTTCATCGTTTCCTTAGTGCGCAATGAGATTGTCCTAGAAAGGTAGATGGAACTCAGTAGAGGAATTAGTGAAAAGTCTAAGCAATGATTGTCATCGTTGAAACGATTAGGGACGAAGCGGCGGTGGAAAAGGTAAATCTAAATGAGAAGGTTCTATATGGCTTCTGTCGTGCCAGCCATCTGCCACAGGATGAGCATGGTACAGTCCATAGTTAACGCCATTTGTTGCTATTTTCTTTAGACCTTGGATACTGGAGAGAATCAAGGCCATTTTGGCCAGGAGCAACGCCTTGCCACCGAGAACCGCGAGGAACTGAAAACCCATTGGTATCAAGATCGAACCCATCAGCAGGAAGCCCATCATCATCAACGGCACCATGTGGTTGTGTCTGCGACGGTGACGTCTGCGTCCTGATAACGAAACGAGCGTCATTAATGAGATGCTTAGAGATAACAAGTGCTAATGTTCCTCAACATATTAAACAAGTACCTATCTATGGGAAGCGAATGGTGAATTATGTTATAAATTTTCATATATTAAATATTTGTATATAGGTAATGTGGATAAATATTTGATGATAACGATACAATTTAGAAATAGATTTTTTAAGCAAAATTGAATGATTTTGAAAAGATGCTGCTGAGAGCTTTGGGAATTCAAAATCAATGGAACGAAAGTGCAAAGGGTGAGAAGAGGTGTGAAAATACAACGAGAAAGCGCCAAGTTTTGCGTATGGAAAATGAGGATTGACAATTCTAAGTAGTTCCAGCGTTGAAATATTAGAACAGAAAGTGAAAATCTATGTGACAAACGAACCTTCGAACTTGTAACTATCTACGTCGGTTTCTTCGTTATTAACAAGGGAAATAATATGACTGGTGAAATGGTCCACGTCCACTTTGAACACGTGAGTACGTAAAATTCGTAACAATCGCTTCACAATAACGGCTGTCCAATTGGTATCATCTCCTATTTCACTGAAACGCAGGAAAAGGATTGTAAGTATTCTATATTCCTTAATTTTATAAAAATATAAAATCAAATGGTCGTTGAATGCATCAAATAAGTCGGTACTATTATTACAGATTCACTGATACTCGAAGTGTATAAATTTTGTATGATTTTACAACTGGATATGAAAATTCAATTTGGTATAGAGATTTTATAACTCGGCTGAGAGGGCTTCATGAAACGAATGCAATCAGTTTCAATACAAGTTAATCTGGACGAGAATTGCAAAAAATGCCTTAAACGTGGGTTGCTTGTCACGTGAGATTGCGTGACTTGAAATTTGTCCGCGGAAAATGCTGCGGCGCTCCATTAAAGGTCCGATATTTTTCCTGTCCGCAAGAAATAGGGCAAGACGGAATAACAAACCGTTTTGTGTCGATGTACAACCAAAGTTCCTAAGCTATTGTAAGTCAAAGAAACAACGAACCAAATATCGTGAATTAAAATTACGATGACAAACTCTGAACAAATTGCTAACTAATATCTTTTCAATAACAATTCAAAATATAATCTTCTATAGATTAGTACAAAAGTGAAAAGAAATTTGTGAAAGAAAACAAATACTCCTGACTAGTACTTGAGGATGTTTTTAAACTTTTCATTCGAAATCTAATTGATCTGTATGTAATGAATGAAACTTATGTAAAGGAAGAGTACGAGAATTTCCAAAGGTATAAAAATTGAAATCAATATTTTTGAATATTTATGTAACTTTGAAATAATTTAAAATAGGAGTTACATTTTACATTTCTCACGTGCGTAATAACTATTCTTTGAATAATCATAATTCTCCAGCTTGAGAATTGCATGGATTTCTTTCAGGTGTGAGATTGGTCAAGTTTACAGTGAGATTTCCAGAAATCCTACTGGGATTCAAAATCTATAATCTTTTATGCAGCTTGTTCTAATATTGATTGAGCTGTTGGATAAAAGAAATTAGACAAGAGTCAGGTTTTTCTCGAAGAATTCGATAAGAAGAAATTCTTTTAACTATTATTGACGTGATACAAAAGAATTATTTTTTTAGACAAGGCAATTTTCCAGGACATAAATAATAACATCAATACGGAAATGTAGAAATTATTACTTTTAATAGAGAGGAGATTTTCCATCAGCCTCCTTGCAAAGAGGACGTTTAAATTAATTAGAAGTAAAGTGAATTAATAATCAGAACGATATTTAGAGAGAAAAGAGTGACATTTCATAAAATGATCGATAGGAAGTCAACTTTTATGGGCTTTCGTAAATGCGAAGTTTTGAAGTGGAAAGCGAAACTTCGCGATAACTTTCACGTCCTAAAACTTTTCAAAATCTGTCCAACTTTACGTCCGGTGTCAGTTGTATTTTTCTCGAGATTCTCAATTATTTAAAACCAGTCTAAAAACCTACAACTTCTCTCTGCTTCTATTTATTCAATTCTAACTCTACATCCAGCTCTTGTGGATCTAATTCTTTTTTTTTTTTTTTTTTTTCTTCCAAAAACGATAAAGCTTAATTTACTGGATTTAAACTGAATGCTTATGCATTTATGCAAGAACTAAAAAATGCAAACATGCGCAGAATACATGAAATATATCCAGGGTACTCGTTGCAATTTTTAATAGGCAAAACAAGTACCCGCTTAAGTCCTGTTTCTTTAGTCCATAAAAGTGCAAATTTACAAGAAAGTTTATTACTGCCTTCTTCGATTCCTCTACCGATTCTCTCTACTTACTCCTCACATTTGCATACCTTCTGTGCAAATCCTGAAACGTAAAATCATTGATACACAAAAAAATGTCTAAAATTTCCAATGAAGAACTGATCATTTTTTACTGACTGAATGCTTTTTTTTCTAGTTTCTAGTGTGAAAAGCGACATTATTAGACAATGATACTCTAAACTTAATTATTTATTGTTATTCTAAATTTATGATTTATATCTAAGTTTATTAATTAATTGAAGTCATGAACGTCACTGTATCAGCGCGTTGATTCGCTATTTACGTACCTCTCTCTGTAATTATCCGTAAAGTTCCTGTCTTCCTGGAATCTCACTAAATCCAACCCCGCGAAGACTGGTATAATATCGTCGGTTAAAAGGGAATCCAAAGCAGCCAGCGCATGCTCCTGCACGCATTTGCGAAACTTCTCTAGAAATTCATCTTGCCACGAGCTGTTCCAGGATTCCAGTGGGCAATTCTTAAGCACAGTACGTAGGCCTGTGTACCACCTCGTATTGTCGTCGCAACAAGCGCCATCAGTCACAAGGATGACAAGTATAGACATGTAGAATGCACGCGGGTGCATCTGCATTCAGAGGAACAGTCACCGAGTATTAAATAACCGGTGGTAACTTGCAGAACGATAAAGCTTAAAAATTCAAGAGTTCGCTCAGACTACGACGTTTCGTTTCAATCCGCGTAAGTTACAGTAAAAATTATTTTTTTCGAGTAGCAATTTTGCTATGAAATTATAATGTGATGTAGCGTTTTTTTTTTTTTTAAATTCAGTGTCACAATAATATAATATTTATTTAATGGCGTGAAAATTGAAGTGTTTAAAGTGTTGTTGCTTAATAATTTCTGAGATAATAATTTGTACTGATTTGGGATGTATCAATACTGTTTCATCGCATTATTTAACAACGACAATGTCAAAATATCTATTCTTAATAAAATTAAAATTCTCTAATAGAAAGTTTTGCATATGCTTAGGAAAATTTGATAAATTTCCTTTGGATGCGTACATTTTGTCTGACTTAATTTGGAATATGAGACTTGCTTTAATCAATAATTTGCAATAATTTACAGTATACTATACCAACACTATATACGTGGAGGTGTCACTTTACAAAATCTAAAAATTAATTAGAATAATTACAATACTTTCTTCCCAGATGTTCACAACTTTTTTTTGCACTTTTACAGCTTGCTAATGGCGATCCAGGCAAATCTCCAGCTACCCTCGTAATCCAGATTCTTTGTTCACTGAATGAAATGAACTTTACCTCGAAACCACGAGCGCACCACTGGAGATATGTTCTCCAAATCGGTCGCGATACACATTGAACGTTCGATCGTGGCTACATAAAGATTTATACGTGCAGGAAATAGGCTAGGACATTGGCCAGGTGGTCATTACGATTCATCGAAGGGCAACAAGGCAACAGTTAAAAGGCGGCACTTTTTATGCTCCAACAACTTTGTTCTCGTCGTAATCATCGTCGAACTCTTACAGAGTTGCATGACTGATACGCTCAGACCCTGAATTGCTCTTTCAACTGGTCAGTAACATTCTGATGATTGAATATAATATCTAAAAAAAAAAAAAAAGAAAAGAGAGAAATGAAACTTTTTAAGATGACAACTAACTTATTAAGAAGAACAAAATTTAAATAAATAAATCCATGTTAATAATTCTGAAAAAGCAAAAGAAATTAAAGAAAAGAAATAATTATATTAAATTTGAAATGCACAGTAACTACAGAACTAACATTGAAAAAGATGTCTATACCCTCTTACAAACAAATGAAACAATTAATGATATTAAGAAATTATGGGGAAATTGCAAGCTTCAAGTTGTACACATTTTTTTATACAACGTTGCAATTCTGTGTCAAGTAGGATAATTAGATAATTTGCAGTTTGTAGAATTTCATTAAAACCCAAGCAGATTAATGTCACGCAAGAATTATTTATGATACCAGTTAGTTGTAATTTGTAAAAGTTAGTTTAACTGCGCAAGAGGATCCTGTTAAATTTTAAAACGTACGGCAATTACTATCAGAGCCACACAGTGCTTCGCAGTGCTTTCTTTTTTTTCTTTCTTTTCTTCGCAAACGGTGAACCACCGATACACGTTATTTTTCCAGTCCGGAAATTAATGCTTCGATACAAAAATTGCTAACTGTAAATTTGTATTCCGTAAGAAAACTACAGTACTCGGTATCCTTTATACCATAGATTTGCAAGTTTACGGTAAATCTTCCACTAACTCTACTCTGGAAAAGTGAGGAAATGGGAGAGAAGATTATGAAGACAACAAATTTTTCAATTTAAAAGAGTAAAATTGTATAAAAGAAATACTTTTACAATAGAGTTCCAAACTTTATTAAGCTATAATAATATAACGATTGAAACTATTAATTGCAAATATATGTATTTGTCATAACTGTTAACTTCATATCCATAATAAAAAAAAAAGTACCTAAGCTGGATCAAACAATACAATTTCTTCGTTTCTACCTAAAAACTTTTAAAAAACTTAAGGTAAAAAGGAATGATCTATCAATGATTCTTCGATAAATTCATTGCACGAATCACGTGTTTTAGAAATACAATAGTATTTCCCGAAAAATCATAAATGATTTCCAATTTATTCCTCGAGGATATTCGATGTAAAAAATTGATTTCTCGAGAACTGGAAGAAAAGAGAAGTACCTTCTTTTAAAAATAATTACATCTCCTCGATGTTTCGAAACTATGGTTTGATTAAATAACAGATAATGAAGGATCATAAAAAAAAAGATATACCTTTTAATAAATATATGTTTCATCTCGTATAAGTTTTAAACCAATAAATAAGTACCCAAATCCCCATAGAAACACCTAACGCATAGCAGTAGTTGTTTAAAACTCACATCTTCCTAAATCTTTATTTATTCATTGTTCAAATAAAAAAGTGAGATGAAATATATCTTCCTCGAACGAAGCGTATACTTTTCATCACATCCTATTACTTTCTACCTAATTAATGCGTGGTTTTGGAATATCTTGTATTGCAAGTTTTTATTAATCACAGAACTATAATGATCTCCTTCGCCAAATACGCGCATTTGATTGCCATTTTTTTCTTGATTATCGTAAAAAAGTATTTAATCTTTCTGTAGGTATTTAATCCTTGTGTTTCGTTTAGGTCTTACAAACGTACGAGTTATAACTACATATCGAATAATTATCCTCGGCTATAGTGTCACAATCCTCGTTGACATTTCCCTCTGTGTTCTTCATTCCCTTGAGACGATACTTGTTCCTGGGCATCCCAGAACTAATGCACAACTCCAGTAGAGCCCATTCCTCGATGGAACCGAGCGAACCTTCCTCGCTAAGGGAACTTACTGAACTATGTCTCGAAGGTACTACATTCGACTTCGTTATATTCCTACACGGTTCGTCGTCGTCGTTTTCATTTAGAACCGGAGACCTACAATTGGGAATTTCAGAACGCGATGTATTCAGAATGTTTTCGTTCATACTGTTATGTTCGTGTTCTGAGTGGAGAAATTTCCTAGTGTAAGATGGCACAGGATTCGTTCTTTCGTATGTACTGATTCCGCCGTTCTTAACAATATGTCTCCTACTTTCCTGAACTTTCATAGGGTGAAACGTGCAGGGAGTTCCTCCATGTAGATAAAAATCACTCTCTACGGATTTATGGAGTGGTTGAGCTTGCAGTGTCGGATTTCTTATCAGACACGGTTTGTTCACGTAGTAAGACGAAGTACTGGCAATGTTTCTCGTTTTCGGGTATTCCAGTTGTTTCTTTACAGACAGCAAGGATGAATTCGACGAAACGTTCAACGCCTGCGAATAATAAAAGACTCGTAAAATTCATTTATGAAAAGAGAATGAAAACATTTTTGCGTTCCTTACCTTCGGCATACCAGATTTAATACATTGAGCTAGCATGATGTCTTCCTCTTCTTCTGAGAGACTTAAATTGTCCTCGAATGATACAGACTTCTTCGACTGATCTTTATTATCCTCGGTATACTCCGATTGTCGATATGATGTACACAACGACGGTTTTCTCGGTTGTATTATCTTCGATTTCTCTGCAATTTGTGGCAACGCTCCTATAAGTGTTGAAATATTCAGTTTAACCTAAAATTAGTAGACAATGGTTCGTAAAAAAAATATTTCAAATATAATCCAGAATTAATTAAACGAAATAAAGAGGGAAACCTTAGGTATGGCCGCCCTTATGCATTCGCTGAGAATGGCTTCGTCGTCCGAATGATTCGGGCTGTCGTCGAAGAGATCGTTTTCGTGCTCTAGCGTTGCACGACACATCGGCTTTCGAAGAACAGAATTTTTGTTACCACTTTCGACAGGAGACGATGACGGAGTTCCACATATGTTGAATCTTTGTGACAACACTTCTGTTTTTTGAACAAAGGGAATACAACTAGTTGGCGGTGGAGTTATTTGCCTAACCTGAAACAAACATAATATGATTAATATCAAATTTAAATGTAACTTCTTTACAGTTCTTTACAGTTACACGTACTTTTGGTATCCCCGACTGAATACATTCGTCAAGAATCTTTTCATCTTCACCAGAGAGATTAGAACTCTCATCCGACAAATCGTTTCTGTGACATTCGACTGCATCCGCCGAAGATTTAGCTTCCTCGATTCTTTCTACGTCTTCCTGAACGCTCGGCATGGACAGGGCTGAAAGATTCGATTGCGAACCCACTGGAGAAATGTCGGCTGGTGTATCTTCCGTGCAATAAACATGCACGGTATCTGAAGCAGCAGCAACCTCTATCGCAGACTTGTTAGATTTTGATGTGTTCACTGGAGTATCCACGGAAGTAGGAACGGCAATAGGAACTGAAGGTTCCAATCTGTTTAAAACTGGTGTTCTCTGGCAGCGTACCAAGATGTTTGACGACTCGGATTGTATGGGTTTTTGGACACTGGACGACTTGAAAGATTGTCTGTATCTACAATATATTTAGAAATATTAGTACCAATATCATTGACTAGCGAAATTAATTAATAGTAATGATACTGTATGAAATGTATTTTAAAAGTGTCTTAGAATATCTATTCTTTTTGCTAAGATTAAGATTGTATTTAATAAATAATCCTTTTTATACGCTTTCAAATAATTTAAACTTTTAGTCATTTTTGAAATATGTGTGCAATATGTGAATAAATGAACGAATATAATTGAAGAATAACATTACAAAAGATTAAGGTACCTATTATTTTGTATTCCCATACTGATGCACGCAGCTAACATGTCTTCATCATCTTCGTCCCCATCACTCACTTGCTCTTGATCCTTTTCAATTTCTACATTGTTAACTTTCTCTTCTGACGAATTTTCTTTAATATCTTTATCAAGCTCATTCGGTGATTCCTCTAATTCATTCGTAGGTTTAGGAATATTCATTTTGGGAATTTTCATTTCATCATCAATAGTCAAAGAACTAAGACTGGTAGCTGTGGAAAATTCAATAGGAGTTGACTCCTCTTTAAACGTGGCGATATCGTCCTCAAAAACACTAGTTCTCGGCACGTGGCACTTTGAATATGCTGAAAACAACATCTGATAAGAACACTAGTAAAGCGTTAAGAACTTTACTGAAATTCCGTCTAAAATTCTTATATTAATCTTTCACTAACGATCAATAGCATTGCATACATAAATGTCGAACTGGCGGTCTTACTGCTTCTTCTGGTATTTTGCCTATAAAATCCGCACATTGGTTTTTGTGATTACGAGGGCTTGGAGGAATAGTTTGTGTTGGTGAATCTGGTAATTCACTTGGTGATACAATGCCGCTAGTCCTGCGACTGTTGAACATAAGTTTATTGGATTGTCAATTTTGTTGTTATTCTTCGAGTGTTATTTCTAAAAATTACCTGAAATCACTGATAATGGAACTACGATCGTCATGTATGGAATGCTGTTCAAATCCACTCAGTGAACCTAAAGAACTACAACGTGAGAACATTAAAGGGGTTTGCTCTGCATAGTAGTCTTGCCTACTAAATGTAACCATTTTGCCTGAAATGAATCAAAGAATCAGACCTCTTTGTAATACTTCATAAAACTTAGACTAAATAGGATAATACCTTCTTTGTCTACAACTCTGGAATTATTTTTGCCTTCTGTGGAACTATCATTTTCATCAGAAATACGGACCACGGTACGATCTGCTCTCTCTGACACATTATCAACTTTGTCAGAGGAATCTGTAGAAGGTGCTTTGGAAATAATGCCAGTAGCATTATTTCTTTGTGCTATTGCACTGCCAAGAGAAGACAAAGAAGGAGCACGTGAAAAACCATCAGACGTTCCTGCTTGATAATAATTAATTAACTTCTCATTAGAAAGGCAGTTAGATTTACATGACTCGGAAGCTTTAGAGGTCTCCAATTCTTTCTCAACAAGAAGCGAACGGTCTTCGTTACAATTAATCGGCATTGTATGTTCATAATTCAAATCTTCCTTACGGTTAAGCTCAAGGATTTTCTTGTTGAGCTTTTTCTGCGGATCTACAGACTCCTTTGCATCCTCTAGACGCAAATCAGACATAGAAGTTGCAGTTGAAAAGTTAAAAGGCGTTTCGTATGGAGTTCCTTCAGTGCAGTAAGTCTTCACAGTGTCTTCCTGCACGCTTCCAGGAAAATATTCGGGACTTTGTTTTTCGTCATCGTCGGTATCGTCCTCGGCGTATCGTAGGCTGTAATCTGTCGGTTGATCGAGATCAGTTTCAGCATAATCTCCAAATAAGTCAACTTTGGAATCACGTTCGCCGAATTCTTTTTTACAAGATCGATCAGTTCGTGCGGAGTTCTCAGTTTTCCTTTCGCTGTACTTCTTACTGTAATCCACTGGCTGCTCGGTTATTTCGTCCTCGTACCTTTGCCCCGTGCTTCTCTCCATATTGACGTGTTTTACTATTTTACTTCTTTAATTACGACAGCCTTTTCGTCGCCAAAAAGATTTGTTTATAACGTTTAATTCAATCGATCAATTAACATGAAAACACGAACTGTGAATATCAGCGAAGAGTTTGGGTATGAAGAAAAATCATTGATGTCCCTTTTAACAATTCAATTGTTAATTATTTTCACAATTCTTGACGTCTACGTTGACCACGTCGCATGGTGCAAGGCAAACCGTTGACATCGCGCCGCATAATACCGATCGCGTCGATCGCAGCGCGATCTGAAGTTGTTGGACCAACTAAACGAACGCACAGAAACATCTCCAATATCGTCGAACAACAAACATTCATGAATTAAAACACTCATTGGAATATTTGCAATTGTCGAAAGTACAATATTAAACAGACCACGAGATTGCATAAATTATTACAATATAATACATATTGCTTTTTTTATTTTGGGAAATGTTATATAAAAATACAATGAGAACATATCTTGAAAGTCACGTATGGAAAAATGGTTTATTTTACTTTAATACTTTTGTATCTAATCAGAACGGAATTTGAAGAAACATCTTTTATGAACGCGTGCTCGTGTGTGTACAAAGATTGGTCATACATCCATCATCTTTTCTTTAATCTATGTTTCATAAATGTACATTTCCTGTCGTTTTAACCTCGTCCTCTTCCTGTCTGAGAGCCTCCTGGTTGATTTTGTTGATTCAACCAAGGTGCAGAGCCTGTGCCTCTACCTCTTTGATTCTGTCCTCTACCTCTTCCACGAGCTAAAACAAATTCACTTGAATGAAAAAACAGACAAAATGAACACACTTGTACAGCGGCTCATGAAAATATTGGAACAATTTATAGAATATTGGAACAATTTATAGAATATTGGAACAATTTATAGAAAACATTCTGATACTTCACTGGTACTATTTAAGTACCTTCATGAAAGTATAAATACCTTCATGAAGGTATTCACTGTGTGTTCAAATATCTTTATGAAAAGCTATAAATCTCACAAAACGCTATATATTAATGAATACATTAGAGAGATGTTTATGCAAGTTTGTATCTCTATCGACATAATTAAAGAACTTAAATCTAAATATAAATTGGTTTGTTTCTCTTCATTACATCACAAAATTCATCGCGCGCATTCTACAATGTTTGTGGATTTCCAGATTTTTGATGTGTGCATAAACATCTATGAATCTGTTAACGAAACATAAAGTAAACTTTGTTGCTGTATTGTTTTATATATATTCAAACAAAGACTTTTAAGTAATGAAATATCTTATGAGTAAACCTTGTGCACGTAAAATCGCCGATTTCCCTCTGCCGGCAGTTCCTGAGCCTTTCCCGCCCGGTCTCTTAAACATTGGCGCATTTTTCAACATGTCTGGTAATATAAGGAACCTAATTTTCGAACCTCTGATATAAACGTTTTCTAATTGCGCCTCTCGGCCGTCCCTGTAGGTTACAGTGATATTCTGCATTTGACAGTTCATATTATCTTCAGCTTCTATCAATTTGCCGCGGTATACCTCGCCAGTGTTTGTTTCACAGGTTATGGTATGGCCCTCCGCTTCGTGGAGCACTTTTATTGGTACTCCAATCGACATTTCAGCGAAATTTTCTTACAGTTCGGACAACAGACACGAGATATTACTCGACTGATTAAAAATCAAAGGTCCTTTCGGTCAGAAATGTTGAAAAAAAAGATATATATATACACGCACGCTACGATCCAACCCCCCACCTTTGCAAACGTTTGCACTAGTCACTCACAGTCACTTGCTATTATAGATGGCGATCAACTGTTGCGCATGCGCATCAGATAGAATTACAAACAAAAAGCGCGAACAGAACACGATTATTGTTCGTCCTCTCCGCCGAGTCGAACATTAATTATCAAAAATAGAAATTAGAAGCGTACGAGGATAATGATTAACCAGAATGACGAAAGGAATCGATCGGTTTGTTCAAACTTCTCACATTAATTTCTCGTAATGTAATTTTTCCCTCGCATAGAGAAAGAAGATCGCAACAGCTCTCTATTTTCCATTTTTAAATAATCATCATATTTATTGGTCATTAACTTCCGAATGTTACCAACTTCGTGATAGCACGCTACGAAGTAATCGTCAAACCAACTTCGTCTCGCAAATATTTCATGCCCAATAATGTTACATCTCACGATTTGGCTAAACGAAAGAACTTATTTCGTGCCTCTTTACGCGTCTTATTGTCCTAAGGTTTTTATCACTTCTTTTATTCAATCGCTAAGAGGTTATCTTAAAACAATTATCACTAATATGTTCGACCGACAGATTACATCGAATCGGTGAAAAAATGGCAGACTCATATTCGAAATATAATACACGATATCAATTCGAGAAAGTTTGGTCAAATACCAAATAACTTCATCTGCCTCATCTTCTCCAGAGTGGTAAATTTATATATATATATATTTATATATATATATATATAATTTTCTTGCTTGTTAAATATACATAAATATAATCAATTGCATAATTATAAATGGTGAAGAATCATCAGGAGAGAGATCGATATAGACGATCAAAGAGAGATTTATTGCAATTTGTGAGGGAGATACGTGGAAACGAAAAAAGTAGAGCAGTTTTATTACGGATCGCGTAGAAACGAATAACACCAAGAGAGATAATTCCTTCTTTCCCATCTACGAAAGAACCTATAAAGATATATATCTAAATATATTCTTGTCAAAAGGATGGCAAAATCGTAAATTGAGATGCGTAATATATATTAAAGTCGACGTCTCACTTCTCTTCTCTTAATCGCTTAATTATACTAATATCAATCGTGTAATAATTACAAGCATCGTTTATGTCCTTAATATGTATAGTCAGCAACGAGCACGAATACGTCGCTCTAGTTTTTTATTCATGTCATTTTTCCGGTGCCATACTGTACTTTTTTTTTTTTTTTTTTTTAAATCAATATCGAAATTAATTTTTCTTCCCAACATTCACTCGATCGTTCATACTCTTCGTTTTCTCTCTCTCTCTCTCTCTCTCTCTCTCGTGTCTACGCATGTGTCATTCATTCATTATAGGCAAGATTCTACTCCCCGATATCGTGTTACAATCTTAGAAAAATATGCTATGCCTAAAATAGGATGAAGGCCTGAAGGCAACTATTCCGTTCAATATTATTGATAATCGGTGTGCGTACCTCCTCTCTTTTACATGTCGCTTCAATCAGTTGACACTTTTTTCCCCTCTCTTTCCCTCTAAGGTGCGCGCCAGAACGAAAAATCTAATGTATCACCGGGCAACCAAACCGAAGAAAATAATTGCAAGGCTATCTCAAATCTCGTCCATCAACGGCTGTTAAGACTCTCTCTACAACATGCAAAATGTTAAATAATAATCGTATGATTTCAATACATGCATTACACAAAGGAGAGTATCAAATTGGTTTCAATTGCTCCTTCGTTCGTAGCTACTTTGGATTTTATCTCCCTTTCAAAAAGGTATCGCGGTCAATGATTTGCACAACGTTGACGACTGATAATTGATCAAGGATAACTAAAACTTAAGAGAAATTTAAGCGTCTTTGAAATTCTGGCGCCATGCGGAGAGAGAAAATAAAAAGACGATGCAGTTGTAAAGCCCTAAGCGAGACAACGTAAGATACGTTCTTAATCGTAGTTCTTCTCAATTGAAACAACATACGATTTTTATTTATAACATGTTTTTTTTTCTTTTTCTTTTTTCATACGACGATTACAAAAATTGAAAAATCGTGACGACCGAGAAAGTCTCACGCTGTACACATGATAATATATTGTCCATAGACATTACGTGTGTGTGTGTGTGTGTGTGTGTGTACGTGTGAAAATCACGGCAAATATAGAATATATGTAAAGTTTCCCGAAGAAATCGCTTTCTCTCAGTTAATTCCCTTTCGTTTTCCAAGAAGTACACAATCGCATCAACTATCGTAAAATAAGGACCATCGATAACGTGGCACTGAAATTAAGAACGATTCACTTTATTCTATTTAACGTAATATCAATACAAGAGACTTTCCGTCTTTATGNAAAAATTAAAAAAAAAAAAAAAAAAAAAAAAAAAAAAAAAAAAAAAAAGGCGAAGAATCAATAATAGATTAGAAAGGAAAAAAAAAAAAAGAAAAACAATAAAACGCAATTATTCTTAAAGACAGAGCAAAAAAGACATGGTGATATCATACACAATGTGACATTTTTCGTCTCTCTTTCTCTCTCTATATATTATTCTCACTCTCGCACGCTCCCCCCCCCCCTCTCTCTCTCTCCATCGACTTGTCTTTAAAATCGCAAAAGACCCAATGTGACGACTATCGATTATTTTTTCGCACGCTCGAAAGAAGACAACGATCCGTGAGAAAAGTAACTCTCTGTTTTGGAAAACTCACGAAGCAACAAGGAAAGTTCGCATTCTCCTTGTTTGTTTTCTCTTGTTTATTTTTATTCTTATTCCTTTTTTTTTTTTACAACAAATTGCTTCGTGCAACAGTTTGTTTTTCTCCATTTTTTTTTTGTTTTGTTTGCATTTAGAAGCGACATAAAACTCATTATCTACGGCAATTTCTTTTCTTTCTCTCTCTCTTTCTCTACGACCTAATCTAAGAGTCAAGAGACACGCTGAACAAAAAACTGAAACGCACGTTTCTTTCGTGTTATTGTTCCTTTTCTTTTTTTTTTTTTTTTACTATTTTTTCATTTCGTTAAAAAGTATTGCAACACGGAAGAAAATGGTTAAAGACAGACGGAGAAATATTTCTCTTTTATATATATATATATATATTTATATATATATAAATCAATACAACAGGGCCGATAGTCGTCCCTTCGTCGAGGGGCCTCTCGTTCGTTATTTTTCTTTTAAATTTCTGGTTGGCCTTTAGACGTTTCATCGTACAAAGTGTATTTTAGCACCAATATATATACGCAATATAAATTTCATTTAGAGACGAAAGAAACGAGAATACCAACTGGACGAGTCACGTGACACAACCTAATTTTCTTCCTAATCTCGACATATCATTTTAGGGAATCAGACGAAGAATTATTATAGGGCTCGCCATTTTATTCTTTTTTTTTCTCTTCACCTGGCGAAGATAATTGTTAACGCGTGGCGTAAATAATTGATTTGCAATATAGTTTGAAACATATTTAATGAGGAATAATGCTTGGTTATATTCACGTGAAATTGGACATAAACACACAGTACTACTTATACTTCATTGCATTATTTATGAATCAATAGACTAATGTACTTAATAATTATTAGACTAATTGTTAACCTAGGATTGTGATCACCCATCAACGTCAGCCGCTACCTAAGCAACATTCCCTTTTTTTTTTTTTGCTTTTTGGATATTATGAACGAAACAGAAATAGATTATATACATATAAAATTTTCTTTATTCACTCGCCCACGCTCATCCGCTCGCGCGCGCGCGCTCTCTCTCTTTCTCTCCCTCTCTCGCTCTCAATTCAAAAACCCAGAACTCTCGATGAGACATCTCGAAACAAAATCAACCAAGATCGCACCAAGAATTCGTGTTCTTTCTTCTATAACGTTTAATTTAAAAAAAAAAGAGAAAAAAAAAGAAAACAATCACTTTCGTACGCAAATTTTGCATTTTCTTTCTTTTCAAGTAAATTAATAAACATAAAGAAGAATAATAATAATAAAACATAATAGATAATAAAGGTAATAGTAGTACTAAGCTGGCAGCGCGCGCAGCAGTGTTACAACGAAATATATTTTCGATTAAAATCTCTCGCTTAAGATAACAAATCTGACATGGCACTAGCATTCAAAAATTTTCTCAAACCCATTCGTACACGCGGCACTCACTCTAATTTGTTTCTTTGTTCATCTTTTTGCTTTTCGCATTAGTATTTCTTTCCTATTTGTGTTTTTTCTTTCAATCTTCGTTCGAAAAATTTCGTCTATATATCTTTTCTTTTCGGCGTTTCTATATATATATATATTATATTTGCAATGTCGTGTACAAACCAATTTGTTTTATAACTTTTAAATTTCCCATTCTCTCTTATTTTTTCCTCTCTACCATCACAATAAGCTTGCAACTTTCACTCTTACTTGTTCTAACACATTTATTACAATTTTCTTTCTCTCCCTCACTCTCACTCTTTCATACTAATTCCCTGCTACCTTTCGTTCATGATCCTCACATTCACCCGTCTTGCCCCTCGACGTGCAATCAGCTGCCAGATAATTTATCTCGTTTTTTTCTCCGTGTTTTTGTTTTATATTCTGTTTTGTTTATATAGTTATATAACCATTTTCCCAACGATCTACGCACTAAATAGTTCAAATTTTTTGCACTTTTTCACCAACAACAACTGGATTGTTGCGCCGAATCTCTTGAGCGCCCATTTCTCTATAATTGAACTTGCAATCGTGCTTGTCACTGTATCGATGCACAGAGCAGAACAGTCCCCCACAACGGCATTCGAATCCTGTGAAAAAAGAAAGAAAATCAAATAGTAAATTGTTCAAAATGGATTAAAACTGTTTTCTCGTTGTCATTGCCAACTCACCCGTCAAACCAACTTTTTTGCGACACACGGCGCAACGATTTTTCTTCTTCTTAGATTCTTTGTCAGTCTCTTTGCCATCGAAGCAGTCATCTGCATCACCACTACTCACAGATCCTTCTGCTACTGCTCCACTGCTTACACCTACTTCACTTTCTTGATCTTCTCTATTTATCTAGTACATAATAAAAATAAAATTATTAACTATGTTTTAATGTGACAATATGTCTTTTATATATATTTTCATATCTATTGTCAATGTTTCATTTTGTACAGTCATACATAATATACAATGCATAATAAATTTGTTTATATCTCTTTAAAAAGATATCAATGATCTCTTTTAAAAGATCTCAATGATTATTACTTTTATATATTTATAGATTTGTTTGACCAATGACACACGTATCTTTTTATATTATTATTCATTGTAAATAAGCTGTTTTTCTTATCCAATTATTTCAAAGTTTTGTATTATCATCAAAGAAATCTCTTTACACAGAAATAAAGATCATTACTTTACTAAATGTGACTATTTCTTTCTTCTTTGTTATCATTAACCCGGGATTATCCACCTGGGGGTCTAGCGCAGGTACATCCTGGCGACTAGACCCTCACGTGGGTAATCCCGGGTTAAACAATACAGTTATAAACCACATTTATCCATATTAATTGCAGCTATGTTTTATAATATTTCTTAAAATGGATGAACAAACTTATTACACAACCTAATATCTACATGTGTTTGAAACCTTAATTCTCTTTTCTAGGCTTTGTATGCTAACTGTAAGATAAATTAATTTTGTAAAAGATTAAGTGTTACATAAATGTAACTTAAATGAAACTTACTTCTTTGGGGTTGGGCAGATCTGTCGTTGATTGAGGTATGGTAGGAATGGTTGGTTGAGCCGTAGTTCCTGTAGCTGCAGGACTACCAAAACCAGCTTGCAACGTGCCAGCGTTGCCAGAGACGGTCTGTGATGTTGGTACAGTGGCAGCTGACACAGGAGGTTGCTGCTTCTTTTTTAGATTTTCTTTATAACAGAGAGAACAAAGGCCATCCGTGGCTGGGGAGCCATAAAATCCACAGCCGCTGCGGCACAGAGCTTGCATTGGATTAGATTCTCGCTCCATTTTCTTTATTTATCCCAATAAAACCTCGATGATAGAACAAAGTTCTTAGTTTTATCCTATGTGCAATCACTCGAAACAATGTCGAGCAAATTGCAGTCAACTAAATGGGAGATAATTAAAGTTCTCTTGCCACAGCTCGCTCTCCAGTTGCTCCTTCACAACCGCGTGTCACCATACATTCACCTACCAAAATGCATTTTCGTTTAACATCTCTTTGTTTCTCACAATATGCAATTTTAAGTTTGAGATTAAGATGAACTCTATGACAAATTGATAGGCTTTAAAACTAAATTCATTGCGTAAAGCTAGACAGAAGTTTATTCAACGATGACAAAGCACAAACGTTTAAATTTAAAAAAACTCTTGCACAGATGCTACATTGCTAAGATGATTGAAATCACTACAATCACTACAATCACTACTCGTTTAATTAAGAAAATGTGTCCAGCATGATGGGTCTCAACAATAGTTTAAAAGAACAAAGGAAAAGAAAGGAGAAAAAAAACAGAGCGATCATTGCACCATAATAGACACATTACAAGGAATATCGTCAATCACATCCGCACTGTCTCAAGAAAACCAAACGCACGAAAATTTTCATGTTGAAATTTCACTTGCACACACGCGCGTACACAACGAGGAGTCTATACATAGAATAGACGAGAGAAATCGTCAGCAGCAGCGATATCTTGAGACAAGGACCGTGTAGAACAATTTCGTGCTCACGGAAGAAGAAAGAGAAAGATATACATAGAGAGAGAGAGAGAGAGAGAGAGAGAGAGAGAGAGAGAGAGAGAGAGAGAGAGAGAGAGAGAGAATGTGTATGTGTGATTCCTCCAAGGGCAAATAAAACCGACAAATCGGGCAACAAGAAGCAAACACAATTGATAATGACGAGGAAAAGAAGAAAAGGGAAAAAATTGAGGCAAAAGGAAGAAACGGAAGGATTCGAGGGTTTTTCAACGCGTTGTCATAACCCTTCTCTTATACGATCCGATTTTTGTCTCCGGCGCAATAAAATCGGGAATGATAGAGAGGCGTGATCGGAGGGAAACGTGATATTACTCACTTTCCAACACGCAGTCGTGTTGCAACCAACGCACAACATGGAGTAAGAATTCGTTCGAGGCATTTAAGTAGGTTCCCCTTGTCTATCCTTATCGTGTTCAAGAGACACGTTTAGAAGACGTGTGCGGCAGTTTACTACGACCGATTTTGGTTGGTCGTCGGTCGGGGCAACTCTCTTCCCTTCTGAGCTTCTGCTTGATAAATCTCGGCGGCGCAATTCTCGCTTTGGCCACTCTCTCGCGATGCGCGCATTCGCTTTGTCTCTTAGGAGTCGTCTCTCTCCTTCCCTCTCCCTCTATATCTCTCGCTCACTCTCGTTCTCTCTCTCTCTTTCTACCAAACTAAAACGAAATGTTACCAAATAGCTCTCTCTCTCCCTCTCTTTCTCTCTCTGTTCCTTTCTTTCTCTTACCCTCTGTCTCCTTCTCTATTACTCTTTCTCGCTCCGTTTCACACCTTGTGTGTGCAACTTCGCAATCGAGCGTTCGATATTACTTCAATCCGAGGAACCTGCAAGGACGGAGGAGAAACAACGATAACAACGATAACAACGACGGCGACGGCGACGACGACGACGACGACGACAACGACGAGGACGAGCCGAATGTTTTCATGATGGCGATCGTTTGAACATACGGCCTCTGGGCGGACGTACAACCGACGACGGACTGCGCACACTTGCTCACGATAAGGTTAGGTATTATAAAGCGTAATTTACCGAGGTCTCGCCTTTTACCTACTACCAACCATTAAAGAATGAAATATCCCATTACTGTCACTTATCCCTTTCTGCGATTCAGACAATGCAAGGTACAATGTAAACAGAATGTTTGGAAAATTTAGTCGACTCTTTGAGAAAATACTTGAATTTCCGCCACTTATTTTCGTTGCTCTTTTTCTTTTTCTTTCTCAAATACTACACACTCTCTCGTTCCCTCTCCCAGCGCTGCGCATGCGCAATTACACGATCGTTCTCTACGTGATAGAGGTTTTCCAACCTCTTTCCAGTTTTTCTTCTTTTTTTTTCTTATCGCGTGGGACTACACAGTGATCACGATTTCTCACAAATGGATAATTAACACGTAATCCTCAGGAAATGTAACGATACTGTCCCTGGTTGAAGAACTGCACAACGATATGTGCTGCACTATTATATTTCTCGATTGGATCAGTAGATGTCGTGGCATGATTTCTCAATGATACCCATGTAATATAATAAAACTAAAACTAAAATTGTTTGATGTATGCCGACAGATGCGAAATAAAATAATAGAAAAAACTACTTTTTTTGTTTTCTTAGCTGACATAACCTCAAAAAACATTTTATCTTCGACACGTAACAATTTGCTTTGCAATTTCTAAAGAATTATCACAACTAAACTACACAAAAAATTTACGTTGAATAAATGAAAGTGAGATACTTAAAAAAAAAAAAGAAATTACGCAATTGTAATTAGTAAAAATTGTGCACCAAGAGTCTACAAAATTCCTACGAGAAATTACGAACTGATCACTTTGATTATCGTAGTAAATACGTATGTAGGTACATCCTGTACGTCTTCACTTTCACTAAATAGAAAAAGAAAAAGAAAAGTTTTCTTTCGCACATTATGAAAAGAACAGAAAGTTTACTAGATAAATAACAACGAAAGGAACGTTACGTACATTACAAGATCGAGGCAAAGATGTCAAATATTTTAACGTAAAGCACTCGACCTGTTGCTCAACTAATTTCAAAATGACCATCACCATAATAATTAAAAACTTTTTTCCAGTGAAAAATATTCCATACAACTAAGGATCAGTTGCAATTTGATAAAAATTCGTCATAGAGAGAGTATTAGAGGAAGAAAGGAACGGGATTTGAATCCGTTAGTTTTTTAGAATTGGTGACGTGAGTGTACTAATTGAAAGCCAAATCAAACGTAAAACACGTGTTAGGAAGTGCCTTAGAGAAGAGAATGCTAATAAAAGAGATTTTATCCTCATTTAGTTATAGACGGTGTTTGAACGTCGATGGGGCATTTTATTTCAATGTCTCACAAGACATAACTTCTTTGCTTTGTTTTTGACAATTAATTTCCTTGTATCCAATATCATTTAAATGCTTAAAAATTTACCAACGATTGATAATTTATGTCTGATAAACATGAAAACTATATTTAACATTAATGTACTGAATCGTATAACAAATATATAACTGATGATACATTGAAATTAACAATAAAACTATATGACGCAAGCATCAGAACTTGCTGCGACACAAGTAAACGGTATTTTTTTACGTCGCCATTTTTACACATCAATGATTTTTAAATTGTTTCAATATTCCGGAATAATTGACACAGACGGGAAAGGCAAAAATTATCTTTGCCACGTGTCGTGATATTTTCATAGTAAATAAATGCCAATTTATACCATTAAATACAATTTCGTGTATAGAACACGAAAGATGTTAAACCAGCACCATCACCGTTGAACTTATTTGCAATTAGACCGAATGTAATTCAAACATTTAATTTTCGTGAGTAATACGATAAAATACATTACCTAACAATGTGTTTTCGAGCATTTCGGCGCCAATATTTCCAAGTGGTATCGTTAAATTAATCCATGTTTTCACAAACATATTTTCACAAAAAACAAACAAAAAAATCAATATATTTAATCCATACAAACATACAGTAAGCGGGAACTAATAAACGTCTTGAAGATAATTAAACGATTCTCACTAAGCTTAAAAAAAATTCACGTAATCATTTCGTGCATGTATTTTGCTCTAGGCATACTATGAAATTTAATCAATCGTCACTTGTAATCGTCATCAATGTAAAATACTAAACTCGGTCCAATGTCCCGATATGACGTACTTATCGCGCCGACAGTGACAATAACAGTCGGCACAGCCAATTAAAAACACCGACTTTAATGAGAGTTCCGTTTAAACGGGCAAATGGAATTAGAAACACTTTCTAACGGAAAGTAACTAGCTAGTTCGTTACGAGGGAACGCGCGCAAATTGAATGTGGGACGATCATTGACCGAAAATCACGTTCGATTTCGATTTTAATATTAGGAAAAATCGTAAAATGTATATGGAAAGCATATTTTCTTTTTTTTCTTTCTTCAATACACTTCAATACACTTTACAATTTATTAACTATTAAAATTTCCGGAAATGTAAAATTATGGAAAATTTCTACATAGTGGGAAACTACTAATTGGCTGTAGTAATCACTCTGGTAATTTTTGCATTAAACACGCGTTTGACTCATTTCTTGACAATGACGCGTTCTGCGTTACTTATCTGAAGTTCGCTTTCGTTCGATGCAGAAACGTCCCACGTTGCTCGAAGGCTAATACAATAAAAATTACTCATTGTGAACAACACGCAAGAACAGAAATGGCTACCATCGGCGTCATTGTATAGATTATAGATCATCGCTGATTTACATGAAGATTTAGTTCTTAGCTTGATCATGCAAGAACAAACGTTGAACAATTCGAGTTCAATACACACGATATATGCACGGCATTTGCATGACGTACGCGTAGGAATACTTTTTTATGCAAAACTACGCGATTTCATGTATCAAAAATTATGATCAATTATAATTACAGTGATATCGAATGGAACACTTAACATTCTGTTAAGTGTAATGTAAACTGAACAAATTAAAAAAAAAAAAAAATAGAATAAATTGATTTCTAAAAAGTTTCTCCTCAGGACGTGAACTTTATATTTTTAAATGCTGATCGGTCTTGGAAAGATCAAGAACTGAGGAATTTCTTCGATACGACGCACTATCTTCGAAAAGTCAGACGTAAAAAATTATGAGGAATTACTTCATTAAAATCGAGATTGCGTCAAAAAGATGGCTAAAAATTTCAATAGATCATAATATGCGACAACGAGAGGCAATGAATAAAGATGATCTAGCATTATACTTGCAATTTTATTTTGGTTGTCAGTCACACTATCTCGCTGTTCTTACGAAATTCGACTATACAGTCCAATGACACGTGGTAGGAATATCTTCCGACGTGCGACATACATGGTCGACGATTTTAAATCGCATCCGTTGAAAACGATAAACGACTGATTCACCTTCCGTTAAAAACGGTGTTTTACAAAAAAAGAGAGAAAAAGAGACATCTTTGTAACTCGTTGCACGTGAGGATTCAGTTCGTCGGGGACGAAAAAAGAATCGTAGCAATTGATAGATCCGAAAGAGTTCGATTGGCGCGCGCTCACGCGCACGCTTACCGACAATCGACAGTGAAATTCCTCGAAAGCGTTATCACACCGCGATGTTATTCCACTTGTAATTCCGCGTGCAGCCATTTTACAGTATCAGTCGCGTAGCGGAGGAAAACGAGGTGTGGCTCGAGTATGGTTAATCCATAGCCGACATAGCGCAGCGTCAACCTAAGTCGCTTCCATCGCAATTGCTCAACACGCCTAATACAATTTGACGGTTTTATTTAGACTTCAGACTGCGGCCTTCTTGCACAATACGACCAATATCACCCGTGAAAATTGTACAAGCCACGAGTCATTGTCAAATTCTCTTACATAATGAAAATTACACGAACCACGAAATCGTCTGAGATCAATTTGTTTTCAGTTCTAACGAGAGATACTAAAACTGCAAAAAAATAAAAATAAATTATTCCCAACTACGACTTGCGATATACTAACAAACTGTCGGACGTCTCGAGAAGACGACGATTGACTTGCTCGACCCGAAACCGTAAAAACGTGAAATTCCTAACCTACAATTTTCGCAGTGTATCAACATACTAACGTTACTACTTGATAAATTATCATACAAAAAGGCTGAAAGTTCGGGATATGTTAATTTCACGTGGTTAGCGAACAAACATGGAAAATTCTATGGAAATCGATCAGTAAATCATAAATCGTTTCTTGTTCACGTAGCTGCCATAGCTTGCGCATAGGTGCTCGATTTTATAACCTCGTCAATACCACCTACAGATATTTTCCCCTGAACAAGAGAGTTGCGACTGCTTTCCCAAGTTTTAAGAGATTCCGTCGTATATATCAAACGGGGTAAATATATGCGAAACATGTACATCCAAATGAACGAACAGCTAGATTACTCAGCACTCTTCCTTCGATACAACCATGGAGTCGAGGAGCCCGAACTCCGTGCGACGAGCACACACGTTCGAAGAAAGTTTTTTAGCAACTTCGATTGACCTCCACCGACCGTATTTGCTCGAGTAGAAAGAATTTCGGGCGTTTCGCAGAGAATCGCATCCATAACCTCAAAACGATATCGAAAGTTACAACTCGTTCGAGATACATCGTCTGCGGACGAACATCGGGAGTTCTTGAAACTCGTGTTTGAAAATTCGATTTGCGGGACGTTCGTACTGATTCCTAAGGTATTGTGTAACTAAATTAGTCGAGAGAGAAAGAGAGGCAGAGAGAGAATGCAGACAAAAGAAACAGAATAAAACGAGGATCGCTAGTTTTCAGAGTGCACGAAGGGCCAAAGGGAGGGGATTTAAGACCAGTGCGGATGTGGGTGCACGGAAGGGGGTATGAAAATCGCGGCAGAAGAGGGGAACAGAAGGGAGAATAAACGCGTAAGTGTGGATACGCGGTTGAATCGTATCGGCGTTGCCGTCGTGCGGGCACACGGCCACATATTCACTCACTTATTCACTCATGTACGCACGCACTCACGCAAGCAAGCGAACAAGCAAGCACGCAGTCAAAGAACACGGAGAAACGGAGCGGACATTAGAGACATGGCTCCTATCCTTGAGAAGTACGCACTTGATCAGGAATTGCGCCGTTTCCTTTGTCCCCGTGCGATATACATACTCTGGACGTCTAGCGTCGGACATCTTTTGACGAAAGAGAAACACCAGGGAGACAGGGAGCGTGAACTCGAAAAAACGGTATAAAAGCGAGAGGGAACGGGGAACGGGCCGAGAATCAGGCTGGTCGTTGAAAAGAGGAAGGGAAAAAAAAAGAAAAGAAAAGCAAATCGAACGTTGAATCGAATCGTGCGGTCAACACGAGACGTATTCGATAAAAATAGTCGACGTTGTGGAGCAAGTAGCGCGATTGCGACACTTACCAATATCTGTTGTGGTGTAGCAGGGCGCAATATGTCAGCTGACTTGACGTGTGACCGATCGTAATCCTGCATCAGTATTCGACATAATTCTCAGCGGAGCATCAGATCCCTTCGATCGCGGAATCCGGTTGAATTTCGACTTGCTGTGCCGCGCAATCCGCACACTCACAAAGCACAAAAATATATACCGTGTACGCGTATCTAGTAAACTAGTTCTTTGCACCAAACTCTCGTCTACGAATGACGGACGATTCGAAACTGCGGGCACGGGAACAAGTACTGCCGATGACTGGTGTAAAGTTAGACCTCTACCCTCCCCCACTCTGCACGCCAAGTGTTCAGAATCAGGATTGCCAAACTCGAGCTGTTTAATTGAGTTGAGTTTAGCTTAATTTCCGCGAGGAGGCGCTGTTAAAAACGCGCGTTGAGCATTGAAAATCGGTGCTTAATGGTCACGATCTGCAATTGCGTCAAGATTGTACGTTCAAATCGATTTTCATTGAAACTTATGTAAAGATTGTAAATGATTTTGAGATACTTTTCAAATTCGTTGTTTATGTAACACGATCGAAAAATTGTTGGACTGCATTTGTATAACACAAACTGGGAAATGTCAAGTAAAGCAAACCACTTTTTTTTAAAGAAAATGACATAACGATGACGGAATTTCGAAACTGTATATCGAGAATCGAAAAGCAACTATCTGTCAATGGAAACTACTCTAAGCGACTTCAATAGCAATTAAATTTTAATTTCACGTTTCTACATGCAATGAAGCAAACTTCGCTATGAAACAAATTCATTATAAACTGCACGTTATATTACTTTCTGTTATATTTCGTAAATTCCTGCAACTAGGTATTCGTACCTGTTACATTAAATCTATATTCTGACTAATGTTATTATTTCTTGTTTTTTTTGGACAAGAAATAAAAGTAAATTACGACCCTATCATTTATAATGTAAAGGAATTAACAAAGAAAAGTAATTCCTTTTTCTTAGTTATGAATGAGGTTATGCTGCACATGCTCGGTCGTTTGTGGCGAGTTTCCATTGACTATGCTCAGCCATGTCATAAGTATTAAATCTACAAATTACTATGTTTAAGTTTCATTTAAATAATTATTTGCAACATGTTTGAACGAAAGTAGACAAATAGAAAAAGAAGCCTTGGCGTTTCAAGCGATTCAATTAAAAATTGTATTCTTGTAAAAAGATGCTTCATGGTTAGTAACGCGAACTGCTTTCATTGTACAATCGTGTCAGTGCGTTAAGTTGCATTTACAGTTTAAAACGGTCGGTTTGCCTGTTTAAACGTTTGGTAGTGTTTCTTTGTTCACCTGAAATGCAAACTGATACAGCAATTGTAACGGACGTATTTGTGTGAAAATAGAGAATGCGGCGACCCATGCGGTATTAATATACTGGTACTGGTTTGGAATGGAAGTAGAAAATGCAAGATAGAAGATCCTTAAACCAAGAGTACTGGCCGTGTAACCACGTTTATGATTATTTGTAATATATTGCGCGAGATCGGAAGAAAAGATGAACACCCCGCAGTCAAACAAAAAGAAGGGCAGAAGCAGGATTGGCGTCAGCAATGATAACGCCAATCCCGCGAATAATGAAACGCTTAGCACGCAAGAAACGTCGAAATTTGTTTTGGTATGAAAATTGTTCCAGTTTGCGAAAAATATAATTAAATAACGTTGCATGAACTTTTATAAGAGATCCGGTTTATTTTATGATAATTTCTTTTGTTATTTAATAATATCTCTTTTTTATTGCATTCGAATGTAATTTCATTTACGTTCACCTTGCTTCATATTTATTTCAGAATTAAACATATACTGAAATTTGAATGAATATATAAGTTATTAAGTAAATTCATTTTATATATTTGTTTTAAGGTGAATCCAATTGGCGAAGATGCAAATAAAACATTCAAGATTGGTATCAATGACTCTATTCCAATTATTTCCCTGGAGGGAAATAGTTTTGACGAGAAAGGCACGATTCAAAAAGGACACGCTGCGCTGTCGGACAAAGATAAAGAAGAGAAAGTTATTCTGAACAGTTTGCCTGTAGCCATGGTAAAAGAGATCGACGGATACGAGGAACAACTAGGCGAAGCAGAACCACTTCCAAACTCTTACATTAGATTTATGGAACGCAGTGGCGAAGAACTCGATGGTAATTCATTTTAAATGCAATTATGTGCACAAATAAACAATCCAATTTTTCTAGTAAAATAAAAGGTTTATTTCTAAGTATGGTGCAAGAAGTTTTTTAATGAAAGTACATGTCATTGTTGCCCATGACTTTAAACTATTCTGGCGATTGACAAATCTTATCTCAAAAAAAGACATTATTGTCTATAATCATCGAGCCATTTTTGTATTTCCTCCACTGACTCTAATATGTATTACATAGAGCATTGGAATGATGCATAATAATTTTCCATAAGAAAGATTTCTCAATCGCTGACTTTTTTTGGCTTCAGTAAACTCATGCAAAACCCATTTTCCCTCCTTTTGAGATTATTAAGTTATATCCTAGGTTTTTTTGTATTTGTGTCGGATTCTCATTGAGGAGTTGCTCCAAATTGTCAAGATTTTAACCAGATTAAAAAAAAGATTGGATTATTTATTTGTACATCCAGTATCTATATTTTCTAAATGCCAATTCACTTGAATCATTTTTGTAGGAGAAGTAGAGTACGATTTAGACGAAGAAGATACTGCTTGGTTGAGTATAGTAAACGAAAGACGATTAGCTTCAGGACTCAGCCCACCTTTGGAGCCTGATACATTCGAACTGTTAATGGACAGATTAGAGAAACAGTCTTACTTTCAACAACAAAGTAATGGCGGTGGAGGAGTTGCAGCTGATGAAGACGCAGTCTGCTGTATATGCATGGATGGAGAATGTCAGAACAGTAATGCTATATTATTTTGCGACATGTGCAATCTAGCTGTTCATCAGGATTGTTATGGTGTACCATATATTCCTGAAGGACAGTGGTTATGCAGGAGATGCTTGCAGAGTCCTTCGCGAGCAGTTGACTGTGTTTTGTGCCCAAATAGAGGTGGTGCTTTTAAACAGACTGATCGCCCAGCCACGTGGGCTCATGTAGTATGTGCTTTATGGATACCAGAAGTGAGATTCGCTAACACGGTGTTCCTGGAGCCTATTGATAGTATAGAGAGCATACCTGCTGCACGTTGGAGACTTACATGTTGTGTATGCAAACGAAGGGGCTCAGGTGCTTGTATCCAATGTCACAAGAGTAACTGTTATGCTGCGTTTCATGTGACATGTGCACAACAGGCTGGTCTATGTATGCGTATGAGGACAGTACAACCTGCAAACGGGGAGCCGATGTTAGTTCAAAAAACAGCTTACTGCGAAGCCCATACACCTTCTGATTACCAACCTTCCACGAATCCTGCTGACGCTAGGAGGCGAGCAATTGCAAATAAAAAAAGTTCCTCTGCTCCTGTTATTTCTATTCCGACCATACCACCGGAACGTATCAAGGAGATTGCTAGGTAAAATATACTAAATTATTTTGAGACGCATATAAAGGATTTTTATTGTTGAATTGATGTTGATTAGCTTAGCTGAAGGATTGCCTAAACGAAGTCAGCTGATACAACGTCTTATAGCATACTGGACTTTGAAACGCCAGTACAGAAATGGAGTTCCTCTTCTTAGGAGGCTTCAGAGTTCACATCCACAATCTAGACCACCGCCACTTGGTGAAAATTCTTCATCACCGCCAGATAGTGAATTGCGCGGCGAATTGTACCGTCAATTAACGTACTGGAAATGTCTGCGTCAGGATCTGGAGCGAGCTCGATTACTTTGCGAGTTAGTACGGAAACGTGAGAAATTGAAGAAAGAACTGTTCAAAGTGTAAGATTTCAAACGAATTTCACGAAAATAAATGCAATCCAATTGTCGAGAAATATATTCAAATATTTAATTTCATTTTACAGAAAAGAAAAATGCTTGTTGTTTGAATTACGTCCACTTGAGAATATTCTCCGTTCCTTGCTAGAGGCAATCAAAATGAAAGACGTAAACGATGTGTTCGGACAGCCTGTAAATACGAAAGAAGTACCAGATTATTTGGAGATTGTATCTCATCCTATGGATCTTTCTACTATGCAGGTAATTTATTTTACTTTCAATTATTTAAGCGAAAAACGTGTATCACATAGATTATACGATCTTTATTTCTTTAGACCAAGGTAGAAAGACAAGAGTACGATACTATTGGAGCTTTTGAAGCAGATTTCAATCTAATGGTGAACAACTGTCTGGCCTACAACCGCAAAGACACTATGTTCTATCGAGCTGGAATAAAGATGAAGGAACAAGGCGGCATTCTTATAGAACAAGCTCGCAAAGATTATCCTGAACTGGATCCTGTTAGTGAGAACGAGCAAACAGCGTCGAAATCTCGAAAAAGGGACCGTACTAATAGAAATCGTGCGGAAACGGATCTACAATCTGGAGAGAAAGAAATCGGCGGTGGAGGAGTGAACAGAAGAACTGCGGTTCTCTTCACTCGCAAGGCAAGAGCGAGAGCCAGTAGAAGTAATCAAATGTTTGCCTTGGAGGACGACAAGAAAAAGCAGAGCGACAGTTTCAAAGTTTACAGGTACATGTTTCTAACACTGCTGTTTTCTTCGAATTTGTACAACTACAAATTAATAGATACCATTAAAATATAGATAATTTCTTTGTATGTGTGTGAGAATTTTGAGAAATGTAAAGACGTAAGGAAAACAAGGGGGATTAATTATTATATGCTTCTATGTCAGTGTAAAATCTTGAATGTAACGTTAATATACAATGTGTAATTAACGTTTATACCAGGAGTGGAACAATGGACAGCGACGTGGGAGAAGGTGAAAGTCAATCGTCAAGTTGTAGCAGCTGTTCAACGAGTAGGGCCACTACTCCTGATTTGGAAGAAGAAAAACAGAGGCAGCAAGAAGCAAACGAAGCGAAGAAAGAGCAAGAGAGCAGGCAGGGAGCGGCGAGCAATGGTCTGGAGGCTCTTCAACTCGTATGGGCTAAGTGCCGCGGATATCCTTGGTATCCGGCTCTTATAATAGATCCTAATACACCCAGAGGTACCGTGCATAAAGGTGTACCAATACCAGCACCGCCTGATGATGTATTGGCGCTCGCTGTCAATTACAAAGAACCAGTATTTCTCGTTCTTTTCTTCGATACCAAAAGAACATGGTAATTTTATTTCTTTTTTTTTTAAAGTGCAATTGTAATCTTTGTTTTTCCATTGAAATTTAGTTATTTCATGTATAGTAATTGTATGCAATTATTGCAAGGCAATGGTTACCAGGGGAGAAGTTGGAGAAGCTTGGGGTATCTGAGGAATTGGACGAAGCAAAATTAATCGAGTCTCGAAAACCCGCCGATAGGAAGGCGGTGAAAAAAGCGTATCAAGAGGCGCTCCATTATCGCAAACAGACACACAACACAACGTTGAACGCTGGTTCTGCCAGCTAATCTCGTGGATTCTGATATTAACCTTAATTATAAGATAGTTCTCCTTAAGAATCTGTAAGTATGTAAAAAAGGTTTTAACAAGTACAACTTAAGTGTAACTTAAAGACTTATTTCTAAGTCGTGCTCTCAGATTCTATTTATATTTTTAAATAACGACCAAAATAAAATAAAACGTATCATTGTCCGTGTAAAATTTCTTTGCCTGATTGATTGCGTATCTGTCTAAATGCGTATATATGTATTTTTTATCTTTCTCTCGACGTATACATGATCAGCAAGAAATAGGAGACTTATAACAAAGTGAAAAAAAGCATTTGCGATCTCCAGCATTTCGTGTCCAGCTTATTGCTTTTTGCTGTCTTTTTCTTGTTGCTTCATGTGTTTCTGTTGCGGTATCAAGTTGTTCTGCACATATTCGTTCAGTTCTCTGGCGTACAGATCCAGTCTCTGAGTCATCTGAAACGCAGGAAAGTTGAAAAGAAAGATTTGAAAAAAGCAAAAGAGTCCCAAACGTCCAAGGTTTCGACTTACTCTCAAACACCAGAAGTCCTTCATTTGACGACACAGATTCAGATCCAGCTCGCAGACAAGAAGGCCGTCTTTAGAGCGACTCAAGCCCGGTGTTCTGGTACCATCAGGAGCAGTGATGTAGCTAGACCCATAGAAATGGCCGAAGTCGTGATGCGCAGGTGCCCCATCACCAGACGTGAATTCGTTGGGGAATTGCTCAGTTCCAACGCGATTAATGGCACAAGTGTAATAACTGTTTGCTATGGCTGCATTTCTCGCTTCAATAGACCACAATGGTTCGGATGTATGGCTGGTTGTTGCTGATGGATTGAACACGATCTGAAACACAGAGATTATTTATTACATTTTGTAATAAATTTCTATGAAACTTTCGTGAGTATAACTTGTCTTATGATATATATGTGGGATGGGCAAATTCTAGGAAAGGGCCTAGAACTTTTTCCAGTGCCCGACGATTGCAGATGTCCCAAGTGGTGTAGTATAAAAGTTAGTAGCAGAGAAAGTTAGGCCTGGGACTTGGGATTGTTTATGGCTAGCCCTCCAGCCCTAGCGCTTAAGAGTATGGATGCGTTTGTGTGTATGAATGATGAATTTTTGTGCAGATGAGGAAGGTAGTGAGTGTCGAGACGTCGCAGAGAGCAGAGTGAGCGAGCTGTGAAAGAGAGAAGACAGTGAGTTGAGAGTTGCACGAGAGAGAGAAGAGAGTGAATTGAGAGTTGCCTAGCCAGTTCAACAATTAAGAAACTAGTGTAAAACGTCATTTATAATCATCATTAAACAAATTTCCTTTATTTAACCTGAAATAAACAACCATTCTTTTATTAAAATTCCTAGAAATTGGGATCTCAAGCCGGGATTTCTACATATATTAATATATATACATATAGGAAAACTTTACCTCAGCACCATTCAGCCCGAACATCATCCAGTTTTGGGGATGATGTCGACCATAGCAGATATTAATGGCTACACGTCCAAAGCTTGTTTCAAAGACAGGATGCCCTGTATTTCCCTCCATGTAGTAGGTGGACTCGTTGAAATCGCCTACACGAGGAATGTGGTTCTTCCTGTGTTTCCCAATCACTGTCCCATCTTTCTCGATCACGACGGAGGTATTCCACAGAGTGTCACCGTTCGCGGAGTCCCTCTCAAGGATCGGACAGATAATGACCATTCCGTGCCGTTGGGCAAGTTCACTCATAAGTATTACAGTTGGCCCGTTCTCAGCATCTTCGGCGAATTCACACCAGGGATACTTCTCTCTGGTGCAGAACGCGAATGGCATGGCTACGACATAAATTAATATATTCCTGTTATTTCCAGATAAATAAGCAAAACAAAACATGAAACGAACCGAGTCTTTTAGTTATTGGAAATACTGAGACGTTTAGACGCCTGTCATTTTCAGTGGAGAAAACCAATGGAGGATTTCTTATCTAATCTTCCAACAAATTTAATGGATTTGTACGTAATATTGTTTGGAAGTGGAAACGTGTGTGCAAGATTATCACTAAACGAGCAAATATTTCAATAACTATGTACAGTACGTGATAATGTTGTCAAATCATAGTTTATGCTTTAAATGTTTTAAACGTAATCTCATGATACGTGCGACATTCACAAATTTTCAACTTCTGTTTAAGCACTCTGTTGAGATTCTCAGACGTACCCCAAGCTTCTTGGAGGCAGAGCAAGTTGACGCCGCAAGTCGCGGCGTAATCGACGTATTTTTGGATCTTCAGATGCAGAGCGTTCCTTTGTTTCTTCAGCGGTTCTGTCGTCGGCAGCACTATGGAATGTTGAATTAAACCTACTCGAACGATACGCGGAGGGCGCAGCTCCTCTGTGATACTGCCACCCATGTCGTACCCTTGCACATCGAGATCCTGGTTTCCGTTCCATTTAGGAAGAAACAGAAAGCTGCAATAAATTTTGAGAGAAATTACTCAAACATAACGAAAAGGTGATCTAACATTAACAAAATGGTTATAATTATAATTCGATTGACGAAACGACTCTCGTACATAGTTTGGTTTTAAAATATTTCAAAAGTTTTCAGCCTCTCAAGATCACTTTACAACGTTCTGACGAAAAGTTATTTTCGTCTCTCGTATTGGATACAGCGCTATTCTCCGTCGAATTGCCCGACCATCGATGGAATTCATCTCGGTTCGTGAATTAACAGAGGAGAAGTCAAGATTAAATAAATAGCGACAAATCTTACTCTAACTCGCGGCCGTACAAAAGGCGTTTGACCTCGGCCAGCTCTTCTTGCGGCAGATTCTTTTCCAGAATGTCCTCGAGTGTTTGCTCAAAATTTGGTTTGCTCATTTTGTAAGAGAAGTCTCGAGCGTCGCCGGTTCACACCACTCCACTGACTACGAACGATTGCGAGCATACGCGGTGTTTACCCGCGATATATATCGTCGTAAACGTGTATCAGTGAACTTGTTAATCCTTATCACTGCTAGTTATATCGTTACAGCCATAAATTCTTTTAAGACTCCTACCTGATCAAGAGAGACAGATAACCCTTTTATTTTTTTTGTCAATTTCGTGCTACTGGTGTTGTTTTGCCGTTCGAGCAACTTTGCCAGTGTAGTTTAATCGACGCTGTACAATTAATCATTTTTATTTCATCGATACGTATAAATATACTTGTAGTTATACGTATACGTATAAATATACTTGTAATTATACGTATACATATTTATTTGTTCAGGAATTATAAATAAATGTCAGATACTATTTAAATTACGCTTAGTAACTATAAATATTACGCTTTAGTTTCTATCCTACGACGTTTATTTAAATGTTAAGTTCTTGTTATGACAGAATCCAAATATTCGAGATATCTTGTTTTCCTTAATAAACTTGAATCGTTTCTGTTGATATCTTTTAATTTTAAAATTGAAATGCTAACGTAGCTTTGATTTATCTTGAGTAAAAGATATAGTCTTTGTGTAAATGTTATAATTTCATATTCGTCTGATCTATGACAGTATCTTAATAATAAACAACTCTATAAATAACTGAATATCTTAATAAGCCCCAAAATATTTTTAAGATATTTTTAAGGAATAATTTTATTATTAATTTAATTTCTTTCTTTTCCTAACGAGGTGCTTCAGTATCTGTAAGTATCTAAAATAAGATGAAAACTAGCCACGAAAATTTTCCATTGAAATTAACAAAGTGCAGTATTTTTTCAAGTTATCTTGCATGTTGAATGTTATTGATAAAGCACAATCAGGTTATCCGAATGTTTGCACTTTCGTTACGTATAACGCTATATTATCCAAAAGAATGGCTCGACTATTATCGAAATAAACAAGTTATTTAAAATAAACACGTTTGTTTGATTAGGACAAACATGATAAAATTTATGAGTTAAAAGTTGAAATTACACTTCTCCGATGTATAATTTATATTATTACATGAAAATATAATTTATGGCATAAAAATGTATTTTTTATTATGTGAAATTATATTTTTATTTTTATTATATGAACCGATATAGATTAATCAAAGAAAATATAACGTTAAGATAAATTGATTTTCGTTTTTTTAAATTCAAACGCAATTATCGATTGCACGCATTTATCGAATTGAATAGCAAATATCGATAACTATCGAAGGTATTGTTAGCATAGGATATAAAAGAAACTTACTAATTCACTGTACTAATAAATAATACATTTACATGGTATGTAAAATTTTAAAAAATAATTTGTAAAAACTGATAAGCATGCGGTCATTTTATCTTATCTTTAAGTTTATAGGTTAACTTAACCTAAAACCTTAAAAATAAGATAAAATGAAGTTTTTAGGTTAAGTTAACCTATAAACTTGATAGTGAAGGCAACTAAAAAATTTGAAGATTAATTGAGGAAAAGTCAGCCAAAGCTGTGAAAATGGCACTGACCAGAGAACGGCGTTCAAACGCCGGCAATAAAATGGCAAAATTACTGAACGAAGAAGAGGAGGATGATTTTTATAAAACCACTTATGGAGGTTTTGATGAAGTGGAGCAGGATCACGACTATATGTTAGTATTAATTCTTCTACCACTTTGCTATAAGATTACTGCATGATTAGACGATTTTTAATTGCTAATCTAGGGAAGAAGATGAAGCAGAAGATGAAGTAGATTCAGATTTTAGCATAGATGAAAATGATGAGCCTATTTCTGACACCGAACAGGAAGGGCCTAAGAAGAAACGTAGACTAGTTACAAAAGCTTACAAAGAGCCCAAAGTTCAGTCTAATCAATTGCCATCCAAAGAGAAAAAAGTGAGGCAGTCAAGGCAAAGAACTTTTATTGAGAGCACAGGTAAATGTATCAGATGCAAAAAAAATGTGAAATTTCACAGAAAAACATCGAATTTTAATGTATTGCAGAAAGAAAATCTATACGTCGATCGACAGCTGCAAAATCTGCAGCAACGCAAAGGAGACTTACTGAGAGAAACGAGCATCAAAAAAGGAAAACTAGAATTATAAGACACGACACATGGAAGCCTACTCAGGAAGAATTATTAGAAGAAGCGTTACAAACCGAACAAATCAATATGAAGTCGTTAGGTTTGATATCAATGTGATATTAGATTGCTTATAGTTTTTCCATTATCTTTCTTAATTCACCTCTGTTAACAGAAAAGTATCAGAAACTGGAAAATGAAAAGAAAAATACAAGGACAGTAAGAAAAGCACACACTGGCCCTATGATTAGGTATCAGTCCTTAGCAATGCCCGTTATGATATTTTCTGAAGTGAATTATAATAAGGAAGAGGATAAAATTAACGTCGAAGGAGACGACGAGAAAAGTGCAAACGTGGAAAATAAACGTCCAGATGGTACAACAGACGAGAGGTGAACTATAATTTCTTTTTCAATTTGATTAAAAATACCATGATTAATAAACTTTCATTTGTTTCAGTGTTGTGACCATAAAAACAGAGGATGATACGACAAACGTTCCCAAAAAGGAATCTGCTCAAAGTTCCAACAAAGGCTATTACTACGAGCAAACGAAAGGATATTACGAAAGAACCTTCATCACCTTCGAGAACGAACAATTATTTTCCAAAGCTTTCAAGAAGCCTTCAACGCAGAGACCACCAATGGAACCCTTATGTGCGATAACTAGGTAAAGTATCAAAAATATATATTTACAGTAAATGGAGATACATTTAAACACGAAAGAATATTTAGATTTCCAGCAAAATATCTGGATCCCATGACTCACCTACCATATAAAAATGTGCAAACGTTCCGTCTGTTGCGTGAAGCGTATTATCAGCAATTGGAAGCTCGAACAGATATCAATGATACGTCACAAAGCCCTGATTTACTACGATGGCTTGAGTGGAGACAAAAAAATCATGGTGGTTTAGCTCAGAGAAACACGGTTCGCCTTGAACCAGCTTCCGCAAGTATGCCTATGTAGTTTCTGTGCTCGGCAACAAAATCGAACGGAAGTGTCTTCGTTATTATGGTAGCAAATTATTTTCAACCTCTACTATTTTTCAATTTAAGATTTCTTAAGGGAAGAAATCTTGAATTGAAAAAATTGTAAAAGTTGAAAATAATAATTATAAGATCAATATTTAATGGCTAGAAGCATTTACAAACAACAGCAAAAGAAAAGAAAACTATGTTTTAAGGAAAAGAGGTTGTAAATAATCGTATAATTTATTGTTAAACGTAGTGTAGAATCATTGCATATTTTCTGCATTGTATCAATTGGGCTCTGAGATTTTTTGTACAGTCTTAAAGTTATGACAAAAATAGCGATGTATAATGCACCTATTTATACAAAGGTTGGAAAATAATTTGATTGATATAAATATTTTTTGGTGAAACGAAACGAAAAAGTTGTACAATATACATATACATAGCGTGTTCAAAGCAAAAGTGATTTTTATTAATAAAATTATAAAGTACAAAGCATTGATTAATAAAATGTCACCGATTCGGTGATTTTGTTTTTCATATATACATACATATATATATATATATTTGAATATGTATATATATGTATATATTCAATCAACAGAGAATAAACTGATGTCAGTAATATCTAAAAATTTATCATCCTAAATATCCCATTCGTACAAATTCAGTTTTCGCAGGAGTGGAACTTAGAAGTTTCCTCGAGGGTTCTCTCTATCTAATAATCGAAACTAAAAAAGCGTGTATGTACACATACTCGAAATGAAAAGCATTGTTCTTTCATCGTTCTATTCGCATTTACCTGACACGAACTCCGAGTTCCCGACTATCGTACAGTTTCCTATTTCAGAAGCTGAATATATTCAGTAAAATTTCAACTTCTTGCGTTTGTTAAATTTGTTTTTCACTCATCTGTCGATTGCTCGTCGAACTATTTTACTTCGGAAAGTAAAAATTATTGTTCGTTTGGAGAAAGAAGCATCTCAAATAAAATTTCATATCCTTGCCAGAAATACTACCGGTAGTTATCTCTATGTCCTATTGCAATTCACAAAGCAAATTGCAACGAAAGAGATAATCATTATAAACAGTGCTCTCATAAATTATACTTCGAAGACTTTAGACATTTATTAGTAATTTAAATTAAAAAAAGAAAGAAAAGAAAAACGAAAATAATGTTACAGTTCCCCACGAGATAATGTTCGTTTCATCGTTCGTCGATTTTCTATTACACGGACCATCGATGCCCTCGCACAACGGAACGAGGTGTAGACATTTCAATATTTCAACGTTTTACTCACTCTCTATTTATTCATCAAGATACAACGAGGACTTGTAACGATAACAGATTACATTTGCGGCTACACACATCGAAGCGATAATTATTAGACGCCTAGAAAGTACGATACAATCTCGCAGATAGTGTACTTTCGTGTATCATCACTCTCTGGTGATGTACGCGCCAGAATTTGAATTTGTCAGTTTTCGCGCCAGAATTTGAATTCGTTGGTTTCCCGCGCCAAAATTCATATCATCCCTTTGTTCATTTCGGTTCTTTCTCTTGCTTCTCCCAGCTTTCCCCCTCCCTCAAAGAAAAAAATAAACAAAAGAATGCCTTAAACTGCGTTGAACTGTGTGAATGTTTCAACTCTGTTTGAAAAAAGTGAGCAAGCTCTTTTATCGTACTTCACAAGGTCGACACTACGGTGCAAATTCGAAAGCAGAGAGTGAGCAACAGTAAAAGTGTTTCAAGTCCGATTTGGCTCTTTTATCTTTCGTCAAGCCTCTTCTATCTTGTTCTTTTTTCTATGATCGTGCACCTGCATGCTCAAACCGCGAGACTTCGCCTGTGTCATTAATTAATTATAGACTGTCTCTGAAACATTCGGCCAAATTTTGGAACAACAATACATCATCAGCTGTAAGAACGAAAAACAAAGGGATATTTGGACAAAAACGCCTCGTTCCTTAATGCATAATTATTGCTTGCGTATCGCCCAGCTGAAACACTTTGGATACAAAAACGTTAGACGATACGTATCCAAATGGTGATTTGACTTGATACACAGTTTCAATTTGCACTCGGACAAACTCTGACTTACTGTTAGCTCTCACGTGGAAGAATATGTATTGCGATTAATTACAGACATTCATTAGCACTTCTCTTTTTTTTTTTTTGTAGTATACGTTAGGAATTCCTTTACGAAAGATTCGTCACTTTCAATGTATCTAGGGATGGATGTTCAATGTAATCCCTCCAGATTATCTTTCATCCCCGTGGCTCGCGAGCTATACACTCCTCCAAAATGCGACCAAGCATTTCAGACACACTTTTCTTTTGTGTAACGTTTAGTAAACCGTTCGCTTCTACGTGTCAAGTAGAATAACATACGTATTGTAAAGAAGCAGTAGTACAACACTGACTTATTGTAACGTATCAGAGGTAAAGATACTGGATAGAGAGAAGGGAGAGAAGCAGGATGACTTTCGGGGACGAAATTAGTGCATATTCTTCGTTCTTCGTAAATATCTCTGATGATGTATTTTTATGATTGTGTTTTATGGTACTCTTTACTCAACGTATCCGGCTATTGTGTGTATATTGTATACGCTGTATGTCGCTAGATTTTTTTTTCCCCGATCCTCATCGTTCGTTTCCCAAATAATCCGAAGGAACTTGAGAAGCCTTTTTGTTGCATTTTTAATTATATCTTCCACGGGAGCAAGCGTACAAATAATTTAAAAAAAAAGAATATCTGCTCGTCCTGCGATCAAAAGAGGCTGAGTCAATGATAGCGATAATGATGATGATTGTATTGATAGTAGTATTCGTAGTAATAGTAGTAGTTGTAGTAATAATAGTAGTAATATTAATAATAGCAGTAGTACTAGTAATAGTAGTATGTTTCAATTGAAATCAAGCGGTTCTTGAGGGCAAAGATGTACAGATGTTTCCTTTTTAAGTACTACTATTATCATCCGCTCCCAGAAAACGACAAGAGCCAGGAGAACAGTCTATTCTGCATCCGGAACAGCCGGATTATTTGGGAAACCAGTAATCAGTTATATACTTATATTCGTAAATAGTCTTGATTCTTGTACTGTTTGCACCTGTTACGTTTACCGTCGACCACTTTTCTTTTTGCCTCTGCCACTTTGTATGTCCTTCTGCAAACACAAAGGTACGTAATCGCAGTTATTAATTACAATCACACATTAGGGGGGCTAGTTGTAGTCTTATACCACGTGTAAACGATAGTTTGCAATTCGCAATTCATAATGAGGATGAAAACTATGTTAGAAAAAACAATACACATTTCACGCGTTCAGTTCATTTAGGAATGTGCTTTACTTCTAATTTTAAAGAAAGATCTGACAAGATTAAATTGCAAAGCATACGTTTAAATTTTCTAAAAATTTCTTTTCTCATACTATGTTGGCAAGTCTGATATGATTATAAGTTTATGTGTATTATACGATGCAAGTAGAAGTACCACAGGGGTACAATTGGATTTTAAATAGCATTGTTTGGACAATAGCAAAAAGAATAGTTGTTACAACAGTCATCGAATTCTTCGTTTGTTTTCACAATCTCAGAACAAAGTATGATTACGTGAAACGTAAGTCCAATTAATTTTTATTGTATTTTACTGAACGCAAATTTTTGCAACTAATAAGAAAAAAATTTTAATAAGGAGTAAATTTAATAAAGATTAATTCGATTTTAAATAAACACAAGTCTATTCATAATTTTATTTATTATAACAGAAATATCATTTTATGTAGTCGTTTTTACGAGAAAAAAAAAAATTGATTTGCAAGAATTTGAGGAGTACGTCTCAATAATTAAAAGAAATATTTATTTATCTGAAAGTTGTACACTAGTGTGCTACTCTAAAGAAATGCATCTTAATGTCTTCAGCGTTCGTTTACATGTAAAAAAAGAAATATGAAGTGGCTCTTTTATACATATATAAGTTCTCATACGTTCGATTACACGTAATCTACGTACTGAAATGCTGCAATATAAAGCTATATCACTTCATAAATATCTCTTAAAAATTAACATTTTTACAGACCATGTATTACATATGTATATATATATATATATATATATATATATATATATATATATATATATTCAAAATATGTGCAATAAAATATTTAAAAATAAAAAAATAATACTGATGAAAATGAACGACCTCTGCTATGTTAATAAATAAAGTTTGGTGTAAGATGAATTTTTGAAACTTACAATTTAGCTTTAGAAGCTTTTTTTTTATTCGTCGCTCTTCTGGCATTGATGAGTATTATCTTTGATCGATTTAAGGAAGCTTTTTCCAGTTTTACAAAAATATAAACAAATAAAATAATTACTTCGACGTACTTACAGTATTGAATAAATCTATCACCGCTTGTTTTAGAACGTATTATCTTAGATATTTCTATAAAACGTAAAGTTCAGTCAGCAAGTATATAACCGAAGGTGTTCAGTGTTTGTATTCTCTTTTAATCAATAACTCTCTTTATGACAAAGTGAAAAGCGTTTGCTCTTAGTTCTGTAAATGATAAAAGTGTTAAGACTCCTTTGAATGTAACGTAACGCGTAACTGTACAACAATAAAATTAGACAATTAGTAACAATCATCATGGAAGAAAAAATACATAATAAAAGTGTCTTCAGTAATGTTTAATTTTGACGTATGTTAAAATTAACTCAATTTACAAATCAACTTAATATTTATAATTAACTAATCATAGTTTTCTTATATTAAAACTATGCTATCATACAAAGAATTATCCCAGAAACTTTCTCATCTTTTTTTTTCTTTTTCTTTTTACTGGACCATAGACTAAATCTGTTTCTCTTAGAAAGTTAGTATTATCTGAGTGTACTTCCGTGATATTGATACTGTATTTGCGTGTACACACATTTTAAGCAACAAGGTGAGTCACTGGCAGCACTGCTTACGCATTCCCTCTGAGTTCATTGTTGGCTTCACGTCGATGGGTTCTACGTTTTGTGGCCGGATTGTATCACCTTCGGGTGGATCACGTATCTGTTTCTGCGATACGATTCTGTAGATTTCTACAATAATCAAATGTTGTATTATCGTCCATTCAATAAGAAATTTATTCACAATCTATTCGATAACAATAATAGCAGGATTGAGAAGAAGTCTGTTCAAAAAAAGAAATGCAAGTCAATACAATTGCAAATAGAATGGATGGATTTTTACAGATCTAATTGAAAGAATGGAGTCAAAGCAAAAATACATTTCACTCATTGTATAATATAAAGTACTATACAGTAAATGTTACTGTTATGATTTTTATACATTATTTGTGATTTTAAATTCTCTATAAACCTTCTTTCCAGTCAATTAATGGTTACTTACTTAGGAGCAAATTAAAGTAGAGTGAGATTTACCTGTTAATATATTTTGAAATGCCGTTTCGACATTCGTAGAATCTAAAGCAGAAGTTTCAATGAAAGAGAGGCCGTTTCTCTCCGCGAACGCTTTCGCCTCGTCTGTCGGAACGGCACGTAGATGCCTCAAGTCAGATTTGTTTCCCACCAGCATAATGACGATATTCTGATCAGCATGGTCCCGCAATTCTCGCAACCATCTCTCCACGTTTTCATACGTCAGATGCTTCGCGATATCATACACCAGCAGAGCGCCGACCGCACCGCGATAGTACCTGCGAATTTTCATCAAAATGAGATCATCGTATTAAAAACCATTTGTCAACCCTTTGAACTAGATTTGTTTTTGGTTATTTTTGCGCCTTCGTTTGTACTTATTTGAAAGGTAAATCAGTTGAATTACTGTACAACGTAGATAAAAATTCAATGTTTTCTTCATCTATTTATTATCATTGTTATAACAATTTTCTAAAGTATGATGAAAAATTTCTGTCACCACCAGCGTGACGTACGGAGTTCAAAGCGTTGAAATTCATTCTAATGTACCATATTCAAAATTTGATAATTTGATAGTTAAACGAAAGCACCGTTGTTTCTTCAACATTTCAACTTACGCGGATGTAATGGCGCGATAACGCTCTTGTCCCGCGGTGTCCCAAATCTGAGCTTTGATAGTTTTTCCATCTACCTGTATACTACGCGTAGCGAATTCAACTCCTATAGTCGATTTCGACTCCAAATTGAATTCATTTCTCGTGAATCTTGATAAAAGATTGCTTTTTCCTACGCCGGAGTCACCAATAAGAACGACTGAAATAACGAAAAAAGAAAAAAAAAACATTTCGTTAAGCAGATGCAAAGTAAAAGAAACGAAAAAATTACACATTCTTTTTCTGACCGATTAAAATACACTAATTTAAAAATACATTGCCTCGAGATGTGATTTGAATTTTAGGATTCGCAACTTTGTAATTTAACGCTAGAGAAAGTAGTAAATAAAACTGATAAGAAATTAAAATTAGCAGATCTCCTAAATCTTCTAATCAAATATGTTCTGTCTCTCGTTCGTATATTTGAAATTCAAAAAAAAAAAAAAAAAAAAAAAAAATTGTTATGAATCAACGAAACTTCTGCGAAAAATTATCGATTGGTCATTTCTTGATTACTCTAACACGTAGTTCCAATGTTAATCGAGTAAAATCCTTCCACCACGTAATTACATCTACAAAAATAAATAAATCCATTAAAAAAACAAAAAAGAATAGAAGTCTGCTCAATAAAAATCATATAACAAATAATAAATAAAAATTGAATGATTAAATAATAAATGAAAATTCATTTACTGGAATATACAAGTTGCTCTTTGTTCCTCTGAGAGTAACAAACGTGGGCAAGGGCCCGCCTTTGTTGTGAACCCTTCAATCATCGAAGTCATTCAAGAAAAGTGAATCATAGATAACAAGCGTGCGGGCGGAAGAATGCACGTTCACAACTCGACACGAAATCAAAAAATTCACACCCGGACAGTTAACTCGTTCGATTAACCGCTAGAGTCCCGGATCGTTTCGAACTCGCCGCCTTGGCCGTCGATTAACAAAAAAGAACTCGACGAAAAGTTCTCGTGCGTGAGAGACCATCTCTGACGTCGTTGCCGTTCGAGTCTGGTGTCCTACGCTTTTTCTGTCAATCGTATCGCTGTCTCGAACTTAACATCAATCCGGGGGCCCTGTTACGTTGCTGAACGAGGACAATTGTTGATTTTTAACACGTACACGTATACACTTATATAAAATCGTACATGTATATGTGTACACATAACACAATGAATAGCAGCAGCAGTATACACACACATACACATATACACGTTATATATGTATGTATGTATATATGTATACGTTATGTACGTATACGTATACAGAAATATGCAAATGTAGCATATACGTATACGTATACAGAAATATGCAAATGTAGCATATACGTATACGTGTGTGTCTTGTTTCGTGACAGTATGTGTAAATGTGCATGTATATATGCGCGGAGAAATTTTCACAAAATTTTCGCGAAAAACAGGAAACGAAACGACGAATCGACGAGTCGGATTGAGGTTTACCTTTAAATAAATAATCATATTCGTCATCCCGAGTGCCCATCTCGTCTGGAGCAACAAACCCCTTGAGCAGACTGACGGACGGTGCCTAGATATCGGGATACACTGCCTACAACTTGTAGTTATTTACAAGGGAAAGAAAACTGCAGGATATACACGAAACGGACTTCGTGCAATGTTGCCCTGATCACGGCGTACGTAAGCACACGTCTCGTGGATACACACAGCAACAAAAATAGGAAACGAAACAGGCACGATCGCACGATGATATAATTATTTTCGTTCTTTCAATTTAACTGTACAATATGGCCTCCTTTCTACGCCCCTCCAAACCGATAAATTGCACATGCGCGATATACGCGCATTCTGCGCATGCGCTAACTCGGTCACGAACAAAGTTTAACAGAGATAGGAAGTGAGGAATCGTTTTGAATTTGATTTTATGCCAAGTTTACGTCAAGTTAAATGAATCTTCGAATAGTGACGAATCCCAAGTAATTTTCGCGTAATTTCAAATTAATAATTATCTCATCCATGTCGATAGAAAATAACGTCGATTTTATCGACATTGAAATCAACATGTCACGAAGTAAATTCATATGGTAATGTTTAAATTGTACAAACTGTACAATGTTTCTTTTTACATTCGCAAATATAAAATAATAGCCTTCGCATCTAAAACTAGTATTTTTGGATTCCATTTGTCAGAAGCTACGTGTCATTTAAAAAAGTTATAAATTCAGTACAAAATTCAATCATTTTTACAATCCAAATAAATTAATAAATCGTCATTGAATACAATCCTAATAAACATTTTACTTGTCTCTTGAGGCATAATTAATGCTAAAAATAATTGAAGCACAGGTATTTCTCCCTATATAGATATATCTTTCAATTCGTCACATGACCTTATACTTTCTAATCATAAGAGTCGTTTAACGAATGGTTGTCTATGTAGTATAACATTACTTTTCGATTTGTAGGCCGGTTTCCAATTCCACATGGTGTCTGTACGTTTATTATTTTTCTAAAGAAAGTCGCAATTTTGTAGCAGAATCAAATATCGTGAATTAGTGCTGCGTGTTAAGTGACAAAGAAAAAAAGGAAGTCATCGAGAGACAGTGGTCAGTTTCAATGTATTTCGACTAAGCAAACACTATCATCATCATTTTCATTTTCATTTTACGAATATTTTAATAAATCTTGACAAATAATTACATAACAATCAACGCATGTAATTGTTTCTCATTTTCTAGGTTATTTATGATCGGATGGTAGCCAAATTTTACCGAAACTGATAAAATAACAAAAATCTTTATTATGTTACTGAACACATGTGCGTTAGCGTCATGTTCATTCTGAAATAATCAAAGAATTATTTGCAAAGAATTATGTTATTGAATGCACAAGGGAAAGTTCCTCAATGTTGACACAGAATAAAATTTGAAAATGAACAAGTTAAGCAGCATACCACCAAACTTGGATCTGGATGATCCAAGGTTTCGAATCAAGCCATATCAGCAAATTGTTGCTTCTTGCACTGGCGCTTTTATTACATCACTTTTTGGTGAAAAATTTACTCTTAAATAATGCAATACGATGTATTTTTTTCAGAGAAATTTATTTTCTAAAATTTTGTTTAATAGTTACTCCTTTGGATGTTGTCAAGATTAGGCTTCAAGCACAACAGAAAGCAATGCTTTCAAACAAATGTTTTCTTTATTGTAATGGTTTAATGGATCATTTGTGTCCTTGCTTGAATGGAAAGGGTCCGGTATGGGCTAAAGGAAATGGAAAATTTAATGGCACAGTGGTATGCTATACTAAGCTTTAAACTGTAATTAGCCTGTAAGATTCATGATGCTGTATATCTAGACTAATACATAGAAAGGTGGTATTCATTTATAGGATGCTTTTATGAAGATTAGCAAGAATGAAGGTATAATTTCACTGTGGAGTGGTTTAAGTCCTACTCTTGTTCTAGCAGTACCTGCAACTATAGTATATTTTGTTTCATATGAACAATTAAGATTATATTTTAAGGTAAATACAATCCCATTTAACTTCATTTAAGTACCCATTTCCATTTTCTAACACTTTTTATATTCATAGGATCATTATAATAACTATAAAAAAGGAATTACCATGGGACAGCCATTCTGGATTCCTATGATGGCTGGAAGTATAGCACGTATTTGGGCTGCAACTTTAGTGAGCCCGTTAGAATTAATTAGAACAAAGATGCAATCTCAAAGATTAAGTTATGCAGGTACGTCTTGTGTTTGTATCATTGTTCCAAACAATTCGTGACAGCCAATATCTTTTTATTTTAGAAATTCTTCAAGCATTGAAAACTGTTATAAAATATAATGGGATCTCTGGCTTATGGATGGGTTTAACCAGTACTCTTCTACGTGACGTGCCATTTAGTGCTATTTATTGGTTAAATTACGAAACTATAAAGCAAAAGTTTCACAAGACACAGCAGACTTTTACTTTTAATTTCATAGCAGGCGCTGTAGCGGGATCTGTGAGTATTTTTATTAACAAACTTAACAAAAGAAAATAACATAAAACCGCCTTATGTATTGATTTTCTAGATAGCTGCATTTTTAACCATACCATTTGACGTTGTGAAGACACACAAACAGATAGAAATGGGTGAGAAAGAAATTTATTCAGGTATAATAGAAGTATCAACTTCTTCCCTATCTTTCTTCTATCTTTATAACAAAAATCTGAATTACAGATAAACCTGGACGTAGTAGCGGAACGTGGGTCGTAATACAAAAAATTTACACGCAGAATGGAGTAAGAGGATTATTTACAGGGTTAATCCCGCGTATAATTAAAGTAGCTCCAGCTTGTGCGATCATGATCGCGACGTTTGAACACGGGAAACGATTCTTTCAAACGTACAATGCTAACCAAATACTTCAATACGAAAGCGACCTGCAGCTTTTAAAGCACAAACGGAAAAGCGTAGAATGACATACATGTGATATTCCATGCGATGATACATTAAAAAAGAAACAAATAAATTTTATTTAAAACTTCATTTGAGATTTTACTCGAGACTGTGAATATCATCGTATGCCTTGCACGATGATAATTGTTGTGAAAGCGTAAAATTTCTCAATTTCTCCCTGAAAAGGATTTCACAGATCGCAATTAGAGCCGTATAATCGCCTCTACGAGAGATAACCTTTACAATTCTTCCTCCATGGGAGCCAATCACGGTAATTTCACCACGAGGAGATTCCCTAGAATTCCCTAGCGCGAATTCGAATCAAGCGAGCGTCTTCATTTCGAAAAATCGATCTTGTCGGTTCAACGAGATTTTTCGGAAATTCGAACGGGAAGAGCAACGATAAAAATTAACGTGAATTTTAACGTGGAACGTTCGAGATTTCAAGGTGCCGAAAGGCTTTCGGAAATACGTAACGGCAAACGCATTTACTAGTTACTGCAGACGCAGAAGCGTTCGGCTAAATTCGGTTGGTCGATAATCGTGGTCGGCGAGATTCGAGGCGTTGAAAGCGTTGAGCAGTGAGTAGGTCATCGCGCGGAAGTCGTCTCGTTTCGTTCAGTGGAGATAGGTTGTCCGTTCGTTCAGCGATTCGTTCACTAGTCACTCGTCAATTCAACATTCCAAAGGCCGGATCATCTAACTGTCTCTTCGACACCGTATTCTGGTACGTTCGATCGTCTTCTAACTGAAAATCGCGCGAGATGAGAGAAAATTCGCATAATTCCCTACAAATTGTCTTTTTGGTATCGTTGGAGTATCCAACTTAGAGACGGAATCGTTGGAAGTACGAGAGTTCTTAAATGCGAGGACGAAGTCAATTAAGAGAGGGGAAGGCAGAATGCGAGGAGCAGCCATTTTGTAGTCTATTGTCGCCCACATTCGTTGCTTTGTGATTCTTTTTTTCTTCCTTTGCTCGCGACACGAAAGTCAGAAAGACGCGCACGAGTTTTCGATATTCGTTGACTAGTTCTGATCCCCCGAAAATCTCGCATAACAATCCCGGTCGAGAACATTACGTAACACTGCACTACGTACCACCCGATCTCGTGGTCAGTGATTTGCCTGGCGTTCACCGGCTTTGAAGCACGTTTCGTCGCCTTTTATCCTTTTTTTTTCTTTTTTTCGAAACATTTCGCTGTTATTTCAGATACTTGTCCGAGAGCGAACGCAAATTTTCAAACGTCATCATGTATGCCTGCACCAGATTCATCGCGCCCGTCGCCAAATCGACCGTGAGTGGACTTTTTTTTTTTTCTTCCAATTCGTTCCCCACGTTATTATATAACCTCCGGTGTTACAAGTTCATGTTCGTTTTTCAGCTGGTCTCTGGAACTAAAAACTACATACGGCCGTTGAGCAGTGCCGTGGTGAACCATAGCCAGTCTGTACAGCAAAACCAGACTCAGAACCCAGTTAGTGCTGTAAGTCTTCTCGATGTTCTTTCGTATTGCATAACCTATCTCCGTTATATAAGCGCGGCTTTATTTTCACAATTTTTAAACTCTCCCGTTGAATGAACGATTTTTGAAATAAACTTGCTGATTTTTGGCAATTTGTCAATGTATTCATTTTTGAGTCGTATCAATTTATAAAACTGTAATGTTACAACCTAAAGTTGCGTTACAGTTGAGTCAAACCAGGAGATCATATTATGGAGAATGAGCAGATTGATTGAAGTAAATGATTCAAGAGATGTATGTCGTAGAATAATTACCTTTTGTGAAATATGAATCTTTTTTATGTCATGAATTAACTCAATGAAAATCACGAGGAGATTTAAAGAAACAGTCAATTTTAATGATACATTCTCTGATACATTAACAGATAATTGTGAATAAGATGAGAATATTTTCATTGTTTTCTTAATGATGAGATTAACTGTTGTAAGATGTTTCTTTCCATTCTTAATGACTGTATCAAATTTACTTCTTTGTGACAAAACATTAATTAGACATGGCAAAACCAAAAATGTGGATACAGATTATATAAGCCATGTTGTTTGAGAAGCAGAAGTAGATCAACTTTGTATAATATAGCACTATAATAGAAATAATAATTAAGTATGACAACGTTTATATTAAATCTAAGTATTTTTGATTTTGTAACACTCGAATGCTTGAAATTTCCTTTCTTTGCGACACTGCACGACTTTTTTATTAATTATATAAATGGTTATTTCATAGTCTCCATTGGCGCAGTCTTCAATTATACGTAGTTTCCAAACATCCGCTATCAGTCGTGATATCGACTCTGCCGCGAAATTTATTGGTGCTGGTGCCGCCACCGTTGGAGTCGCTGGATCAGGTATGTATATACTCTTTGTCGTCGATAATTGCGAAAATTGTAATTTTTTTTGTAACCTTTTATCCACCTTTATTAAAAAAAAAAATGTATATGTATATACACATATATATACCAATTTTTATTTCAGGGGTTGGTGTCGGTTTAATTTTTGGTTCCCTTATAATTGGTTATGCCCGAAACCCATCCTTAAAGCAGCAAGTTTTCAGTTATGCCATCCTTGGTTTCGCGTTATCAGAAGCAATGGGTCTCTTTTGCTTGATGATAGCGTTCCTTATACTATTTGCTTTTTAATCTCAACTCCTTTAAAAATGATCCATGACCTTGTAATAGTAAAGTTATATCATACAAATTTCATATTTAAATCAGATTTTTTTTTAATAAAAATGGAATACAAACTTAGAGATAATATTGTTGATTTCAGGTGCTGGAATCGGTTCAGTGTTCGGTTCTTTAATTGTTGGTTATGCCAGGAATCCCTCTCTTAAGCAGCAGTTGTTTTCATACGCCATCCTGGGCTTTGCCTTGTCCGAGGCCATGGGTCTCTTCTGTCTTATGATGGCTTTCTTGCTTTTGTTCGCGTTCTAAGTCATCAAAATCGCATAAAAAACACAATTCTACTAGTTTTAGTGCATCACTGCCAAAGCAGCGTCCTTTGGTCCCTGAGAAGGGAACATCGGTAGCTGCGTTTGGTGCACGGGATGCCATGAAATCATTAGAGATGCTCGATTATCCGGTTCGACGGGGTGTGCGACGGTACGACAATGAATTGAGAAGAAATGGCGGCTGTACACGTATATTTGGATCGTCGATCGGACCGTCCTTAACCCCTTCGGGACCTTTCGAACAAATTTGTAATCATTTCATGGACTACTGTAATATCATGTAGCGTAAAAAAAATTCACATTATTACAATAACTTATTTCAGTATAATGAAAAACTGCTAAGAACGCAAAAATTAAATTAAACGGATAAAAAAAAGAAAAAGATACGACAGCCTTGCCTGCAGTACCCCATGTTGCAATACGCATATTCGTATGCCCATCACTTTTAATTGTTGTGAAATACTAAAACATAGTAGTACACATCGAACATTTTTGTTACCCCGAAATTTGTTCATCATTGTTGTGCCATCGCGTGCGCACGTTATTGAGGTAGCTGGACGAAGAAAACTGTACAGTGATATTGAATAAACACTTGTCGTGACATTATTATTGAATTTATGGATAATTCTTTCTTAACCCTGCTCTTAGATTATAATTAGACTTAAAATAACGAAACTCAAAAACTTTGGTAGAAATCGATTCTGAAATCCACGTTTCTATCATTATTAATTAAATGGTTGGTAATACGGATATTACTCTGAATTATGGATTATATTGGAATCACCTATTCCAGTTTTTTTTATCCAGTCGGTCAAAAATGGTTTATCGTCGAAATCCGTGTCAATGATTTCAATATAACTTATTCTATAATAGTTCTTATTAATTATAAATAGATTTAAATACATAATCGGATCCGCTGTCGAAATGGAAAGCAATTCAAAGGACATATTTGAAAATAAACGTTACACCGTTCGATTTAAAAATTAGATCGATATTATTAAATTTTTATACATGGTTTTTATCACGGTATCGTACAATACAGTAAAAAATTGCATTTAGTTCGTGGTAGGGCCGAAACCTATAAGTTCTACGTTGTTGTGTGGTAACATGTTCAGCTGGTCCAAAAGGTTCTCTCTCTCCCGAAGACACGACCACGCTTTCTCCTGTTCCTTCTTCGTCAACGGTATTTTCCTCTGTTTCGCTAGTATAAGTTTTTTATAATGTTCTATCACTTCGTTATCTGCGGTACCGATTTTCCTTTTCAATGCTTGCCGCTTACTTTCCTCCTGTGCTAAATTCAATAGCCTCTTCAACTGTGTCACGTTGTGGTTGGAAAGCGCGGTAAGCTCCTGCTGGCAACGTTTGATCTCCGTCAGGATCTCGTCGTCCTCTTGACTCTTCTTTTGTGCATCTGGCTCTAAGATTCCCTGCTCTACCAACTCCTTGTGCATCCTTAATTCTAAATTAATAGAATTCTGAATAGTGAGATCCCTTAAAACAGGGGGATCGCTATCTCTGAACAATTTGTTATCCGTGTTGTTATTTGCAACATACACATTTTCTTCTAGCAAAGCAGAGACCAATCTTTGAGTCAGAGGCCCTGCTATACTGTGTGCCTTTTTGTCATTTTTCCCAACTAACAGAGACATGTCTGAGCGACTTTTCTTTTTGTCTCTATTCGGATTAGCCGCATCTTCCTCCTGCAGCAAATCGTTATGAGTCCATATTAAACTGTAATGACGACCTAACGGAGGGACCTTCTTGAAGTCGTTGATATCACTGTGCGTGGAGATTAACTCCTCCAGCAGTTTAATATCGTCTGACATAATGTCAGTGCAATACGGATCGACGGACGCCCAAAATTTGTTGGGGGTATCGTTTTTTGGTAAAAGCAACTTTGGCGATTCGGACTTTGAGCCTTCGATTCTCGAGATTTCGTGTACATTTGGAATGACTTGAGAATTTGAGCTGGTAATGGCCTTTTGTTTGAACAGCTTCAGTGGCAGAGGCGATTGGGTTTTAGCGTTGAGTTCTTTAGGCTTGAATTTTTCCTCCCTGACTTTCTTGTCCAAGAGGGAGAGGCCTTTCCCACTCTTGGATCTTTTGTCCCTACGCTCCTCCACCGAGGACAAATTGGCTATCTCTTCCTGGAGCATACGGTGTCGCACAACTACTGAGGAGAGAAGCATTTCTAATTCTAGCTGCAATGTATCCAGATCTTCCATTCCTACGCCTTCTTCCACGTTACGCTGCAGTATACTGCTGTACCTTGGGAGGAGGCGGCTGTTGTCAGCGACTTTCAAGATGGACAAGGACTTCGTAGCATCAGTATTCTCTGAGCTTGCGTCCGAGTTAAGTGCAGAAGACTGTACGGTCTTCCCACTTTCTCGCATTTTGACAACTGCTTTCTTGGAACTTTGTTTACCCTTTCCAGACATGCTTACACGCTCAATATGATGCAGGTGTGTTTGACACTCCAAGCTGTTGCTTCACTAAGAGATATTCATTTTTACAGAGTTTGATCGTTATGTCGAGCAATTCCGTTTGTTTCCCTTACAATCATAACCTTTCTCATTTGAACGAATCTCCAATTTAAGCGCGTAGTAGGTGTTTTTCGTATCTTGCACAGAAGATCTTATCTCTCTTCAGTTCGATTTTCAATCGTTACGTGTATACCATTATGAAATGTCATACGCCTGCAACACGAGGTTATGTTAACATCCACAAGTTGTATGCGCAACGAATGCGCTCCGATCAGCTGGTAGGATAATGTATGAAATGCAGTCAATGTCACTCAATTACGGGTCGTACGACGAAAGCGGTCCCACCTCTCGAGAATCGATTAAAGAAAATATTTCCATTTGTCGTTTTGCGATCAGCAGACCGATACGAAAGTGATTAGTCAACGTGGTGAATGATCCTTCGTTAATTCTTTACCAAACAGCAGCACTGTCGCAAGTGTTCTATTTACATATGCACAAAACGTGCATACTGTATAGTATCACCGCGTCAACTGACCGATATTCTTCCTTGTTAGCTGACTGTCGTTATCCCCACCACTTGACAATGTCAACTCATTCCAATTGGCTGATGTAAATCTCGTTTAATGATTTGTTATTGGACGTTCAACTTGAGGAATTCTAGTGTTAAATGTTGCATAATATATATTTTTTCTAACATAATCTTTCCAATCCTTTTTTAACATAAATGATCGAAAGTTCAGGATTTATAAGAAAATATAATCTGTTTAATAAGTCAAACCAGTGTGCATAGTTAAATAAGACCAATTGCTTAGTAATTGAGGTGGAACTAGGAAATTGTGATTTTTATAATCGCAAGAACAATTTTATATTATTATACAGAGATTTTATATTATTTAAACTAAGCTATCAAACTTGTTAAACGTATTTGTTTAATCTAAGAAGTATATCAGTATAATATAAGAAGTATATCAGTTTTTTTTTAATTTAAAAACTTAATATTTGGGGAAAATAACTTTCTAGTTTCCCCTAAATTTCGGTCACGTGGTTTTGTTTACTTTCCTTGATTAGACACTCGTCATTTTCATTATGTACGAATGCTGTATGCTTCCTTTGAAATAAACTATAAAATAATTGAAATTGTACTAATTATGATATTTTGCAGTTGTCCATAGAAATGGATTAATTGTTTTGAATCTACAATGAGTTTACTATTTGCGTTTTTGTGCGCTCTTTACGAAATTAACATAGGTCATAGGTCGTCGTCTAAAAGATAATGGAGCTAGGAAACATTGTGTAGGAAGAAAAAGTCGAAAATGGCTGAGAAAGGAGCCCATTTGACCGGAACAGCATTTATAAAGCCTTCTATTTTTGAAATTATAGCGCAGGAATCGTTGGCGTCCGTTGTCGAGCCGTCTTTCAAAAAATTTTTATCGGTAGGTTAGGTTATCTAATTTTCAAATGGAGAGACATTGTATTTGACATACAATTAATGAGGAAACCCTATATATTTGTTGAATGACAATTGATAATGAAGCATCATATTTCTGAAAATCAAGAAAACCGATCAAGAAACACGAATTTGAAGTTGCTTTTTACGTGCCGCCAAATTTCGAATTTGCACTTTACTAAACCTAACTCAAACCTAACCCATGCTTGGAAATAAAATCTTTAACGTAATCTATCTCTTTGTAATGAAGCATTTAATTTTCGAAATGCTTTTGTGTCATTTTAGTTCGTCATATCATTTAACGTTGAAAGATACGGTCATCTTCTTAGATGGACAGACGAAGTCTATTTAATTTTTAATATATTTCTGCAGCGGTATTATTTGAACAAGTACTGTAAGTGAGATTAATCTTTTCTTAAATAGATCAAATAGTTCGATGTTAATTTAAAAGAAAAATACGTTCCAGCTGCTTCATTCTCTGAAACATTCTATGGTTTGAAACGTATAACTGTAGCAGATTCAAAGATTAAAAGCAGGATATCAAACAAACAGAAATATCTCTCTTTAGTGTTGACTGTTTTGTTTCCTTATATAAAATCCAAGCTTTCTCATTTAAGTGAAAAATACAAACTTGAAGAAGTGGATGGCTGTGCTCCAAAATCGGTATTCTTGTAGTTGATTTTAATTGATTTTTTATTTTTTCAAATCATTTTTCAGCTTATGTTTCATTACAGCGATGGGAAAAATTGTACCGTAATTGCTTTATCAAAGGAAATGCGATAATTTTTATGGTGTATGAAACTATGATATTGTATAATTATATTCTTTATATATCTGGAAGATCTGCATATACTTCTCCACTTTTGAGGCTTTTATCTATCACTTTAACATATGCAGAACCAGAATCAGAAATTAGCATTTCTAGTCTATTAAGAAAGATTAGGAACAATTCCTTCTACCTTAGTGATGGTATAAATATATTTCAAAGATTGATAACTACATCCTTCGAATTTGGAGCGTTCTTTCTTCAATTCTTATCATGGTGGACTGAAGAACATAATTCAGTCAACTTACTCGCGTTGCCTATTCCACCACCTCCAAAGGCAAGAAAATAATAATTTTATTTGTAACCATGTACTAAAGTTTTTTTCTCTTTCTTTCTTCTTTTCTATGTGTAATCTGTAATTATATATAAAATATTTCTTTTTATTTATTTCAGATTCCAGAAATGGCAAAGAAATACAAAGGTATATGTCCAATCTGTGGTAAAGCACTCCGAATACATACAGTACTTTCAGTATCTGGGTATGTGTATTACATTATAAAAATGAGAGCTTCCAATCTAGATTCTAAATATTTCATTTCACAGTTATGCGTTCTGCTATCAATGCATCCTTCCCGTAATACGCATAAACAAAAAATGTCCAGTGACAAACTATCCTGCCAAGGAAGACGACTTGATACGTTTATATTTGGATTAAATAATAATATATATATGTATATGTTACTAGAAAAATTGTATATATAAATAAAAGGTTGTTGTTTTGCAAATATCTTCTACTATCGCTATTATGGAAGAACAAAGTCAACTTCAATACGAACCTAATGGAAATATTCAAGCATTCATTACATATTGTGACATAATTTTCAGTATCATAACAAGAATTTCGCAGGAATAAAAATTTCATGGCGGTGGTATAAACTACTGATTGAACAATTGCAGTTGTGAATAATATTTACAGGTACATTCTTTTATATTATAGAAAAAATACTGATTTTTAGCCGAAATTTTTAATTAACAACCAATATACTTGCATATTTGAATCACAGACAACGAGGCTAGAAATTCCAGTCATCGTTTTTCGATTGAACACTCGCACCAGACTTTTGGTAAAATATCTTAAAGAATGTAATATATTTCAATACTGAACATTCGACATATAGAATCTAGAAATAAAAATGATTCGCAAAATATAAGAACATTATCTAAGAGGTAATAATGATATTTACCTTTCCTGTACTTTCATATTTCAAAATAATCAGTGTTCAAGTAGTATAAACTTATTAACATCGTATAAGGCATCCTTACGAGTGTAAATATCAATTCGAAAATTTTATAATTTAAAGTATTTCCTGAAAATTACCCTTGTTTTTATTATCGAATACCGTCATTCTAAAACTTGTAAAGTAGATACGAAAAATTATGGCACACTGTTTTATAAAATATTAATTTTAAATAGATGAAACATTAAAAAAATTGACGTTCTTTTCTGCTTTATGTAATTGCTCGTAAAAATTTAATTACCTATTACATATATTTATTTTATAATGGATTAATGAAGGAAATTGGGATTATACAATATACATTACTGCATATAAAAATTACTTTTCTTTCTCGTTTGAAAAGTATCATATACATTTGATGCTATAATTAGTGAATATGTTACATTTTAAAATACTTAGTACTTAATTAAGTAGAATACTTGAACACTGACTTTTTTTACTACATTGATAGGAACATTTCCTTTTCGAAGGCCACAATTGATAATGCACAAAGATTGTAATGCTCTAGTCTAATCAAACTAACTATATAGCAATTATGTTAGTTATGGTTCATGGCATATGGCATGAATAACAACGATTTCCTTTATACTTACATATTTTCTTATCTAATAAAAACGAATATCAATAAATACTCATACACTGATCGAATATTTTTATATCAATTTTTCTTATATATCACGAATTTAACATCTTAAAATAATGTATCATTACCTCAAAAGATTCAGTGCGTTAATATAAATAATTTCTCATGTTTTTTGCAACTATAACAAATTTTTACTCCTCTTATGTAAAAATTACATAACGGAAAGTCTTCTCTATTTTATCGAAATAAGTTTGATGTATGAGTATACATATTATATCTTTTTTATCATTATCAGACTTTTTAAAATTATGATTTGTATTGCATTGGAATCCTTCGTTTCCTTTCGCAATTTCGTTAAAAATCACATTTCCTACTTGCAGCAGTCGTATTTCAGATTATTCGCATTATTAACTAGAACTATTCGAAGTTACAATTTAATAGCAATCAAGCATGAAAACGTCTTCAAACATTGATCATGAACATCTTGAATACCAAAATAACTATTGTATTTTTTGTACCTCTACCAATCAGGAATCTGGTCATCAGTTATTTTGCAAGTTGTTTGACTAGACTGTAGCTGTAATACAGTTTTTTTTTTCTCTCTCGATAAGCTCCTTTACCAATCATGCGACGCACAAAATGCACGATGCAATTTTTATAGGCACATTCGATCACGTTACATTAAAAAGTAAATAGTACCTAAGCATTATTAGCTAATGCATTACTAGTAACTGAACCGAATTGAAATTAATTCCCATCGTTATTAAAATTTGACAGAGCATCGGGAAATTTGTTTTTTTTTTCAAATTTTGAACTTTAATCTACATAATGTTTCTGTTAAAAAAAGAAGGGTAATATTTTTTAGAATTACCGAAACTTTAAAATATAATATAATATAATATACAATTTTAAAAATTGCTTATTTCTGTACAATCGTTAACACCTAGCAATCCTACTAACAATTTTGATTTCTGTATACGTATTTTGTGCAAAACTTTACTAGCCGAGTTACGAAGTTATTAAACACTGAAAGTTAATACAACAAAATAGGCAAAGATACATGAGCGGGTGGAAACAAACGTAAATCCAAGCAAGGACAATTTTACTGCTATGATTTACTAATTGTATTTACTAATTGTATCAGTATCGTAAATATAGAGCAAATCAAACTATTACTAAAATACAACAGAAAGCGTACGTTTCAGTATTCTAAAACGTATACATACGTACGTGTCTGAGATTCAGAAATTACTCAATCGCATATACTCAATCGCATATTTGTCTCGTCTCCATGAAAAGTCTCCGTTAATTTTTCAATCTCTCTTAGAGCTCTCTAGCACTACAACTCCTCGAAGAACGCAACTCTGGCTTTGGTGGATCCAGATTTCACTTTCTTTAACGTACTATACTTATTTTCACCAAGCCGCACTTGTTCATCATGTAACTGATCTAATTCGCACTGTTTCTCCCCAACTTTCATAACTTCTATCTCTGTGCGCAATTCTTTGAGCTGCTCTTGCAAGTGCTTGCTCTTTTCCCAGTAATCCACTCTTTCTTTCTCGATCTCCATGGAAAGTTGATCGACGTCCCCATCGGCGATTAGATCGTAGGATGTTAAGTCGGCTGGCAGAGGTTCCGTGTCCAGTTGCAATGTCTGAAGATCTGCTTGCAAATCTGATGGGAGTACTTGCGTCGATGGGAACAGATTTGGTACCGGCTACAAAATTATTGAAAGGAATGTTACATCTTGATTGCATAAATAAATATTGATTACAATTAAATAAAACTATATCAACTACGTTTAATTTTAATTTTAAGTAAATCATATTTAATCATTCCTATGATTTTAATGCATACAGCTATAGTTGCGGTGTAAGCGTTCCTGCTAAGGAATTCCAACAATTTCTCCTTTGCTTCTTTCTCGGCGATACGCGCGCGTAGCAGTTCGTCCTTCAATTTTTCTGCTTCAGCAGCTCTTCGCTCTGACTCTTGCACCAGCCTCTCTGTCAACAACTCTGCTTCTCTGGTCTTTCGTTCGAGGTGAACTTTTTCCTCTTCGGTCTTCATATTATTCAATCGTATACGCGTGATCTCCTGCTCCGCCTCTGAGGCCTTCTGACTTAACAGCATTGCCTCTTCTTCAGCTACGCGACTTTTCTCTGCTAGTAGATCTGCAGTTTCTTCAGATCTCCTCTGCAATTACATGCCACTTTCGCGGTGATTATCGAGTATTACGCTGATGTTATAAGCTAAAGTTATATTATTCATGTTATCGTACGAGTGCCTCGTTTGCTAAGCGAATTTCTTCCTGATATTGCAGAAGACGTTGTTCCATAGCGGCCTTTTCCCTTTCTGCGGCTTCTCTGAGTTGCTTCTCTCGCGCTAGTTTGTTTCTTTCGATTTGTCGCCTAATAAAACGACCATTATTACAAAAAGCGAAAATTATACATCATTTTGAAAGCAATAAATTAAAATAGCAGTAATTACTTATCCTTGAAAAGGAATTTTTAAAAAATATTTATACAATTCCTTTGAAGTAAGGTCCCTTTTTGAGTGTTCAAATAAGTATACCAACCTGGCTAAACATATATTTAACTATTTTTAGACTTCAGTTCCTATAAAATAATGTAAAACAACAAAAAAAGAGTAGAAGGAAAAACGAAGACTAAATAGCGTACTGTTATAATTAGCATACAATTATTACATAAATTTCTCGTAATTCGTCACAGCATTATCTCAAGTTTATTTTCATTTATAGACATTAATAAAGCATTCAATTTCACAAGTTGCAGTCAAATTAGAAGCGTTTAATTTATTAAAAAAAAAAAGAAAGAAATATTATTTATCATCATATTGAGGTTGTGAAAAAGTAATGAAAAATGAAGCAACATTCCTGAAGGTATATATGCAAAAGCGTACCTTGATTTTTCTTCTTTAGCTTGTGCTTTCATCTGCTGTACCTCCATAGAATCAGGCTTTCGTCTTCTCATAAACAGATCATGGTTGCCGATACACAGGTCTAGGATCTTAACAAATAATATATGAGCAGCTTTGTCATTGTTTTGTTCGTCGAACCCTAAAGCTATCAAACCCTTCACCCAGCTGCCAACATCTGACTGTTTTTTTACCAATTTATTCATCCGAACTTTCTGCGAGAAGAACACGAAGTTCGGCGACGTTTTCTCCACTGGTTTTATTACGAATTTCTTGTCATCGAAACTGATGTGCCGTATCTCCGACCACGTGAACGTTGTTTTCGGCGCTAGCTTATTTTCCTTCTCGTAAATGTTCAATCCCAGGGCCGTGACTCCCAGCCAAAGGTCAGTTTCCTTTTTATTCTAATAATTTATATTGTTCAATGAAAATACAATCACAACAAGAAGTAACTTCACGTTGTCTGTAGGATATTACTAGACTTACACTAATAGGAAAATAATTTACACCGTACATATCAAGATCCTGGGCAATCTTCAGATATTCCATCTCCGCTTCGTCTCTGGACATACCACGATGATCAGCGTACCAAATTTTTATCCTATCTTCCCACATTTCAGGCGTCATTTGATATTGATCAATGACTCTTTGCGGCAATAAATCTTCGCTGGCCAACATCCCTGGACGATATGAAACTTCATCGTAGTCTCCGTACTACAACATTCAATACACGCAGATTGGTACAAGTAAAAGTATTTGTTTCTCAAGGCTAATTAGGCTACAATCACCTTCGCTTGAACCGCGTAGGAAGCTAACAATACGGATGCCTCTGGTGGGCAGTAAATGTCCATAGAAAGAATAGCTTGTTTCACTTGCAGAAAGAACAAATGCTGTGTCACTTCCTGCACTAATTCTTCAGCAACATCCTCTGGATAAAACTTTGCCAGAAACATGAAAGGTGTTGTCGGTTGTTGGGAGATACATTGATCTTGCACTAAAAATATAAACTCATTAAAATGAAACGCAATTTATAAAACAAATCAAACTGCGATCAATTATTTACCTTTCTTGTCCAATTTTAGCCAGGATATGAACCCTTTAGTGTCCTCATACTGCAGTCCAAAATACCATGTTTCCCTTAATCCTATCGTGCGGCAGACTAAGTCGAACAAATCTCGTCCCGTTGATCTCCACTGCAAGTACAGTACGTGCAGCGTGGTTATTTCGCAGCAAGATATCTGACAGTAACAGAGCGACCAAGCGATTGGGTTGAAACTAACCTCCAAACTGAATTCCAGTTCAGCGTCCAGCGTACAGACTTTAACGGGGAAAGATTTTCCAGACTTTTTCCTTCGAAACGGTGGCATTTTACTCCTCGTTACGTTCACTCAACATCACGAAAAAGAAAAAGCAGGACGGTCAATGTCGCGAGAGAGACAAAAAAAAAAAAAGAGAAAAAAATGGGACAGAAGAACGAAAGCACCTAAGATCGTGGTTGCAAAACTTGGCCCGACGTTAACTGTTTCTTTTTTTTTTTTCGCATTCGTCCGATAAATCCGAAAAAAGTGGAGAGCTTGAATGATGGATAACCTTACCTACGCATTCGCAACATATTGGCGAAATACATTGAGATACGTGATAACAATTCTTGATCAACTCGAATTCCCGTGGAATGATCCTCGCAACGGTTGATCTCCCCGTTGTGTTACATCGCGTTGCTCCTTTTTCCGTATATGTTATCCTCGGAGGAGAAAAAAAGAATCAGCGAAACTGACAGCAATACGTAAAACGATCCTTGCGTCTTTTTCGAGATTGTTTGTTCTAGCAGTTTCAGCCAATTCGATGATTTCGCTCGAGACACTACATTGACAATCTAGACGATCCAACGCTCATCGATATCTTATCGATACCTCGGAATTTGTAACATCGATTGATCGTCGACACTATCAGTTCGCTTCAGTTCTGTACGAACAGAATTTTTATGAAGTAATATTTTCGAGGGCTGTGCCAAGGGGAAGGTGTAATAAATTTAGTTCAATTTCGTTCTACATGTATAGAGATCTATGTTACCGGTAAAATAATGTTTGATTAATTTCTTCGTTCCTTCAATCATTCGGTCTATATGAACGTGAATAAATGCTATACAAGTACAATAATAACGTGACTCGAGTAACAGTTATTAACGATGCAATAAACATTTAGTAGAACAGTTTCTGGATTGCACGTTGCTTAGCAAGCGTGCTGGTTATTACTAAGTAGTAATTAACAATCTATGTCTATTTGAATTCGCGAGGGCGTTATATAAACTTCTACGCATGCGTGCAACAATGCGCGTTCACCTTGCGCAGTGTGCGAAAACGCGCGCAGAAACGTTATAAAACGCGCGTAAAACGGTCGCGTGTGTTGTACTTTGTTCAAAAATTGTTTCTTGTACGTAGAAAATATAATAAGCCATTAGATAATTAAAACTACTAAGTTAAACTAAAACGGTGAATTAAAAGTACAACGATCGAAGTTAGTCAAGTAGTATTATACGTCAGAGATATGACGCCTGAAAACTTTCAATACCGAAATGTGAGGCTAGTCAAAAGTGAAATAATTCTACATATAAAAAGAAGAAGACAATTCTGACTGTATTTCGCGAGTTTTCGGTAAGTCACGCAATATATTAAAATTTTAAAACATTTTAAAATTCTACGAAAATGATCTTTAACGTAAATAATTTACACCTCGCAAAATATTCTTGAAAGCGGTTCTCAACCAACTTGAGAATTTTTAAGAAATATCAACGACTTCGTCATGATTCGTCGTCATGGAATTTAATTTTCTTATTTGCTTGTATTATGCACGCAAATTAATGTTAAATTTTTAACAGCTTCATTGTAATCATGCGACGCATTGACTATGACAAGAAATTCTGTAATTCGTTAACTAAAAACGCGGTAATATCAGTAGTTATAAAAAGATCTTTTCATTTATTGAAACACAGATGACGTAAATTCGGGAATGGGCTCGATATTTAATCACAAAAGAAGGTAAAGAATAGATCTGTATTATCATTTTATTAATCATATGTAACGTAGTAAGAAAATTAGCATTAGGTCTAAAACTTGACGCAATTTCCAAAGTTCATAAATTGAGAACAATTTTTGCAATTAATGCAGCGTTCGTATCAGCTATGACGCCATTTGTCGGCAATTGTCGATACCAGACTTATCGACGTTTTTAGTGCCAATTCTCGCCGACAGTTGACGCCATCATATCGAAAATAAAGCACTTTTTTTCAATTACATACATATAAAAAACTCAATCTATAATTTTTGAAATCAACGATCTCCTTAACAGTTTAACAAATCTCTTATTTACATAGAAAACTAAATCGTGATCGCAGCCGATTAGCTCATATTATTTGTTATATTATTCATAATTATATCGCAGTAAAGCAATTAGTAATTGCATAATAAATAATAATGACTGTCGTGGTCTTACTACGTTAAGGTTGCTACGTATCGAAACCCATTCACCTTTCTTCTACTTTAAAACAAATTTATTCAATAAAAGAAAAAAGAAACTCCCTTTGGTATATGATTGCAAAATGTTCACAATCTTTTATCATTGTGCAAACGAACAGCAAAAGGAGTTTCAAGGAACAAACTGATTAAAATTAAACCAAAGAACAATATATTAATATACAAATCAAAGTTTAAATTGAAAATAATTATAACGAAGTTATAATTGCTTTGAACTATTTTACATATTTAGAGAAAAAATAAAAATTGTTTCACATATATTATATGTTATAGCAATAAGCGAATCATTCTATAGAATGTGCTTACATTGAATTTACAGATATTATCTTATGATTAACTAAAACTAAACGCACGCAACTTAAAGCTAAGACGCACGCATCCCACGATGTCCATGCGTGATCCCTCGTCGTCCATCGGTGGCCCGCTGGGGGCCCAATAGTTTACTTATCAACTAATTGTACCTACAGTTCAGTTTAGATCGTGAAATAAAGAATGGAAAGAAATTTTCACGATTCAAACTGAACTGTAGGTTGCGTAGTACTTAGCTTGATATCGTTTCACAAACATTAAAGCATATCGTTTTACAATTTAGCTTGATAACGTTTGTAAAACGATATCAATTACCAGGTCTCACCACGAGGAGGTGACTACGCACGAGACCCGCCCCGGGCCCTATTCCCAANCAATTACCAAGACCCACCACGTGGAGGTGACTACGCACGGGTCTCATTATAATGTCTTGTAAATCAGTACTGTTTCATATACTTCTCACACAGGTTTCAACTTGTACTGAGTTTAAGTAATTTGTTACAAAGAGAAATGGTATTCGTAAAATAAGGCATAATTGTAAGATCGATCTAATGACTAATTTATGATATTGAAAAAATATTCTTGTTTGACTAATTAATAGTAAAGGACTAAATTATTTTCCGAATTATGAATTCAAAGAGAAATTCTGAAAGTATCTAATAATATTTAAATAGCAATAGTATTGTTAGACTAATATTATCTATGTATATGCAGAAATATAACATATATCACGGTAATTATTAAAGAATGGTAACTAATAAAGTATATCTTGTACGACTACGATACAATGGAAATTGAACTCGTATTCAAGTTCAAAGTATAAACAAAATCAAGTATAAACTCAACATTAAGAAAACCAAACCATGTAACTTACCAATCGTTGAAGTCAAAATGAAAATTCAATTCGTGATGAGCTCCTGTCTCCGCATCGATTGACATTAATCTGAACTTTCGATCGTTAATGATGCGATAAACATAATGAAAATTTCTTAGAAATGTATTAGTGACTCGATTACTACAAATAATTAATGAAAAATTTTAAATAGAACTTAGAAATGTTATAGAAGTGAATTTATTGTTTAATTGTTACAAATAAATCATTAGAAATATTAGATAATGTTTAAACAAGTAGAATAATAAGAAATATTATTTAAAACTTTTGGACGATATGCACAGGACGGAAGTTCGATTGCTAATGAGCCTTAGTACCGCTTAAGGTTAATCCAATGTTTCGATTGTCAATGACGCGGAACTATTGATAATTTTTTTTTAGTACTTCGAAAGTGCTTTCTCTATTATACTAATCAATGGTTTTCAGATTTCCATCGCAAGATTATATTTTGATAAATATTTTTCAATGTCAAGTGTAATAATTTATTAATTTTTTTATTTATAACTGGCTAGAAATAAATTTACACTTTCATGATATTAATTTCTAAGTTATAACTGTATTGATGTATATTAAATAGAAATTCATGTAGAGAAAGTTATGTAGTCAAAAATCGGGTTAAGCAGTCGCTTCAAAATAACATATAAGCGCGACATATAAAAATTTTCGCACGTTTATTGTTTAAGACAGCAAGAAATATATGTATTATGTAACTATCCTTTCCGTTATTGTAAATAAAATAATTTAATTATTATAAAATTATTGAAACTGTGAAATAATGCTTGGGAATTCAGTCACTGATTCAACTGTCATAAGTAAATAGTTAAAATTGTTAATATTTAAAAATATCATCGAAATGCATTAATTTACAATTTGAATAATTCATTTGAAACAATTAAATTACTTTTACAATATTTCTAGACGTCATTCAATAATTTTCACAACTTTTGTATTACGATTAAACAATTAAATTAATCGTTTCATTCAATAACTCAAAGTTATTTCTCTTAAGTGCATTGTACAAGATTTTTATAAATAATTAGTTAAAAATTTTAAATAGCAACATTAGAAACACTAGAGACGAGAATTTATTGTTCAATTGTTACAAATAAATCACTGGAAATATTAGATAATGTTTAAACATGTAGAATATTGAGAAATATTATTTAAAACTCACTCCGAAATTTTGGTCGATGTGCACACGACGGAAGTTCGATTGATAATGAACCTTCGTACCGCTTAAGGTTAATCCAATGTTTCGATCGTCAATGACTATTGATAATTTTTTTTTAGTACTTCGCAAATACTTTCTCTATTATACTAATCAATGGTTTTTCGATTTCCATCGCAAGGTTATATTTTGATAAATATTTTTCATTGTCAAATGTAATAATTTATTAATTTTTTTATCTATAACTGGCTAGAACTAAATTTACACTTTCATGATATTAATTTCTAAGTTATAACTGCATTGACGTATATTAAATAGAAATTCATCTAGAGAAAAGTTATGTAGTCAAAAATCGTGTTAAGCAGTCGCTTCAAAATAACATTTAAGCGCGACATATAAAAATTTTCGCTCGTTTATTGTTTGAGACAGCAAGAAATATATGTATTATGTAACTATCTTTTCCGTTATTGTAAATAAAATAATTTAATTATTATAAAATTATTGAAACTGTGAAATAATGCTTGGGAATTCAGTCACTGATTCAACTGTCATAAGTAAATAGTTAAAATTGTTAATACTTAAAAATATCATCGAAATGCATTAATTTACAATTTGAATAATTCATTTGAAACAATTAAATTACTTTTACAATATTTCTAGACGTCATTCAATAATTTTCACAACTTTTGTATTACGATTAAACAATTAAATTAATCGTTTCATTCAATAACTCAAAGTTATTTCTCTTAAGTGCATTGTACAAGATTTTTATAAATAATTAGTTAAAAATTTTAAATAGCAACATTAGAAACACTAGAGACGAGAATTTATTGTTCAATTGTTACAAATAAATCATTGGAAATATTAGATAATGTTTAAACATGTAGAATATTGAGAAATATTATTTAAAACTCACTCCGAAATTTTGGTCGATGTGCACACGACGGAAGTTCGATTGATAATGAACCTTTGTACCGCTTAAGGTTAATCCAATGTTTCGATCGTCAATGACTATTGATAATTTTTTTTTAGTACTTCGAAAATACTTTCTCTATTATACTAATCAATGGTTTTTCGATTTCCATCGCAAGGTTATATTTTCATAAATATTTTTCATTGTCAAATGTAATAATTTATTAATTTTTTTATCTATAACTGGCTAGAACTAAATTTACACTTTCATGATATTAATTTCTAAGTTATAACTGCATTGACGTATATTAAATAGAAATTCATCTAGAGAAAAGTTATGTAGTCAAAAATCGTCTTAAGCAGTCGCTTTAAAATAACATATAAGCGCGACATATAAAAATTTTCGCTCGTTTATTGTTTCAGACAGCAAGAAATATATGTATTATGTAATTATTTTTACCGTTATTACATTTAAAATAATTTAATTACTAGAAATGAATTATTCAATGCTTGGGGATTCAATTGTTGTATGTGAATAACTAAAATTGTTAAATAATATACAATAATATCTTCGAAATGCATTGTTTTGTAGTTTGAATAATTCATTTGAAGCAAATTATTTTATTTGTACAATATCTCTAGACGTTATTCATTAATTTTCACAACTTTTATGTCAAACGATTAACCAATTAAATTCATTATTTCATTCAACAATTCAAAGTCATTTTTCTTAAGTCTCATTGTTCAAGATTCTTATAAATTATAAATATTAAAAATTTTAAAAATATTACAGCCGAGAATTTATTGTTTAATTGTTGCAAGTAAATTATTAGAAATATTAGATAATGTTTAAACAATTGGAATATTCGGAAGTATTATTTAAAAATTCACTTTGAAAGTTTAATCGATGTGCACACGATGAAGGTTCAACTTATTATGATCTTTTTTCTGTTCAGGTAAAGTCAGTGATGCACAGCAGATGGTAATCTTCATCAACGCTTCCAAAACAACTTTTTCTATTCAGCATTCAATAATTTTACAGCATTCAATAATTTTGTTATTGTCTCGTGGCCTTCATTGATTCAAGGCAACGATGAATACTGTAATTTTTATATTTTTTACAAAATGGAACTACGGTTTTGCACGGTTAGTTTTTAATTTAATAATTCTGTGTGACATGTACCGAGTGCTAATTTATAAGTCTGTGACATACCACCAATACGAATTTATATAGAAAATAATTATATTCTTTTCTCACAGTACGACACCACAAAGATCTTGAAAGTGCCACTTGAACGAAACTTCTAGTTATTCCAACGAAACAAATAGGAATCATACATGGGACTACGAAGCAGTGAAAGGCAGTCGAAAGTAAGGAGTGAAGTGGAATAAGCAAGGCGGTACTATTTATTGCCTATTCGATGATAAACGACAGAAAAAAAAGGTATCATATAACAGGGCGAAGCCGTTTTAAAAAAAGTAATTTATTCCTCTTCAACGAGTTTCATTGCCAGACTTATTTAAGTCCAATCATTCGATATGACTTGTGTATGTTTTGTTACACGTAGTAAAAAAAATTCGCATACCCTAGGAAAATGTTGCCTTCAGGGGAACGAAACGTTACAGAGTTTTATATCAAGATTACATTTCGTCTTGCAATGGGGTATGTAGTGTTGTTTCTATCAGTTTGTTCCTAATATACAATTTACAAATTATTTGAAGCACTGAAAAAAATTGCACATTTCTTCTCTATTTAACATATATATATTATATATATTTTATATTTATATATTATTTCTATTTGTCCGTAGAATTGTCTCTTTCTTTTTTATGCAGATAATATTTGTTAAAGAGAATGGCGAACTTTTCTATGTGCTGTCTCGACCAAGAACTCGGCTATTAATGGCAATAACAGCCAAAGAAGAAGGGAAAAAGAAAAGTCTCAGGATCATTGGGAATCCACTGGTTCCGTCAGTGTCACTTTCTCGACTTTTCATTCGATCATTTTTTTCCGCCAGCGAAATTGAATGTACTTCCAATAAACGTATGTATCTATGTATGTATGTACGAGATATTTTTTTTTTATTGTTAGAGTTAGATAATCTCTCTCTCTCTCTCTCTCTGAATCAAAATATTTCGAGCAATTGTACTTTGTGAGTATATTTTAAATAACTATAATAAACATCATATAATAATATTTAAAGTAATTAAATGGACAATGATATTTCAGATATTACAAGCGAGCATAATAATATTTTGAATAGCTATACGGAACGTATAATAATGTTAACATCTCGTGAAAGAATATCCAGAGATATGCAACCGTATTTTATTGCACTTTAGCTGTAAGCAGACTCGTAAATAGATGAAATAGAATTTAAATAGAGCTCTGTTTCATGGTCTGAATGTTATGACGTGAACTTTAATTCGTACATTATTTGCATCTTGTGTATCTTTGCACGTTTTAAATACCCAGTACGTGTAGAGATATTCACAGTCTATTTATAAGAAACTATATGTGCAGCGAGTGAATTTATATAATATTTCTATGCTTGCAGAAGATAGAAGTATAACAAAAGAAACAAATGTTTAGTTGGTTTAGCATAAGTTATATATCTATATTTCTGACATTTTTTTTACCTTCTTATAATCATCTTGTATGTTCTCTGTCCTGATTTTAACAACGTTCAGCAAAAATATGTTCAGCAAAAAAATATTAACAAAATAATGATGCTAATTCTCGTGTATTCATGCTTACATCTTTTCATCCAACATTGAATTTCCATTCCACGCATTGTTCCTCACGTTTATTTATTTGTGGTATCGTTCTCCTCCTAACAACAGCTTTTTCGTTTCATTTCCTGGTCAAATCGCATTTTGTGGAACGAAATATCGGTGACAAGCCGAGTGTGTGCATCCGATGCTGGCCAAGAAATCTTTAAAGGTGATCGTAGCTCTCTTCGAGCTCCTTTGATGCGTGGGGATAACTGGAGCTACCAGTTAAGTCAAGTGTATCGCGTCGAGACGAAGTAGTACACTGTTTCTTTCCGGAGTGCGTGCATCGGATCGAGGTTCCAGAGGATTGGCAGCCGTATAAGAGAATAGAGAAGAGCATCCTGGAAGTCTAGGAAGGGCAATACACGCAGGAACTACTGTCCAACGAGTCGTTAATTGACACACAAAAGACATGAACCTCCTTTATTTCGTAAGTGTTTCTCTTCATTTAATTTTGAATATTCTCTTCTTCCTCTCTCTTTTTTTTTTAGCGAGAATAAATAAATAAATATTGAAAGAAACCAGTAGTGAAATTGCAAAAAACAATACATACAGTATAGAGTATTTTGATGGAAATTAAAAATTGAAAGATCGAGCGTTTGTGAAGATTTGCTATTCGTGAGTGTTTCATTTTTTTTTGTTTTTTTTTTAAATTAACTTCTTTCTTCACGTGAAAATTTTGAACTTTATAGCAAGAATGCTGAATGAATATTGAAGAAACCGTAGCAAAATTACTAGAATATAGACAGTATAACGGAATCGAAATTATCATATTTAAGTAGATAAATTTGTTTATATGAGAAGATTTTATATTTGCATTTGATTTAAAATTTTGCTCGTGCGATTTATTAGAAATCACACGTCGAGTAAATGACAATTGGTAAAATTTACGAATAGGCTTCCTTCCTTGTTCATTCACGTATTTGTAACAGTTTTCACATTTGCTCGTGTAATTTGTAAATGCATTACGACTAGGCAGAACTATTATTTATATGCGAATATGTGTGCAACAGTTAGAAAGTAATTAAATCTTCAGTGAAAGTGAACTTGAAATTACGATACAAATGTCTCTACTTAATAAGTTGTACACTGAATATATTTTTACCATTATTATCCAACAGGTAATATTTATTATCATTATTTATACTCCATTGTATTCCTTCATATTTTTTACGATTCACATGTTTCTTTCCGGTGACAAAACTATTTTCTCTCGATTGTGCAATTTTATTAAATGTCCCACTAAACGTTCCTCGAGACTAGAAGGTAGATAATGATGGTAATTAGGATAATCTTTGCTATTAAGCGCGAAATCGATGAATTTAATGCGAGGAAGAAATTGCCTGATTATAATTTTGTCTAGAGCCTCGTTTTTCATTCACGTCGAGTGAAAATGGAAAACGTGAATTACTATTTGATGGAAAATGAGTCGTACTTCTATTATTTTCTAATATTTCTCACTTTCGTTATATATGTACATTTTGAAATAGAGAAAGACAAACCAATGATTTACAACTTGCTCATCAATGATTTTTGTTCTTTAAACGTAATTTAACAATAAAAATGAACTTTGATCTTGCTAATTCGACATTTTAAATATTATATTTAAAATATTTAAACATATTAAATTATAATAATTAATATAATAAACATATTAATAATATTAAATATATTATTGAACGTATTATAAAATATTTAATATATTTATGCTTCCTCCTTTGTATACAACAGAAAAGGTAGGATTCAAGATGTTCCAGATGCAGAAAGAAAAAATTTAAATTTAAACGATGTAAAATTCTTGCTACTTTAGAAATTCTCTCATTATTGTTGATCAGTTATTTATTTTTATATCTGCTTCTGTATTGTTGTATTCTTCTTTTTATATTTTGTCTCTTTTGATATAATTGTCTTTCTGTACTTGACACACAGAGAGAGAGAGAGAGAGAGAGAGAGAGAGAGAGAGAGAGAGAGAGAGAGAGAGAGAGAGAGAGAGAGAGAGAGAGAGAGAGAGAGAGAGAGAGAGAGAGAGAGAAAGAAGAAATTGATGGAACAAATTATGTCTTCTTGCAGGTGGCTGCGGTTATATGGACGGCAACCGTGACAGCGACATTGGAATCCGATTCCCATGGAAACTGGAGCAACGAAAAGGTAAACGCGAGGAACTTTCCTGTATCATAATACGCCGGCAAGGATTTGCAAATCTTCTTCCCAAGCTGATTTCATTTTCCCAGATCTGATCGCCCGATTCAGATCCATTTGCATTCTGATCAGTCGTCCAGACTTCCAAACCAGCTGAAGGCTTTCTTTCTTTCACGCGAAAGAATTTTCAACCGAGCGACGTTATTTCTCGAGTTTAAGTACCCTTTTTAATATCTGATTAAATTGGTACTTCACCTCTCATTCGCGAGAAGAATTAAAGAGTATCTTTACTTCATTTTCTCTCTGCTGCAATCAAATTGCTGCAGTCATTACGGCAATGGTCTTGGTCAATTTTCATCGAATTCGTTGGTACTCGTACGCGAAAAAAGCGGGATTCTCCTGGTCGATGAAAAACTTCAGATTAGATAACAGCTCTATGCAATCCATGGGAGAAATCTCAATCAGCAAGCAGGAGAAACCATGCGTTAATGTCGTATTAGCACATTTGCGATCGAGGAATTCAGAAAACCGCTTATTCCTCATCCTCTTTTAATAATTCTTCTCGCTCTACGTTGATTGGAAAGTTTCTATTCCCTGTACGGTGGCTGCTGTGACGGCGATGCATAGCATATCATTCTTTATAATGGTACTTTAACGAATCAATGATCGTCCATCGGCTCACTAATCACAAGGAAACAGTTATAAATAATCTTACCTTTATTATTACCGATGATAAACGTTCATATGTTAAAACATTATGAAATTAAAGTATTATATGATTATCTTCAGGATCAACTGAATTAAAAATTAACTAGATGTTTCTTGATGATCAATCATTTACATACATTCCAAAGAATAAACATCTTCTAAAGAATAAAAGTATATCACTCTTCTTTTAGGTATTTTTCAATCAAGGAAATAAGAATTTCCTGTTACTGGTACAGAATCATTTATATAGATTTCAAATAATAAAAATATATCACTCTTCTTTTAGGTATTTTTCAATGAAGGAAATAAAAATTCTCTGTTACTGATACAGAATCATTTCTATAGATTTGAAAGAACATCTTGCAAAGAATAAAAATATATCACTCTTCTTTTAGGTATTTTTCAATGAAGGAAATAAAAATTCTCTGTTACTGATACAGAATCATTTCTATAGATTTGAAAGAACATCTTGCAAAGAATAAAAATATATCACTCTTCTTTTAGGTATTTTTCAATGAAGGAAATAAAAATTCTCTGTTACTGATACAGAATCATTTCTATAGATTTGAAAGAACATCTTGCAAAGAATAAAAATATATCACTCTTCTTTTAAATATTTTTCAATGAAGGAAATAAAAATTCTCTGTTACTGATGCAGAATTATTTACATAGATTTCAAAGAACATCTTCCAAAGAATAAAAATATATCACTCTTCTTTTAGGTATTTTAGGTATTTTTCAATCAAGGAAATAAGAATTCTCTGTTACTGATACAGAATCATTTCTATAGATTTGAAAGAACATCTTGCAAAGAATAAAAATACATCACTCTTCTTTTAGATATTTTTCAATCAAGGAAATAAGAATTCCTTGTTACTGATACAGACTCATTTACATAGATTTCAAAGAACATCTTCCAAAGAATAAGAATATATTACTCTTTTTTTAGGTATTTTTCAATGAAGAAAACAATAAGAACTCTCTGTTACTGATACAGTATCTTCCGAAAAACGTTCACTGTGTATTTAACTGCGTTGTTCCAAATTAAATTGAAGAAGTGCAGGATACTTCCTGAAAGAAGGAAACGAGGATTGTTCGTCATTGACGTACGTATTTTTCTCGGAATTCGCTAGTGGTATTTCCATAACCTAGCCCAAGTTCCGCCCAAGTGAGGAAGAGCTCGCTTTGTCCTTGAAAATGCAACCGGGGGGGAACAGAGCGGAAATTACTTTCGACGCCGGGGACAAAACAATGGAGAACAAGTTTCGTTGCCTTACGTAAATCGACAGAGGGAAACCTTTCACGTGTAAACCCCGTGGTGGACCGATAGACACCATGCGGGGACATCCTTAACCTTCGGGCATAGAAATCTTTAACCTCGATCTACTTGCGGGCGTCATTCGAGTGCTACTTCGTGTACTGTCTCGACGTGTACACCCGCCTCGGACATGCTTCTACGACTGCCTCGTGATGCCTTCTTCAATTAATTCTCGTGTACGGAATCTCTTTCAGACTCTCATTGCCCAGTGTGAGATGAAATTTGTCGTTTCAGAATTACGATTCTGTTCTTCATTATCATCTACTACAGCTGCGGTCTTTTTGCCTAAATCCTATTGATGCAGAATTTTATCATCTTACTCACTATCTTCAACTTATCCTCCGTTTCATAATTATTATACATAGAGTATTGTAAGCAAAAGTTCACTTTACTTATAATGTCACAAAGTAGTATAAGAAACGAAATTTTAAATTAATAATTTTATATTATAAAAAACTAATACTTATATTAATAATCTTATATTATAAAAAAAAAGAAATAGGAACAAACATCTTTTGCTTACACATATTGTTTGTTAGTGTATTGCTTCATTTTTCTTTTTGGCATCAGAGCTGTAAAATGATCTATCTAGAGATCATGTCTTATATTTCACTTTGATTCCTCCTTTGTTCTTTAATTAAATGAATAATGGTCAGAAGTATAGTTTGCTACCTTTAATTTGTGGTTCTCTTACGATCAAGTCTTCTAAATCTTACCTTAGCAATATTTTTTAAAAGAGAAGAGACGAATGGCCTTCCAGCCAGCCTTCATCCGCAAGTTTTAGGTGAAAGTCGTCCTTAACCTTCGCATGCTGCCTAGGTCATTTCACTCGCGTCTCATTCTCTTCCGACAAGTCCGTCTAACAAAGTGCAACAGCTTGCACTTTCCCCCCTGAGTGCGTCTACTCAGAAACGCTTACCCGTGTCATTACACGCTTCGAGAAACGAGCGGCGAGTGCTTACAATCCCTCCTCTTTGCCTATTGGCAACAAGTATAATCGAGTTTGTATTGTCAATTTTGTTACAGAACAGAACTCTCTGAAGTTTGAAGCCCCGATTCGTGGATTTTCATAGTGAAGACTTAATTCCAACGCTATTTGGATTGAACATCAATTTACCATCTTTGTTCTTTTTTAATTTGCTCGCTCTACGAATTCCTCTTCTAAAATTCTACGACACTGCGCTTCTGAAATTTTTTTTATCAATTTTTATTAAAGGGATGGTCATCAGAATTTTGTACCGCAACCGGAAATTATCTGGCCAACTCACTCTCTTCTCTCTCCGGTTGAACTGCTGACATACAGCGAATTCCTGGGATAAGGGCGGGATTTATCTCGTAGTTATTCGACTTTCTCTTCGAGCGTAATTCCGCGAGGCACTTCTGCAGTAGCCTCTCCCGACGTGAAACGCAACATTTTGTAACTGGGCTCTGCAATCTGACGTGGTTCATAAGAAAAGGAAGGCATTGCTTCGCCGTTAATTACTAGAAATCGTAATTGCATCAATTACAGTCGGAGCGGTATATGCAAAGTATTCTCCGATTAACATCTGAGAAAGAAAAAAAAGAAAAAAAAAATGCAACAACGCATTTGTTCTATTCTCATATCTTCGTCTCATTTTCATTCTCTCATTTTTGTTTTCCTTTTAGAATCTAGAAGAAGCATATATTTTTCAGAAGTATGACGGACATTTATTCAGTGTCCAACTGCTGAAATGGCAATTTCATTTTACGACACGGCGATTACCTTGGGCTAATTGATAAGAGAATTTCCTCGCACAAAAAGTGCGAATACTTTCTCCAGGTACTTTCAGATGAAAGCTGGCTCGGTGTTGACCCACCTACTGTCAAAAATTCGACGTAAACAATTCCGGCAGTTCCCTTTCTCTTTCTCTTTCTCTTCTCTTCCTCGCCAACGCGATGCAGCAACTTTGTTTATATGCTCACTGCTTCAATTTGTACTTCACTCTAATTTAAACCGTTCAGTTTCTTCCTCTCAAGAAGTTTTCACCAGTGATTCAACATTCTCTGCAAATGGTAATTCTTCATTCAAGGAAAATTTCTAGGTAATTGTTTCTCTAATTGATCTAATTTTCGAAGTCACATTTTACTAACAATAGCAACTTTTCTCCTAGCAAATCCAAGCTCCATTCAATCATTTTCCACTAGGAAACAGAACTCCTGAAGATATTTTTACTAAATTTAGTTTCCATAAGAAGTTCAACAATAGTTGAACAGAGGCCAAGGACAAGGACATTCTGTCAACGTTACATTTTATTTCAACAAGCCACAAAACAGTGAAAGCGTTGTCCTTTCTTGATCTTTGTGTCCCAAGAAAGAGGCAATTTTGGACACGTTACTAATTTAAAAATACTTCTTCTCCAATCTCAGATGAAAGGGAACTTGGTATCAATTTTCTCTGAGCCATTTGTGTTTGAGTTGCAAAATATTTTCACTTTTTTTCAGCAGAATTGTTGCCAGTTAGCGGCAGAGGTGTAAACCTCTCTTTTGTAGTCTCAGCCAGTGATTTCTCCTTGCAACCGATACTGGTTTCATCTTGCAAAACGACGATCCACTCCCAATATTCTGAAAAATCCAGAACAAGTGAAAACATCGTTGACTCGGGGACTCCCCTTTTAGGGAGAAAAACTTCGAACAGTTCTCAAGCCACGACGCGAATTTCTCCAGCGTTTATTTCTAACAATTATCGGACCAGTTCTCCAGAGAGCTCATTGAAATGTATCGAACGCCATGAACAAGTTAAATACTTTTGTACATATTGGTTAGCATACTATAAATAGTGACATATTATGCGACAGATATTATTAAAAGGTGAGTCTAATAACTTTGCTAGATCACTTCATTCTGATAGGAATTTTGTAAGAAAATTGTACTATCAATCTACCATCAATCTAAATTTCATTGAGCTTTACCAAGTATAAGAAGCAAAGTAAAAATGGTGTATACTAATCGATTATATTTCAGGGTATAGTATTTTGTAATCAACGAATAACGAAATGAAGAAAGGGACTGAGAGATAGCAGAGAAAAGAAGCTGAGAGCTTCCATTTGTCGGAAGAGCGTTTCGACGCGAGGCTGGCCGAAACAGTTTGCTTTTAATAAGATCCAGAGCGGGTGCGCACGACTCTCACTGGTTTTTCTTTTGCGCGAGCTGCAAGAATGCGGCGTGCATCTTTTCCCGTTTTGCCTTTCTTCTCGCTCGAATGGCACTGGAGAAAGGGAGACCGGTAGTTGGTACCGTAACGTCCACCTTTCTCTCATCTCGTCAGGCCAGATGCGTTATTTTCAACCTCCTCTTGCTCGAGACGATACTCCACTTAAGCAAAATTTGTATATCTCGTGGTCCGTTACGGCTTCTGTGATTTATTACAGATTGCTTCTGCAAAAGTTTATCTTACAGTTCGCTTCCTTTGTGAAGAAAAGATCACTTTGAGAAATGTTCGTTTCTTACTGTTTATTAGTTTATTGAAAATGAATATCTTTGATACTTCAGGAATTCTCCAGAGGCTTCTCAAATATAACAGATGTCTCTTTAGAAACGTTCGAATTACGTAATTTCACAATTTCCTTTTGAGCTCTTTGCGAACAAACATTCCTAAAGAAACATCGGATGTGCAAAAGATGGGAACTTCAGTGTCTCCTATTGAGTTACTTAGAAAATTCTATAACTAAATTTTCACTGATCATTTTGAGGAAAATTTAATGTGCAATTAATCCATGAATGGATTCGTTCTACTACACAAGTTTTTATTCGCCACTCTTTTGAATTTACTACAGTTTCTTCGTTTGAGAAAATTTCCTAAAGAATCACTTGCTATTAACAAGGATTCTACAGGTAATTCCCCAAAGATGATTGCTTCACTTGTCTGTGAAAATAACTGTTCAATTTCTGTGTTCTTCTTCATAATATTCTGAAAGAATATAAATCATGATCTACAAAACGTCAAAATTCAGCATTTCCACTGCTGGAAGTATTTTCAGACGATTTTATCAAACCTAATAGGTTTGAACATTAATCATCCGAACGAGTTTTACCAGGATTGGTATTTTTATCAAAATCAATCGATTTTTTTTACTCTCGTTTGTTCACTGAGCGAAGCCACGAGTTTCATTTCTAGGACTTCTTCGTGATTTTCTACTTCTACTTGGAACAAATTGGGTCAGACGCTCGGGCCTCGCCCACTAGCTCGTGCCTCGATGACTGGTACAGCCTGTCTGTACATACATACAGTGCAGAGCATCGCTTTTCTGATCAGAACATCGATACTTTCTTTGGTTCTTTTTTTTTTTTTCTTCTAACAGCGAGAAAGTCAATTGCAAAAATCTGGAAACTTCACATGGAGTTTTATCTCCATTGTAAATTTTTTCTCTCCACTATACACATTGTCAAACCTGTCATTGCTATGCCAGAGAACTTATTAATACTGTTAAACTGTCAACAATCCTAATTCAATTGCGCAGGAGAACGATTCAAGGACCACTTACAATACATTTCAATCGATGAATTTTCACTTTAACGAGGACCATTTTATTCCATTATTGTAGGAACTCTCCGACGGTATCTACGATCAACAAGCACTTAACAGCCAAAAACACGGCGAAACTGGGAACGTCGAAGAAGAATCAACAAGTCAATACGAAAGGATCTTTGATGCGTCTGAAACAGTCAAACCTGCTGAAAAGGGAAAAGAAGAGGACGAAGAAGAAGAGGAAAAGGAAGAGGAAACACTGATCGAGCCTCTTGGTAGAAATGAGGAGAATCAACAAGTGGTTGGTACTCACTGACGTGTGACATTCAAGTTGGATTCATTTAACATTAGAGAGATAAATCCTAGACTTTAGAACCCCGTCCACCTCTAGACAAAGTAGTAACACTAGAAAAATTTCTCCCAACACTTCGAGAGATTACTATTTAAATAGTTGATAAATAATCTGTTCTGTTTCGAGCAAACAATCTCTGCCGACCAGTTATACTCAAATTAAATTAATGAAATTAATCGTTCTCCCCGGCACGTGTACTGATGAATAAAAATGTCCGGATTGATTTTCACGCTGTTGAACTGCTACGTTTGATCGATTAATGGGCAATTCCCTCGCTTTCCCTCGGTGGAAAGCAATTCGCTTTCGATGCCACGCGAAGCGCTGGCTAATCATATCAGGAAAAATGTATTTGCGTCATCCGACGTATAAAATCGGCGATAAACACGCGCGAGAAATGACGAAATGGCCGAAATTGCAGCACGTTGCAGAAGTTGCTTTCAGCAAGTCACGACAGAAGGAAATAGTTATCTACCTGGTTATATATAACGCCAGAAATTCATACGTATTTCGATGCACGCAATTTTCAATTCACCCGATAATCGTCTGACGCGCGCTTTCACTCGAAGCGTAAGAGGAAACGATTATTACGTTGCATGCCATAGGATAGATACACACAGACGTTCATTTTTGCACAAAATAGTCATCCATCACGCGACATTGTCTGCAATATTTGTTTAAAATTGAAAAACGTTGCTGTAGGTTTTTTTTTTTATCTTTGAAAGTCTTCATTTTGATTTTGACTCATGCCTCTCCTACATTCAATTAACTAATAAAAAGTCGTCTCTAATTTAAAAATCGCATAAAATCACCCAGGGATCTCTCCTCTCTCTCTCTCTCTCTCTCAACGTTAAATCCATCATCATACGTTACGTTTAACAAACGTAATATCTAAACGTAGTAATATCATTTCAGGCCGAATCCCAACAGCAATTTTCCAAGCAGCTAGTTCAACCGTACGTCGTGCCCCTGAAAGCGAAAAGCGTTTCAGGAAACGCGTCGAGCGAGTCGGCGGACATTCCGAGGTCAACGAGAGTCAGTCAAGTCACAGCCAACGAAACATTCACGGTGGAATACGTCCCTTCTCAAGAGATAATCTTGCAAGACTACTCCAGCTACAACTCTCAGGAGAGTAGCGCCAACGACCTGAGCCAAACCGTCTCTAAAGGGAACCCGGCTGACGTTGAAAACGTGGGAGAGTTTGGGCAACGAGTTCGCAGCTCGTCCCCTCAGCTCAGGTCGAGAAACAACGACGGCCACAGACGACTACGGAACAAACAGTCGCTCGATGCTCAATCGTCCTCCACCGAGGATCAACGAAAACAATATAGAAAGAACTTCCGTTCTTACGTGAGGAAACTGAACGTGAGTAGTTCCGACGCATTCCCCAAGGATCGATCCCCTTTCTCTCCGGCGAAGAACGCAGCGCCGCAGAGAAGCTTGAAACAGAAGGAAACTGACAATGAAGGAGATCATATTGTCATCAAGGATGCCTCCTCGTCCACGTCCACGGTTCCATTGGGCAAATTCTCCGGCCCAATCGTGGTCCCGGATCTTCCGCGACAGAAGAAATACTCGTACGCCACCACGGTCGACTACATCGACGAGAACAACGAGGTATCGAGGCCAGCAGTCGTTGAATCGGCAACGCCGAAAGTTTCTGAAACCTTGGGCTATCAAGCGGCGCCGCCTGTCGTCTTGAACCCTCTCCAGGTTGGCGTTGCTCTGATGAACGCGGGTCAGGATCTGGTCAACGGTGAGGTCACCCTGACGAAACTGTATCCCCAGGAGGAGCCTGAGAGTCAAGAGGCTACGGAGATCGGCGCGCCGAGTTTGATCCAGAGCGACGTTCCGGGCAACTTGAGTTCCCAGAGCGACCAGGTCGGGCCAGTCAAGTCGGTGGAGATCCAAAAGTCCGTGGAGATATATCACACGGCGCCCATTCAGGAGATCCACTATCCTGTGGAATTCGTTCCCAATGTTCAGCAGCTGCCGCTGGTGAAACAGCGCGGTCAAGAAGACCAGAGGAAGCCAGGTAGAGGTCAGCTGAAGGAACAGAGGCAGAATCAGGTGAACGTGTACAAGAGCAACGAGATTCTGGATGAAAGTGTCTCGCTCAACAGCCAAGAACGTGGTCGTTACGAATACAACGCGAACGAGAACGACGTTGTCTACTCAGCGACCTCTGGTCAGGTCGACCAGGCCGTGGCTGTTGCCAAACCCCCTACAGCTGTTTTCGGAGCTAAAGAGCAAGTGGACGGCAGCAGCCAGTACGACCAGGTAACGATCAAACACTCCAAACTGCAAGGAGTCCCCGAGATAAATGTTAAACAGGGCAGCTACGAAGCAGCCGCCGCTGTTGCGCAACCGCCGAGAGGAGTGGAGAGTGTTCCAAGTTTGGCTAGTCCGGAGAACCTTCAGGAGCCGCCCCAGCAGATTCTGCTGACCAAGGTCGCTGGCGAGCCGCCAGCCGAACTGAGGCTGCTGATGTATCATCATCCGGCGGAGAAGAACGTTCACCCGCCGCAAACGGTGGACGTGGTGGAGAAAAAGGTGCCATACGCGGTGGAGAAAGTGATCGAGAAGCAGATAACGATCCCCCAGCCGTTCCCCGTGCACATACCGATAGACAGGGTGGTGGAGAAGCAGATACGGATCCCGTATCCGGTTCACGTGGAGAAAGTGATCGAGAAGAAGGTGCCGCTGGCCGTGCAGAGGTTCATCATACCTCTGCCGATTCACTTCAGGGTCCCTCAACCGGTCCCGATCCCGGTGAAGAAGGTGGTGGAGAAGCCCGTGCCGATCCCCGTGCCCGTGGTGGAGAAGATCGTCGAGAAGCCGGTGCATCTGACGAGGCCGTACACGATCGAGATTGAGAAGAGCAGGCCGTACACGTTGGAGAGCACCAAACTCGTCAAGTCGGTGCCGATTTACAACGTGCAGCCGGACGTTGTTGGTTATCAGCAACCGGTCAGACAGAATTTTCAGACGCCCGTGGAGTCAACCTACGCGAGTGACGGCGAGCAAGGTTACTACAACTCGACGAGTCAGTTTTACGGTCCAGGATACTTGAACTTGAACCGTCCTCACGCTAGGCAACCGACGTTGGTGCACGCGTTGCCGAAGAAATTCGCAACCTCGTACAGCGTTCAGTATCCCCACTCGGTGATTTACTCGGTGAGCAACGGTAATTTGCTGGCTTACGGCAGGGCGGCCGAAAAGGACAAGCTCAAGGACGAATACGTCGGCCCAGTGCCAAGAAAAACTTCCATCGGGATACAGTCGAAGTCTCTCTACTCGTCGCCGGACGCTGTTCAGGCAACGCTGAGAAGAACCAGGCAAGAGGCTGCTGTCGGGAACACCGGTAGCTTCAGACAGTCCAAGATGGAGTACGGATTCAAACCACCTATGGTGCCCTCGGTCCAGTACGACGAACAGACCGCGACGAAAGTGGAGTAAATTTGCCCCGGGTTGTAATTTCGCTTCTTCCGTTCATTCAGCCGTTTAAAATCCTTCGATGAATGACAATTGGATTGCACAGAAATATTCCACTTGTGATACTATAAAGACGTGGTTCCCAACGTGGCACAATTTGATCTAGAGGGGCAATTCGAGAATGAGTTATCAACAGAGATTGTTTCTTTAAATGAAAATTTAACTTTCTAATCTGTTTCTTCCATGGATATCATGTTCTTTCGAAGCATGTGAAACTCGACCAAGTTAATTTAGGTTCCCTCCACGTCAAAAAATAAATTTTTGGAATAATAAGAATAATAAGAATTGTGTGTCATCAGGATTTTAGAGATGCTGGGAACCACTGCTATGGAGAGTCTGGAATTTCCAAATTACGTGGCCCAATTTTTCTCATCATTACTTTATTACACTTCTTCGTTTGAAACTGGAATTCTGTAATTTTCCAAAGGAGAAACTCCAAAGGAGAGCGAATCCTTCCCTTTTAGTCGCCTCTTACGACAAGCAGGGACTACTGTAGGTGAATTCTTGGTCCCCACCCACAGGGACGAATAGTGAAGAAGTCACTAGCAAATTTCCCCCCTGTACAATGATCAATTTCAACAAGCGGAGAGAAATGTTTACTGTCCTCTGCATCGCTTTCTTCACTATCTGCTTTCAAGTGTTAACCCCATGATGATTAATGCAATGTAAATACAAGGATGTATTATATTTATTGTAAGCATGGAGGCATTTAAGAAGAGGAAATATCTCATGTAACGATCATCTAAATAAATTTCGTTAATCTTGTTCTTTTTTTTTTTTGGTTTTCATCGGATTGATTGTACTTTAGGTAGCAAAGACTGATACATAGTACAATTGTAGAAAGTATCACGTTTCAGAACTTCTTCTTGATGCCATTCTACATTGGATTTGAAGACGAAATTGTAATCAATTCCTCTTTGAAATTGATAATGTATGTACTTTTTGAATAAGAACATTCAACACCCTCAAACTTTTTAATTTGTATCTTATTTTTTTTATAGTAAAGATACGTTAATTAAATTACGATTATTATTACATTTCGTACGTTTATTAAATTATCTGTAATATGAAATGCATTATCATTATTTTCATTGTAAAGAAACATTATTCAAGCTCTTCTCTGTTTTCATCTCTTTGAATAAAGCTTATGTATTTGCAGGTAGAGGAAATGCACAATATAATTCAACGTTTATTCTTGGACGGTACCTGTTTAATTGCTCGAACAATATATATTATAACAATCGTCATATATCTCGTCGGGTCAATGAAAAGAAAAAAAAAAAAAAATACTGATACAGTTGCAAATAATGATTAGAATACTCTGGACCCCCGCCCAGGAGATGAAGTTGATTTCTGCTGGTGACGCGCATTAATTTATCCATACGCACGTACATACATATACATACATATTATATTTATATATATAATTTATATATATATATATTTCTTTATTTATATATAACTTTATGTATAATCTGTAAAGGTGAGTCAGTGCCGCTCATTTTCTTCGTTGATCTGTAAACTCTATGTACAATACTCATTTTACATTATATTAAAAAAAAGAAAAAAAAAAGAAGAGAACGTACAGTAGAAACTTGATTAACTAGTCATATCTAGTAGAACTTTCTAGCCTAACCAACTTGGCTTAGTCATCACCTAATTTTACTTTCTCAATTTAAAATATAAAGTGGTGTATTTACAAAAAAAAAAAAGAAGAAAAAAATATCCAGTCTATTGTAATTTGTAAAACGAATAGTTTTACAGTTGATAATCTTGTCAACTGGTTATAGATAATGAATGTTGGTGAAGAAAAAAGGTCACTAATCAAGACTTTAACTGGATTTAACAGTCTGTATAATTTGATATGCAACGTACAACAATAAAACTGCAGATTCTGATGTTACAGATCTTACAAAATACTTCCGATTGCTCTTATAATCGAGACTCTACTGTACCAAATGGTAAACCTTAAGAAGAAGAAAAAAAAAGAAAATAAAGAAACAAGAAGATCCATCTCTCACTCATGTTTTCAGGGGCGTACAAGAAAAGTGTAGGGTACGTTCGTTTGAATGGATCACCTTGCACGCTCAGACCCCAATTTGTAATTTTTACGATCACAGCTGCTACGGAAGAAAAACTGTACACTGACGTTCCCCGCGCATAGTCTAGAAAAATGTACAAACACATATAACAATGCTCATGTGCGGTCTCACGAGCAAACTCAAAAAGAAAAAGAGAGAAAACAAATCTTTCTCTCTTTTCTCTGTTTTTTCTTTTTTCTTTTTTCGTTTCAAAACAAACTCATCTCTTCCTTCGTCGTGAAGAAAATTATATATAAATTCACGCTCGTCGAGGTCCCTCTCTTTCCCCCTTTTTTTTAAACGTATAGTCCCTTAAACACCCGCTACAATTCACCTCGAGTTGTCTTTAATAAAAGATATGGAATGTTTTGCTTTCATTATGGTACATGTATAACGTGAAATTAACATTCTGCGATAATCGTATTTACAAGACTTACAAATCGCACCTAAGATAATTCGTCATCGGTCGCACTTCAATCTCAATAATGTTGAAAGATCAAAACACGATTTTCTCTATTTCTTTTTATAGAAAATTCTTGCGATTCATTACTACTTTTTCTTTAATTTCTGTCTGTTTCAGTTCACTGTTATGTTGTGATTGAAATGGAAGTGCCACAGACACAGAAACAGTGGCGTAGTCAGATGCGCTGCAACTCGTTTTCTCCTTCAACTTAGTGTAAATAAGCTACAAATCTACAATTTAGTCGCGCTCTTCTATAGAATTTTACAGTGACATACACAATGCAAAAAAAAAAAAAAAAATTTGACCGTGCTCGGTCTTTGTGCTCCATTAAAAAAATCCTCTCCGTCAAATACAACCAAATGTACCCACACTCGTTTAAAAGATATTTGAAAAAGAAGATATCCCGTAACGAAACGAAAGTTTGGAAGAATTCTCTTAGCAATTTTTAAAAAAGAAATTGTTGGTTATTACCTATTAGTTAGTTGTAAACTTCATAATGACACTTACACGCATCTAAGAAAATAACAATTGCAACAAACTTGCGAAGAGATCGACACGTCGCGTTGTAAAAACCTTAAAAGATCTCTCCTCCCCCTGTTTGTCTTTCAAAATGCTGACACTTCCAACTACGTCACTGCACGAAAGAGTATAAACTATCTAACATTCGGACTTGTCTTCTTCGACCAACTGTTGCGTGTCCTTCCCCGAGTCAATGGGTGTCGGGTCGAGCTCTCTTCTCTTCAGGTGCAACTGCGGTGACTCCTTGTGCTGGATGCTAGACGGCTTCATCTCAGCTGGCAATTCGTACATACTGCTGGCGCCGGTGCCGTTCGTAGCGCCTGTCTCCGTGTTCACCGCGTCGTACATCGGATTGCTGAAGTCCCTGTTCTTGTTACTCACGTCACCGAGATTGTACTCCACGTCCAGAGGTTCCTGAAGAAGAGATTTTCCAATGTGGTAATAATTATGACAGCGTAGCTGGACGACACGTCTCAAAAGTGGCATTCATTTTGGAAATCACAAAAGTGAAAAATATATATACCATTCTCTCGTGTGCAGGTACACCAAATTCAACGTTGCTTCCTTGTCTGAAGGACACGCTCTGAGCACCAGTTAAACTTCCAAGACCACCAGGTTTCCCGCTGCGAAAATCCACCAAATCCATGTCATAAAGTTGATTGAGCAGAATGGTTCATGAATTAAGATTATTATAATAAAACTTACAACGGCCGTTTCTTGAGCACCATAATAACGGCCGCGGCTCCAAGGAGAACCAGGATGGAGACAACGATGGGTATCACGATGGCCGCGGTGGCGTTGCTCGACCTGGCCCCCAACGTGACCTCGCAGTACTCGCCGTGGAAACGAGCTGGACAGTCGCACTGCAGCTTACTGTCCTCGACCTCCTGACACAGTCCGCCGTTTCTGCAAGGGCAGATCCTCGGCGCGGGGAGCGGCCTCTCGTTAGTCGCGTCGCAGTGGCGCTCGTTCGACCGTACAGTTTCCCGGTGTTGGAGAGGCCCGATGCTGTCCGAGCAAAGGCAGCGGTACCCACCGGGAATCGGGACGCACAAGTGGGTACACTGGTCCTCGTGGCACAGATTCCTCAAGGAGATGTTGTATCTCTGCTGATGGTACACCTTCACACCGCCGGAATTTGGCACGTGCCTGATCATCACCTCTGGCACGCCCCTGCCGAATTTGTCTTGCCTAATCAGTTCGCCAGTTCTCCTTGTTGTCCAGTACAGACTGTTCTCGAAAACGTCCAGGGACACCGGATGCTTTAGGCTGTCTCCCTTAATGATAACCTTCCTGTTTGATCCATCCTGCAAACATCAAATCTTGGAGTAAAGCTGAATATTCCTGAATAAAAACTATTATATAAATTATCCTGGAGCATTTCATAATGTTTTCACTACATCTGATTTTGAAGAATATACAAATATTCCAAGTCAGTATATAATATGTCATTATATTTATGTAGTAACTCAAATACTTCTTTTATTTAAAGCAGTTGATCTTCTTCGATTTTCCTCGATGATATATACTTCAAAGATCAAACAGAAAGGATACCTGTTCGATAGATTCAATGGTGTTGAGTTTACTGTCAGCCCAGTAAAGAACATGCTGCATAGAGTAGTCAATAGTGAGCGCGATAGGTTGTCCAATGCGATCAGAAACCAGCTGTTTTCGCCTGTCACCGTCCATCCAAGCGATCTCGATCTTCGGTTGGCTTCCAGCATCTGCCCAAATGGCCCGGCCTACCTCCGGGTCTACGACTATGGAGGTTGGGATTTCCAGGCCGACTGTGATCAAACTTCGACGGTATCTACCGTCCGCTTTCGAGACCATCACTCTTCCGAACAACGTCGCACCCGAGGAATCGATCTCTGTCCAATAAAGATTACCGGAAATCCAATCTACGGCCAAGCTTGTTAGCCCTGACTCGCCTTTGAACAAAGATAAAGGTAAGATAAATTAATATAATTAATACAATATAATATAACATAATTAATACAGGTGGGCCAAAAGTTTCTTCCCAGCTATTTTTTTTTTTTTTAAATAAAACATCAAAATTTTATTAATTTTAAATTAAATTTAAATTTAACTAAAAATCTGTAAAGTTTATTTAAAAATCTGTAAAAAAAAGGATTTATTTTAAATGACTTTTGGTCTACCCTGTGTATAATATAATCTACGATTGTAATTATAAAATATATAGCTAATATAATTTTACGATCGAGCAGGTAAAGAAATTTACTCTTTATATTGAGATCCTGAGCGTAACCGATCTTCACTTGTCCACCTTTCGCGTTCACCATGTACGACCTCTTGATGGAATTATCGTAACCATCGATCCAGAACACGTACTCCGACCTGGGATCGAAATCCAGCGCCTGCACCCTTTTCTCGTTCGCAATGACTTCAACCTCCTCCTTGTTGTGCGCGTTGTAAGCCCTGATTCCAGGCCCATTGGCAAACAGGATCATCGTGTCGGTGTCCGTAGCTCTGCAAACGCCACTGCGACTGTCGGACAGTTCGAACCCTTGTCTGCACGAACAGGAGTAGGTGCCATTTAGATTCGTACAAAGTTGAGAGCATTGGTGCTGACCAGTGGCACATTCGTCGATATCCTCGCAATGCTTCCGGTCGTCTTGCGCTATTATGTAACCGGGATAGCACGCGCAAATGTATCCCCCGTCGGTGATGTTGTGACAATAGTGGGAACAACCACCCTTGTTACTATCCAGACAGGGTTTATTATGATCTACGAGAGAAATTAATGGATATTAATATTTAATTACACAAATATTTAAATAATATAAATATTATTCAAATTATATAATTATTTATATTATAATTATATAAATTATATATATTATAATTATAATATATATAAATATATATTATAATTATATAAATATTAATATATTATATAAATATTCGAAACAATCAATTACACGAATTTCTATATAATTAAAATTTCTCATCTGTGTGATTAAAGTAATTCAGTGAGTAAATTCTATGCAATTAAGATTTCTGTAAACGTAGTCGTCAATCGAGTTTTTCGAACTTACGGCAACCGAGCTCGTCGGAGGAGTCTCCGCAGTCGTCCGCAAAGTCGCAGAGCTTCAATCGATTGATGCATTTCTTATTGGCGCACGTGTACTCTATCATGGAGTCGCACGGATGGATCCTTGACGCGCACATGGTCATATTGTTCTCGTCAGAGCCATCGCCGCAGTTGTCGATGCCGTCGCACAATTGATACTTGGCGATGCATTTGTGATTGGCGCACTGGAACCTCCTGGTTGTGTCGCACTTGAAGTTCGCTGCAGGATGTCAAAATAACGCGATTAAACACTGTGATTGGAAGAGAACTTAAGAAATATGTGATCATTTCCTGGAGGAGAAAAATTCCTCATCTTCTCTACACACTCTTCATAGTAATATAGCTCAACTGTAAATATAATATTAATATTATATTGTAATATACATAATTAACATAATATTGTAATATATTATATCATATTACAATAAATATATAATATGGTAATAAATATAATATTAATATTAATATTTAGAGATTAAGCTATTAATATTAATTGTAAGTCAATTGTACAGTTAAATTTACTAATATTAATTGTAAATGTAATATAAATATAAATGAAAAGAAGAAAGAAACGTACCGCACATGCTGGCATTCTCGTCAGAGCCGTCGCCGCAGTCGTCGCTTCCGTCGCATATGTCAGTGAGATAGACGCAGAGATTGTTGTCGCATTGGAATCTCGACTGCGGGCAGTATCTTCCTCCTGGATACCTCGGCGGGCATCCGATCTCGTCGCTCATGTCTCTGCAGTCGCGCGTGCCGTCGCACCTCAAATACGACGCGATGCAGTGGCCGCTGGCGCACTGGAACGTGTACGGCTTGCACACGAACTCCTGGCAGCCATTCTCGTCGCTGTTGTCCCCGCAATCGTCCTCGGAATCGCATCTCCACCTCGAGGCGATGCACTTGCCATTGTCGCACTTGAACTCCGACTCAGAACACTCTCTGTAACGATCCTTGCACATGGCCTCCGTCTCGTCGCTACCGTCGCCGCAGTCGTCCGCGAAGTCACACAGCCACTGCTTCGGCACGCAACGGTTGTTCGCACACTTGAAGTCCATCTCCGGGTCGCATTTCGGGCAGTTCTCGGGTAGCTCGTCGGAACCGTCGCGGCAATCGTCCTTGCCATCGCAGAACAGCCACTTGGGTATACAACGGTAATTGGCGTGGCCCGGACAACGCTGCCAGCCGGTGGTGCAGTTTCTCTGGCGGCACATGTACGCCGGCTCGTCGCTATCGTCGCCGCAATCGTTGTCCGAGTCGCACATCCACACTTTTTGGATGCACCTGCCGTTCTTGCAGGTAAACTCGGTACTCAGGTCGCACGACCGGTTATCTGAGAAGTGAGATGAAGAATTGAATTTGTTGATCAGTTTGAGGAAGAGAAAGAATATTCGGGGAGGAGGACTCACGGCAAATAGCGGGATCTTCATCGCTGCCATCCTTGCAGTCGGCGTCCCCGTCGCACTTCCAAGACTCGTGAATGCAACGACCGTTGGACTTGCACTTGAACTCCAGCTCGCCGCATTCCAAGCTGCAGTGAGCCTCGTCGCTCTTGTCCCCGCAGTCGTCCGCACCGTCGCAGACGGCCACGCTAGGCCTGCAGTTACCGTTCGCACACTGGAAGACACTAGGCCGACAGACACGCGGCGGGCAACTGGTAGGCTCGTCCGAGCCGTCCTTGCAATCCTTCTCACCGTCGCACCTTCAATTAATTAGTAACATACATTAAAAATCTATTCTTATTCTTCCCTATTCTTTCCCTTACAATCAGACAAAGAAGCTACGATTAACGAATGGTTCCATTGAGTTTGACATTAGGGAAAGTAGTTCTCATACTCACTTCCAATACCACGGAATGCATTTCTCATCCGGAGGGCCGCACCTGTGCTGGCCAGCGGTGCAATTGGCTCTGCAGGTTTTCCCATCTTTGTCCAGTATGAACTGATTGGGGCACTTGCATTTGTACGACGTGACGCCGGGCTGGCCGTATCCCTCTAGGAGATAGGAACTCGCAGGTGGTGAAATCAGACACAAGTGAGAGCAACCGCCATTGTTCTCCATGCAGGGATTGTTGTAGGGCAGCTGTCGCAGAGGGTGGTACGCGTGGATGTCGTACGGCCTGTGAGTGGTGTTTCTTAGCACCCGTAGATTAGCTCCGGAGAATTTCTCCGCTCTGCTGATGGCTTTCAGATTCCAGTCAGTCCAGAAGATGAAGTCGTCGAACACGGTGATGGCGAAAACGTGGGGCACCGCGGACCCAGAGAGAACTTTGCGTCTGTTGTGACCTTCCAAGTCGGCGAACGCGATGTAGTCCAGGTGAGCGTCGGCGTAGAAGATCCTGTCGGTGAAGTAGTCGATTGTCAGGGCGTTCGGCCAGGCTATATCATCCTCCCAAGTGAGGATCCTCGTGAAGTTACTGCCGTCCATTCCCATCTTGCCTATGTAAGCCTACGAAAATTCAAAGAATCATTTCAATACTAGAAGAAACGTTATAATTATATTTTAATATATATTAATATACTGTATATATTTCTAGTGAGTAATATATATACTGAGCATATAATTATTTATATTATAATTATATCATATTATAACTCAATATAATTATATAGTATATTTCTCACAATAATATAATTATATAGTAATTTCTCACAATCTCAGAGTTAATTGTAAGATTACCTGAAGGTGCCATGAGGTGAAGTACAAGTACCCCGTGCCGGGATGAACAACGATGGCACGTGGATCGGCTATGCCAGTCAACAGAGTCTTTCTATTGGTGCCGTTTAACTCGGCAACGTCCAAATGTTTGGCGTGTCGGTCGAGCCAGTACAGCTTTCTGCCTACCCAGTCAACCGCTATCCCTTCCAAACCAAGGCTGTCGTGCCTGATAATTGCTTCTTTCTCTCCTCCTGCAATGGGCGCTCTACGCAAGAAAAATTATCTACGATAAGATCCTCGTCGCTTTTCGCCTCGCTCGACTTATTTATTTCTTAATAATAAATGGATAATCCTTATTCTCACGCCGATTAATTCACCTGAAAATTGTCTTGGCAGTAACGTCGCAGAAGTAGAGCATCTGCTCGTTGTAGTCAGCGTCCAACGCGACAACGTTGATGAGATCCTGATGCATCAGGCTATAGTTGGAAGCGTCGATGGACATGTTCCTAACGTAGTACTTGTTGGTGAAAACGAGCCAGGGTAAAATGTTGTCCCTTCGTTTGCACGTGTGCTCGTCGGCAGCGCGTTCGTACCAGTAATAATTACACTTGCAGTAGAAGCTCCCCGGTGTGTTCTGACACTGCTGGCTGCACACCTGCGGCGTCTCCGTACACTCGTCTATATCTTCGCAAGCCTTCCCATCGTCCAGAAGCCTGTATCCCGGATTACACTCACAATAGTAACTCGTTGGCGTATCGACACACTTGTGGGAGCATTGGTTCATTTCCACGAGGATGCACTCGTCTATGTTACAGTGGGCTGGCTCGTCGCTCTCGTCTGCACAGTCTGGTTCCTTGTTACAGACCAACTGCTGGTCGATGCAGTTCCCGTTCGCGCACATGAAGTCTCTTGGATTTGGACAGGTCGTGTTCTTCACCTTTGGTGCTGCAAATTAAAGAAGAAGCAAGTCAATACGTTATTAAACATAGCCGGCAAAATTTAGTTTAACTTAAACGGTAAGTAAAGGGTTTATTTAATTTATATCTTTTATTTACTATTTTATAATTAATAATCAAAAGAATTAGCTCCATCTCGATTTTGATGAAGGAGTTTAAAGCGTTATTTAATTATTATTATATTATTATTAATAATTATCTGAAATGAATAATATTTTGAATTTCAGGATTTTAAAGGCTCCTTTGTATCTCGTGGAAAAGAGAGTTCCTATCAAAATATTGAACTTTGAGAAATTGACTTTTGGCTGCTAAAAACTTGATCGTTGCCAAAGCTAGTGAACAATATGTAAAAAATCAACTCACGGCATCCATCTTCGTCAGAGTGGTCGCCGCAGTCGTCCTGGCCGTCGCAACGATACTGCTCCCTGATGCACTTGAAGTTGTGGCAGGTGAACTCCTGGCTGGTGCACGGCTTGTACCTGGAGTTGCAGAACTTGCCTTCGTCGCTGCCATCGCCGCAGTCGTTGTCGTGGTCGCACAGCCAGTTCTGATTCAGGCAGCGGCCGTTGTTGCAGGTGAACTGGCTCTCGGCGCAGGGCGTCGGCGTTGGACAGTGGTGCAACGTAACGTTCTCGTCGGCTCCATCCACGCAGTCAGGGTCACCGTCGCACAGCCACTTTCTCGGTATGCACTGCGCCCTGTTCCACATCTTGTTCGCGGTGCAGGTAAACTCCGTTTCCTCGTCGCACTTGCGGTCGTTGCATTGATGACGCTCGTCCTCGTCGGACCTGTCCAAGCAGTCGTTGTCACCGTCGCAGATGTAGATCCTCGGTATGCAGTTGCCATTATCGCAGGTGAATAAGTCACCGAAACAGGTTCTGCCCTCTGACTGGCAATAACCAGGTGGCTCGTCGCTACCATCCAAGCAGTCGTCGTCCCCATCGCAGTACCAAGTGGCCGGGATGCACCTATGATTCGGACACCGGAAGGAGCTCTGAGGGCATGTTCTCTGGGCGCAGTGCAATGGATTCTCGTCGCTGTTGTCACCGCAGTCGTTGTCACCGTCGCAGAGCCAGTACGGCTCCACGCATATGTTGGTTTTCTCGCACTTGAGGTGATTCGGTGGGCAAGTGGTGTTCCTGGGGCAACGTTCGTGGGTCTCGTCCGAGGTGACGTTGTCCTTACAGTCGTTGACGCCGTTGCAGACCTGCGACTGAGGTATGCAACGATAGTTGGCGCAGGTGAACTCGCCGGGGGCGCACGGTGGGTAGATGCAGCCGTCTTCGTCGCTACCGTCGCGACAGTCGTTCTCGTGGTCGCACTTCCACGTCTTGAAGATGCACCTGCCGTTGTTGCACCGGAATTCGTTCGGGCTGCACGAGTGGTAGGAGCAGTAGTTAGTGTCCTCGTCGGAGCCATCACCGCAGTCGTCGTCGCCGTCGCACGCCCACATTCTCGAGATGCAGTGACCGTTTCTGCAGGCGAATTTGTTCAAGTCGCAGGTTACATTCTTCGGCACGCACATCCGGTCCTCGTTCACTAGCCTGCTGCTGTCGTCGCACTTGCACTCGGCCGAGCCGTTCAAGCCCGGATGACAGGACTGGTCGCAGCCGCCGTTCGATATGTTACACGGATTGACCTTGCACTGTTGCCTGGCCGCCGAGTAGATGTGCAGGTCCCTCGGCGAGTCTTCCAGACGTTTCACCAGCTCCACCTTGTTCGCGCCGGTGTGCTTCTCCGCGCGATAGACACCCCTCAATTGAAGATCCGTCCAGAAGATGTACTCGCCGAAAACTGTTATAGCGAATGGGTATATCGTGGCGGAGACGAGAATCTGGCGGCCGCTTCCGTCCAATTCCGACCGCTCTATCTTCTCCTTGACCGCGTCGGTCCAGTAGAGCATGCGATCCTCGTAGTCGATCGCCAAACCACTTGGCTGAGAAAGATTTTTGTCTATAACAGCTCTCTTCAACGAGCCAGCCATCGTCGTTCTGAAGATCTTCCCGGATGTTCCAAACCGGCCCCAGTCGGTGAAGTACAGCGACCCGTTACAGGGATCGACCACTATCGCTCTAGGCCTGTCCACTCTGGCGATCATCACGAGATTCGACCCGTCCAGGTCCATCGCGTAAATGCTGTTGTTGGAGGAGTCCGTCCAGTAGACCTTCTTCTGCGTCCAGTCGTACGAGATGCCCTCGGGATTGATCCCTTTGCTGATCAACGTGTGAATGTCGGACGAGGATGGACTATCCGCCTGCATCCAGGCTATCTTCGCCCATGGCCTGATCTGCGTGAACAGCAGCTTCTTGTCCTGATAGTCGAAGTCCACGCCGACCACGTTCGTCAGATTTCCAACCGAGTTGAACGGCACGCTGGTGTTCTGCGGGTCGAGGCCGATCGCTCTGATCTCCGTCCTCGTGGCGAACACCAGATACTCCTCCATGCTCTCACAGTTTTTGCCATCCGCGGCCAGCTTGCCGACTGCGCACTCGCATTTGAACGGCACCGAGTTCTCCTTCGGCATTGCGAAGCACAGCTGCGAGCAGCCCGCGCTCCCTCCTGGCGACGAGCAGGGGTTCGTCGGGTCCGGCGGCTGACTCTTCTCGTCGAATATGACGATGTCTCGTAATTTAGGAAGGTTCGATCTCACCGTTGTCGGCATGCTCGTGTCGCCCTGCTTGCTCGCCTTGTACACCGTGGCCAGGTTCCTGTCCACCCAGTAGACGTCGTTCCCGTAAATCGCCACGCCCATCGGGTTCGGTAAGTTTCGCCTGATGATCTGGCGATTACCACCGGTGTACGAGACTTTCTGAATGGTGTCTTGCTTCGAGTCCACCCAGTAGACGTCGTGGGTAACGGGGTCGATGGTTATGTCGCGTGGTGTGCTGATCTCGGACGTGACGATTGGCATCCAGTTGCTGCCGTCTAGGTAAGCCTTGCCCAGTCTCGGGTACTGTCCGTAATCTATCCAATAGAGGTACTTTTTGATGGGATTCACGGCCAGCTCCCTGGGTGAATCCGTCGTCTTCTTCACCAAGATCTTCCTGTTGCTGCCGTCCAGCTTGCACACTTCCACGTAGTTGTCGTGGGGGAAAACGTTGGTGAAGTACATGTTCTCGGCTACCCAGTCGATAGCCAGGCCCCTGATGCCGTTCGAGCCAATTCCCTGTTTTACGATGTGCTGCAACTCTGTGCCGTTAGGTCTGATTCGGAATATCCCGTTCCACATGCCGCGGTTGAACTCCACCCAGTAGATCCAGTTGCCAGAGCTGTACACGTCCACGTGGAGAATGTGGTGGCCGACACCGGCGATAGGTACCATCGCCTCTTTCGCGTCCTTCAGACTGTAACCCCTATATAATTTAAATTAATATAATTTAATAATAATAAAGTTTTATAATAAAAATATATTATAGTAATAATTAATAATATTAACACTAGAAATACCAAAGTGACCAATTTGTAATTTCTATTAGATATTTTATAGACGCAATCACACTGTATTTTTAAAGAATTTAAATAATTTTTTGCAAAATATACAAACGAAAGCTTGCATACATTGTATTATTATAAAGTTTCTTTATTTTTTTGACTTTGATGTCTCTGATGGAAATTTTATGTTTCAGTCCTCGGTAGTTCTAGTGTTAACAGTTTAAAGTAATGAAAATGAATTTTTTTTAAAATAAATAAGTAAAATATATTTTGTACCCTTTGTATCAGGATTAATTAATATATTTTAATAATTTTAATTATCTTGGAAATAAATGATCTAAATATATATACATATATTTTTTGTAAAATAAAAAAAATAAATATACATTTAGAAATTAAATGTTTATCATATTTATTAATAGCTAGTTTTTTTTAAAAATAAATTTAATTTACTATTATTTATATTACATATATTAATAAATATGACAAACATTTAATTTCTAAATATATATTTATTTCTTTTATTTTACAAAAAATATATATATATATATATATATATATATATACCTGGCCACGTCCAGCTGAGTGACAACCGCGAACGTTTTAAACGGCTCGCATGCGGTGTCGGTGACTTTGCGATACTCCATACCGCAGGCACAGACTCTAGTGCCACCTGAGGCCGGCAGGCAGATCTGCTCGCAACCGCCGTTGTTCACGAAACACGGGTGATCGCCAGTGACCCGTTTCTTGTAAATGGTCAGCGTCTTCAGCTCGGAGTCGTTGTCGATTATCGTCGTTGGATCGTCGCCGTCGGGCAGGTCCAACCTCTCGATTTTGTCGTACTTTGGATCAAGGAGGTACAGCTTGTTGTCGTGAACGGCGAGCGCTTTCGGCAACGCTATGTTCTTCGAGACGATGATCCTCAGGTTTCGTCCGTCTGTCGAGACAGCCATGATCTGAGCCGGGTACAGCGAGCTGAAGTAAATGGTCTTGCTGGGTATGTCGATGGTGATTGCCTCCGGTTTCTCCACTTTGTCCACCAACACGATCGGGTTCGTGCCGTCCATGTTCACCCTGCCGATCTTCATCGGAATACCGAAACTGCCGTCGTCTATCCAGAATATGTGACCCTCCAGTGGATCCACGCACATGGCCTTGGGCTTGGCCACGGACGTCTTGTTGCCGTTGTTGACCAGCACTATCGTTCTGTACCTTGCCTTGCCGTCCACCTTGATCGCCTCTATGTTGGAAGCGTATCTGTTTCCTATGAATATGTTCCTCCCTAGCCAGTCGAACGCCATCGCGGACGGCGCACCGATGATTCCGCTGTCGCCGAACGGATTAGGGAACTCGGTTCTGTTGCCGCCGTTGTAAGCGGTCGTGTAAATGGTCCCGTTCTCGTCGTCGTCGTCCTTCGTCTGCAGCCAGTAGATCATTCTCTCCCGCCTGTCGAAGTCTATGAACTTACCTCCCTCGACACCGACCACCGGAGTTATGTAGCCGGTCTTCGTGCTCCCTGGTATCAGAGACACGTCGATGATCTGAGAACCTCTCAGTACCATCAAATAGGGCACCTCCTCCTCCGCGCACTGGCCGTTGTACTGCAGCTTGAATCCAACCTGACACTTGCAGGTGTAGCCCTGGGGATTCGTCGGTGACAACAGGCACAGATGAGCGCAGCTGGCGTTCGCGCAGGGATTTGGAGTGACCGGTTGCAGGACGGGATGGTTGACGTGTATCGACAGAGGCTGGGATATCAGGTGAGACACCACCGTTTGATTAACACCGTAGAACTTGTGAGCCGACAGCACTCGGTTCAACTGCCTGTCCGTCCAGTACATGGTGTCCTCGAACAAGGTCAAGGAGTGAGGATGAAGCAGATAGTGGGAACCAGCCAGCACCTGAATCCTCTTGGTACCGTCGTACAGGCAGGTGTCGATGAAGTCGAACTTACTGTCCGCAAAGTATATCCGTTTGTTCGCTATGTCCAAGGCGAGACCGTTCGGCCAATAAATCTTGGTGTTGATGATGGTCGACCTGTTGGTGCCGTCCATGCCGATCCTCTCGATACGGGGATTCTCGCCCCAATCTGTCCAGAAGAGCCACCTAGCCCCAGGACTGGGGTCCAAGCACATGCCTCTCGGCTGAGTGATGTTCTCCTTCACCAATATCATCCTACTCGCGCCCGTCTCCTTGGCCACCTCGATAGTGTTCAACTTGGAGTCCAGCCAGTACAGGTTCTGGCCAATCCAGTCGTAAGCAAGACCCTCCACCAGGTCCAACCCGGTTGAAATCACGTCATCGGGATCGCTGTTTCTGTCCAGTCGGGAGATCTTCTTCAGTTTCATGTCCGACCAGAAGATGGTGCCCGTGTGCATGTTACTAGCGGTCGCGACCACGTTCTCCACCGTGATCGGCACTCTCTCCAACGCCTGCTCCTGAAGATCCGACACGAGGATCGTGTGCCTGTTTGATATGATGAGGAACGCGGCGCTGCGATTGAACGCCTTGCAAGTGTGCTTGTCCTTCTCCAGTATGTAACCGTCCACGCAGTTGCAGTAGTATCCGCCTTTGATGTTCACGCAGACCTGAGAGCAGCGGCCCGGGGGATCGCACTCGTTCACATCCTGGCAAGCGTAGCCATCCTTGCTCAACTCCTCCCCCGGTGGGCACGTGCACTGCTTACCAAGGGGCGTCTGGATGCAGTCGTTGCTACAGTAGACACCTCCGTGCTTGCACTCTTGGAAGTCGCAGGCCGGGCCTTCGTCCGCGCCGTTCGGACAGTCGAACTTACCGTCGCAGACGCTGGTTATGTTCACGCACCTGTCGGTCACATTCGGGCACTTCCACTGCTGGGAGTCGCATTTGAACTCGGGCGCGGTGCATGCGTGCAGCTCGGTGTCCTCGTCGGACCCGTCGCCGCAGTCGTCCTTCCCATCGCAGATGTACGCCTTGAACACGCACCTCTCGTTGCGACACTTGAAGAAACCCGGCTGGCAGCCCACCTGGCCGCAAGAGGCTGGCTCGTCAGACCTGTCCGGACAGTCCGCTGTTCCGTCGCAGTACCAGCTCCTCGGGATGCAGATCGCCGAGCTGACGCACTGGAACTGCTTGTCGGTGTTGCATTGATCCGGCGCAAGTGACGGACAGCCGACCTCGTCGCTACCGTCGTTGCAGTCCGATATACCGTCGCACTTGTACGAATCGAGGACGCACATCTTCTGATCAGCGCAGGTGAATTGAGTGCTGAGACAGGTAACCGGCGGGCAGTCCATCTCGTCTTGCTGGTCGAAGCAGTCGTTGTCACCGTCGCATACCCACGAACGTGGTATACAGTGGCCGGATCTCGGACAGGTGAATTGGAAGTAAGTGCAGGTCTTCGCCACGCAGAATTCACCTTCGTCGGAGCTGTCGCCGCAGTCGTTCTCCGAGTCGCACTTCCACGTGTTCGGTATGCATCTGTTGTTGGCGCAGGCGAACTGGTTGGCGCTGCAGGTCACGTTCGGACAGCCGGTCTCGTCGCTGTAGTCCCCGCAGTCGTTCTCCGAGTCGCAGAGGAAGCTCATCGGTACGCACCTGCCCGACTTGCACTGGAACTCGTTCGGTGAGCAAGTTGGTTTCGTGCAGTTTCGCTCGTCGCTGTTGTCCAGGCAGTCGTTCTCGCCATCACAGACCCACGCATGCGACACGCACCTCTGGTTCGCGCAGGTGAAGTCCCAAGTATTGGGACACGCCTCGAGCGGCGGTTCGGCTTCTGGATCGGGCGCGCAAGTTTTTCCATTCGCCTGGATACGTTCGCCATAGGGGCAGCCGCAGACTTTCGTTAGCCTGGCGGTGCCATATCCGTTGGTGTTGTTTTGGGGGATGGCGAAGCACAGTTTCTCGCATCCGCCGTTGTCGATGAAGCAGGGGTGATCCGACAGAGAGACCTGAATGTGGCGACTGTACACTTTCACGCCGTAGAGCCTGTTTGTCTCTGGTTGGCGCACGAGAATACTCTCCTGCTCTCCGGTCTCTTTGTGTAGTCGAATAATCGCGTCCAGTCGCCAGTCGGTGATGTACATCCACTGCTCGTGAATCGCCATGGAGAACGGATGTCTGATCAGCCTAGAGCTAACCGTCTGCACGTCGGTGCCGTTTAAATTCGAATGCTGCACGTGATCCAGAAGAGCGTCGCACCAGTACAGCCTGTCCTTCGCGAAATCGATGGCCAAGCCGTTCGGCCAGCCCAATGTTAGATTTCTGAAGACCACCAGGTTCGAACCGTCGGTGTAGGCTCTGCTGATGTTCGCTGGTCTGTCCCACTCGGAGAAGAAGATGTATCCTTGATTAGGGTGAATGACGATAGCCCTCGGACGTTTCAAATTCTTCAACAGTGTTCTCCGGTAAGTGACGTTCCTAGTGCTCAGTACGTTCAGCGTGCCTTTCCTCGAGTCGATGTAGTAGAGATTCTTGGCGGCCCAGTCCACCGCCAAGCCTTCCACGCCTTCGTTTTGACTAGCCAGCACCGGCTCCCGGCCAGTGCCGTTTTGACGAACCCGGTAAATCACGTCTTGCAGAACGTCGCTGTAGTAGATGTACTGGTCGTGCGCGTCGTAGTCGAGACCGACGAACCTGGCCCTCCTGGAAACCACGGGCGATATGGCGTCGCTGAATCCCTCCATCACCGGATCCAACACTCTGCCTTTGATGAATCTCTGCTGCGAGTACATCAGAAACTCCTGGACCAAATTGCAGTTTCTCTGGTCGCTGGACAATCTCCAGCCTATGTCGCAAGCACACCGGTAACCGAGCCTGTTCTCCTGGTCGCTGGCTGCGGTCACTATGCACATGTGTTGGCAGCCACCGTTGTTGTTCCCGCAAGGATTCGACACCATTGGCTGCATCAACGGGTGCAGAGCTTTTATAGCCTTCGCGTCTCTCATTTTGTAGACAGTCTGTATGGAAGTGTCGCCCTCCGTCTTGTCCACGCTCATGATGGCTTGTTTCGTCCCGTCTGTCCAATAAATTGTGTTCTCGAACAGCGTCAGTCTCGTCGGAGAGGGTGTGTGCGGACCTCTGAGCACCATCACTCTGTTTCTGCCCAAGTAGTCGGCGGTCTCGATGTAGTCCAATTGGGAATCGCACCAGAAGATCCTCCGGCCGATCACATCCACTGCGATGCCGGATACTTTGTAAGCTGCCTCGAACACGATCGGGAAATCCGCGGTTCCGTCCATGTTGGCTCTTAGAACTTGTTTGCTGTCGGCGATGAACATCAAGCCCACTGTAGGATCCAGGCCAATATCCGCTGGATTGGTCAGGTTGGAGCTTAACGCGATACCGTGAAACCTTCCGTCCAACTCGTGCACGTCGATCTTCTGCACCGACGAGTCTACCACGTACAACTTCTCTCCTATCCAGTCCACCGCGAGAGCGACTGGCCCCCACGAACTCGTCGACGATATGGTGGTCCTGGAGCTCGACCCTTCGCCGTTCAATGGTTCCGAGTGCACTTTCTTCGTCTTCACATCGCTCCAGAAGAGCAAATCTCTGGAGTAGAGGTAATCCACTCCGCTAGCGCCGGTAGTATTGACGACAACGTTCCTCTCTTCGTCGCTGGCGGACATTCTCCAAACCGCCCTTTCCTGAGCGACCAACAGCTCCAGTTTCACACCGGGACGTTGCTCGGCCCTGCACTTGTTCCGTGCCTGCAACGTGAAGCCTAGCGCGCAGCTGCACGTGTACGACCCCTCCGTGTTTTCGCACAACTGCTCGCAGAAACCCCATTCCGAGCACTCGTCGCGATCTGTGTGTGACGAGACGACGACGGTAAGCTTGTACAACAGTTCTCTGTACATTTTTTGTAAAGGGACATTGATGTACCTATGCAAGTCGTTGAGTCGTTCGCGAGGATCCAGCCGGGGGGACAGTAGCAAACACCTCCTGTGGGAGACGCCCGACACTTGTAGCGACACGCCAACGAGGTGCATATCACCGACGCTGTGGACGAAAGAAGACAACAGTCACGAGGTAGTATTTATTTATTTATCAATCCGAGCATTCGAAGCAAGGAAAGAGTTGGAATTCTATAAAGATTCATACCTGATCTGAAGGATCCACATTTTAGCACGTCAGAAATTAAAGCAGACATTTTTGTCAAAAGACTCGTTGTTAGTGAGTAGGTACACAGAACAACACAGGTACAAGTACATCTTTTGATTACTGTGCATGCCTATATTTTTACGATATATATTTGCATTGCTTCTAATAGAAATAACCACAATCAGACTGTCTCTTGCCTCCTGTTTGTTGCCACGTGTATCAATTCTGAATTGAAAATCGTCAAAGATTCTCATGGGGGACACGCGTTACTTACAACAGGTAGCTTCTTCGTCTGCTTTGTCTTCGCAGTCAGACTTTCCGTCGCAGATCTGAGACCGATCAATGCAAAGCGGCTTGCCATCGGGTGTTCCCCTTGGACACACGAACTTGTTCACAGGGCAAGTGGTGGTTGTGCAGGACTTCTCGTCGGATCCATCCTGGCAGTCCTTGTAACCATCGCAAACGTAGGATCTTGGTATACAAAGTGAATTCGCGCAACGGAACTGATTAATCGCGCAGGGTTGGAAGTCTGAAAGTATGAAACTTCAGTAATTCTCCTCTGCTAACAAGCCTACGTTTAGAAAAGAAGAAAACCCGTGTGCTTTTAAATTTAATACACTTTTATTCATTCTCAAAGACACTCCAAGACTGAAGACTTTTCTCTGTACTTAAAGATACAAGTACCAAACTTAGGGTGGAGTAGAAAAACATTTTCAAGCTTGGAAGTCCTCTGATTGTAAATTGACGTTCAATCTTTATTATATGCAGATCTCTGGATGAAATTATTTTCCGATAAAAGAAAAAGAAACGGAAGAAATGAACTCTGGAACTTGGGGAAAAAAAAGAAACGAACGTCGGACGCAAAAGTGAGACGTACTGCAATTCTCCTCGTCGCTATTATCTCCACAGTCGTCCTTGTAATTACACCTGGCTGATTGTTCAATGCAACGCTGCGTGGAATTACACCTGAACTGATCCAACCTGCAGGCTGGTTTCGCGTTGTTCTCGCATTTCTCCTCGTCCCGGCCGTTTCGACAGTCCAGATAACCGTCGCATTTCTTCTCTTTCGGAATGCAGAGCTCGGGTGTCGAGCCACCGCACCGGAAGTCATCCGGCTGGCATTTCCTGTAACCTTTTCGACGTTTGTAATTAATAATCTCCGACTTGGTAATTTCTCTGGTCATTTATATGACATATGACAGCGCGAAACGAATTTTACAATGCAATCTTCTTTCGTTTCTCTCCCTCCACGCTTCTTTTGCGAGACAAACAAATGATCTGCATAATCTCTCGCGCGCGGTGACAATGTGCCGATGCGTATCTTCCACTATTACAGCACTGTAACTCCATTCGCGTTATATAAGAAATCTCTGTCGGCTCTATCTCGATGGAAACAAAAGATTATGTCGCTTGAAAAATTAAAAGTTATCCAAGTTGTTGTATCTGATTGTAGTGTTTGTACTTTTCACGATATAAGTAAACAGATGTACTCACTGCAACCAGCCTCGTCGGTTCCATCGACGCAATCGACGGTCATGTCGCATCGTTGATGGGGAGGTATACAATAAGTCTTGTTAAAAATATACTGGCCGCAAGTAATCTGACCAGCCTCACAGTCTGGTGGTGCTGCAAAACAAATTCGTTTCGTTAAGTCCCCTTGAACTTGTCTGTCATTTCTTTTCCACTGAAACAGTAGAATTCTATTTCAATGAATTGTGCTTTTCACGAATTTGCATTTCCTACTATACTACATTTGCTGTTTAATAATAATAACGTGCTTTTAATGAAGCAACGTTAGTGATATCGCTGCAATTCTGATTTTACGCTTTAACGAACGCAAACAAAACGCACAAAGATAAGATTGATCCCATCTGTATCAAAACGGGTACATAGTCAAATATTGATCATTAAACATTGTCACGCCAGCAAGTGACAATAACACTGTTTCAGAAATAACGAAAGAGCGCAGAGAGTTATATGGTTTTTTTGTAAAATAACATTTACAAATTGATAGCATTTAGTTATAAAATAAAGTAATTATAAAATAAAGTCAATTGAATTTCGGACAACAGACTGACAAACAATTTGTAATTACGTAAACTCGTGAATGGCGCTTAAATCATCACGAGGAACAAAAGAAAAACCAACACGATTACGTAACGGGAGGAGGCGGGAGGGGGGGTATCGAAAATAATAGTAGACGTTCGTTGAGCACATTTTTTTCCTTCAAGTCGCGCCGGAAGTGCACCGAAGAGGATTCAAATCTTCCTTCCGGAAGCGCTTCTCTCGTCGATCGTGATTCTTCCATCCGTTGCAAATAAAACCGGACACGGTTGTTTACAAATCGCCACAACAAGTTGAAAGCTCTCCTCCCACGAATCTTCCCGTTTGCTCAAAATTCTCGAACAAGCTTGGACGAATTGGAGGTTCCGTCAGGTCTCACGGAAATACTTACTGCACGTTTGGAATTCATCTTCCGCGCTCTCGCAATCTTTTTGATAATTGCAGACTAAAGCAGCCGGTATGCAGCTGCCGTCGAGACATCTAAAGCTATTGACACCGCAGTTGCTGCTAGAAGCTATAAAAAAAGCAAACAGAGAAAGTACTATTAGTCGTCGATCGTACGTTTAATCATTATCATTTATAATTACTACTGTCAATACCAATCTTAAAATGTAAGATTAATCACAAAATTCTGTAGTGTAATTATGTCTCTTTATCTTCGACCAGTTTTCTATTCTTTCTTTAACGAGAAGATATTTTTAAATCTTACACATCTTCTTCAACGAAATAACGATGAGTTAATTCTTCAGATTTCCGTTTCCAGTGGCGGAAGTAAAATTTAGAAGAGAATCTAGCAATCAAAATGGAGAAAAATTCACTGTCCAATTAGAGAAGAAATTTCACACTTGGATCAATGGATTGAAGGGAGAAGCTCTCCAATATCTTATCTTCCAAAAAAAGAGAGATTCTTTGTTAATTAGTAAAGTAATAATTCTAAGTCGTTCAACTAACAATTTAACAAATAAGAATACAATTCATGGAGATAGAGGTCGAAAATTGTTAACAAGCATGGGTGATCTGAAACTAACGAGTTAAAAGAAAAAAGAGGGAAAAAACAGGGAACATTCGTGACTTGATGAAACGACATATCAATGGCGTGATAGGTGAAAGGTTCAAATGGATGCTGGCAGTTCTCTCTGATCGAGATACACATTTCTCTGATCGTTTTTCTCCGCGAAACGTTTTTCTCTTGCGGTTCTCTTTCTCACTCGTGAGACACGAAAGATTCTTCTTCTCCTCCTGAACGTTTCGTACCGCCAGGAGAAGCAGGACGATCAAAAGAAAAAAATTACAACGTTCAATTCGTGAATAAATCCCTCGGATTTGTAGATAAGATATACAAGATCCAGGCTCCGAATGAAATCAAAGACCTGCTATGGTAATTATACTCCGTGATGAGCGTATACTGCGCAATGCATGGAGGAAGTAGCCTGGCATAATATCATAGATTAGGTCGCGCGTTCCCTTTGGCTAGAAACAATTGAAAAAAAAAATAATCAAAAAATAATCACTGTTTCTTACTTTAATATCGGAGTATAAACAGCTAATTATCAGCGTGTTTGTGTTTAGATAAATTTAAAATAAGATAACTTAAATAAGTAAGGTAATTCAGACTGTTGTTACTTCAACGAAAAGAAATTATCCTTGACAAACAGTCAAAAATAGAAGCTTCGCGCTTTAAAACGAGACCAAGCAGATTGTTATACGATTTTTTTTTTCTATAACAGTTTAAATTATCGACAATGTTTCATTTAAATTAATTGGTGCAAAACAAACTCCACGAAAACGACTTGTATTTACGACAAAATAACGATGGTAAGACAAAGTTGTGAAATTTTTTCTTGCAACTCTACGTGCTTCGCTTTCTTTGTATTTTACATGCAAACGCTAAAATTTATTTATTTATGTTGAGAAATTCCATACGTGTGTAGAGGTCTGCGAATGTCACTGTGAATCTAGTTGTCTCACTTTGCGAAACGGTTTTTAATTTGATTTGCTTATTTGGGGCACGATGACTAATTTCGTTCAAAATGGAATCAGTTAAACGTTCGTTCCTAACTTTTCCTTAAAGAAAAGAGAGAGAGAGAGAAGAGTAAACAAAGTGAAGGTCTCGAATCTTTTCTTTCCTTCTTTTTTTCTCATTCAAATGGCTGACTTTCTATAAAATTTGTGGAACAAACCTGAGACAGGCTTTCCAGCGCATGAGAACAGGTCCCGTTCCCAGTGCACGTTGTACCTGTACCTACCAGCGATTATAATTACGAGAGTGCAATTACAAAATTTTAACCGAACGAGCCTCCACTGCTACGTGTTATCTAACTCCCTTTCTATCGTCTATTTCACGCTCCTTTGCAAAACTAAATTTAAACAAACGACTCTACGTAAAACTCCAAAGAAGTTGGCAAACCAAACGATTCAAAAGTTCGTTTCCTCAAGGCTAGTTTCGATTGAACCAATTAGTGGAATAATTTTCACAGCACAGTACAGAGTAATGAAAAAAAGGCATTGAGAACAGAAGGAGTGTATCACTCGTGGATGGAACGGGTAGAACCTCAGCCTTAGCTAGAATCGGTTATCTAGTACGTATCTACCTGCCGTATATGTGCATCCTTTCAAGGATAACACCAACAGGATGTTTAGCCTTTCTCGCGTTCGATGACGTACGCTCAATAATATTGGCTCTTACTGCCACAAAATTACAAGGACGTGTCGCCGTATAGGAATATCCTTCTTATATTCTCCTACAGCTCCTTTTTCTTCTGTTTCTTTTTTTCATCCCACGCAGTGTTTCCATCGTACGGTAAAAATTTCCATCACCCGATTATGCGACGCAATTTGTATCTACTTGTATCTCCGATAATCGTCACAAATTATGCTTATAAAAAAAAAAGAAGTTAAATTAATATTAATCAAGTACAATATATTGCTCATATTGTATTATTCATCTAGTTACTTTCTTTGTATTTATCGCTCCATGAATGTAGTTCAATCATTGATCCGTAATATGCCTGATAATTGGGATTTTACTGCACCTCTTCCTTTCTAAGATACAGAGATCCTTTGCACTAAAAGTCAATGAAAAAATGAAGAGAATCCCATCTTAGGACATCGCTGTATCAAATGGAAATTCAATAAAATTTTATTTTTTATTTCAGCATTTAATTCAGACGATGTCGATGATATCATCAATGTCACAGTTAATGAGAACCTGCGATTGTTTCTTTTTCTTCTTTTGTATGTATTCCGATTGGCTTGTAACATAATATTTATTTGTTCCCAATTGCTCTTTTAAAACCGTGAAATTCCTTCCCCTTCCACTGAGACTTCCGCTCTGATTGGGAACTTGGAGAGTACCAATTAAGGTTGTAATTTAATAATCCGAAAAGATCGACAGCAATTTTAATGAACGATATTCCAAGGACGTAAAACAGAGATAAAAGATATCAATGTTTTCGTTTCTCGCAATGATATCTGATCCGGAAGTGTTTTATTGTTCCTGGTCACGAAAACATCGAGCAACGTGTCCTTGGCGAGAAAATATGCGGTCCCTTGCGGAACCAAAAATGACATGTTCCACACAACGAACGTCTCTCGTTCGCAAAACGTTACGTAAATTTCCTGAATGCGGTTTTCAAAAAACCAAATCTCCGAACGTGAGGAATATCGCTAAACAAGAGAATGAAACGTTGTCAAACAAAGATAAGAGTAATCCCTTAATAATACAATTAGTTCAATTTATAACAAGGTCATTAACCCATTTGTACCACGAAAAATACGATACTACCAAGACAAACATAAATATCTCTTAATGTATCCAAATTTAATTTGGCTAAACTTGACAGATTTACTTTTTATTCTCCAGCTGTGTCGAATCCGCTTGAAAGTATTTCTTTGCAAAGCTGTCTTCCAGCACGGCGATCAAAAGATGATCGCAACAGTCCGCTCCTCTGCATTCTCGCGCGAGTTGTGAATTTTCTCATCTCCGTCGGCGTGCATCGTGAACAGAGGTGTGCTGTAGCGTCAACAGGAGAGACGGAGAAGCGTAATGTATCGGACCGAAACAAACACAGCTAAGGGGGTGACGGAGTGGAGGGGGGGGACAGTGCACCGCTCGTACCAGGCGGTGCGCCCTGGTACCGACAGCACGTCGGTAGACCCGGCCAGACTCAGCGAGACTCGATCAGGAATCGCGGAGGAGAGTCGAAGAGGGGAGCAAGCCCAGAGAAATGCACTCGCCTACCTTCGTTCCTTGCCACGTCTTTTTTTCTTTCTTTTTTTTTTCCTTTTTTCTTTGTACGATCCTCTCGTGACCTTCTCTACTCAACGGCCTCGTTAGACTCCTCATCAAGAAAATTACTAGCGAATTTTCATTACTTGCGAAGATTGAAACCTGGTGGAAAGTATTTTTTCATCTTTTTAAAATTGAAAAAAGAGGATTTCCATGGGAACGTGATAACTCTATTTGTAAATCTAATACTTCCAAATTTTTCTTACCCAGGCTCTGTGATTTTACATTGACGCAATAATAGTAAAGTAAATCCACTCGTGGATGATCTTGTAATTATACATTGAGCTTGTCAGTTAATCGCCCTTGAAGGAATGATTATTCACTTGCCTGGCACAAACGAGATTTTACGTTTACCGGAATTTATCCTAGAACTCCGGCCAGCGTTCAGATAAAGCGTTCATTGTTCATCAACGCTACAGTCGGCATGAAGCGACGAGGCTGTTTTTACACGTCTGTGAGGATCTCGATGATTAGAAATCACTTTCACTGGCTGTCTGATGTGAACGCGTATGAATAGCCACGCGTCTAATTACTCGGAGCCAATCTTGCAACGTTGTTGTTGCTGACCTGTTGCATTTTTCTTTCCTAATACGAGCAATATATACGTTTCACTATAGTATACAGTTACGATCGAGAATACAGTTCTTTTTATCGCAAAAATTCTTTCTAATATTTTCTTCCTTGACAATAATATACAAGCGCCACTGTTTGAATTCAATATCCATTTCGTCGATATCAATGTAGCGAACGATCGATGGTGTATTAGAAAAAATATAACGTCCTTCGTTGTCCCATTGCCGCTAGTTTTCCATGACTTCGGCCGTAAAAAGAGCTCGCGGAGACATTCGCTGCGAAAAAGGCTAAAACATAACTCCGGCTTAATAGCCGGTAATTTGCATCTACGACAGAATCGAAGAATTTCGACGTGTCGTATAACGGATGACCGATAAATACAGCCTTGTCCCGGTTCTATCATTCAATCTAGATTCCACGTGACCAAACAAAGAGAGAAAGACAACGATGACCCGAAATATGTACATGATGTACAATGAATATTTGAAACGAAGTGCGAACGTTCAACCTTAATTCCATGTCGCGCCGTCTTCTTCTCCATTAATGTAATCGCCCTCAGTGCCGATACTAATCAGATTACGCGTTCGAAATTATTCAGGAGGATAAATTTGATTGCTCGATCTCCAGATTCCATTTATTGCAACCGAGATTCCTCGTCGAACATCTGAAACTTCGTTGAACATTTTACAACCACAATCTGTATTTTCTCGAAATACTGGGAATTGCTTTGATCAAAAGAGTCACTATGTATATATATATACGCGTATACATATACATATACAGGGAGATTTGCAAATGTTTAAATTCAAAATGTACGGCTGCGAGTTTTAATGCAAATTTCGATGGTGAATGTCAACCATTACACGACGAATTAACATGTTGAAGATAAAAATATTTTATGAACATTTATATCGTAAAATCTTTATAAGAAATATTTAAGAATTATCTTTAAGAAAAACAATTTGTACTACCTGTGTAATATTACAGGTCAAAGGTTGCAACTTACTTTTTCATAGATGTAAAATTGATCACAAAATATTTTCATGAAAATGAAATTTTACATGTACGTGAAAAATTAAGCTGCGACGTTACACGGTCAAATATTTTTTTCTTAAAAATAATTTCGTTTATACATATATATATTTTAGGTTATGTTTTGGGTAAGTGGAAATCTTACCAGGTAAAAAGCATGACTTTAAATGGTACACTACAGATAAACACGTTCTTCCCACAACATTTCGCGTAATTCTTTTTGCAAAAATATCGTTGATACCTTTTACATTTCAACGACGACAAAAACGGAACAATAGTTCTTGTTCGACATGGTGTGGATTCGTACGTCCGCGCCTGTATTTAGCGTCACTTACGAAACTTTCAAGCACCTATGGGAAGAATTACTTTTCCTACAATATATTTATTTACTTTCACTTGTATATTACTTATATTTCACTTATATATATATATATATATACATATTTTTTTTTTATTATTCGCACAAATTCAAAGTAACGGATTTTTCAATTTTCATTTCAAATATGGCATCCCCCGTGGGGGCGGGAAACAATTTCATCGAAGTTCGTGGTTCTTCGCACAGATGTCGCCCGTGTAAAATCTGCCGCTTACAACAGTAATTGTATTCGCATTGGTGACGATTATAACAATTATTGCCCTGCAACAATAATTTCCACGCAACTGAAAGAGAACATTAAAAAATCAAAGGTCTGGTTAATTAGTTCTGAACAGATGATAAATATCTGTAACTTAAATATCTGTTTAAGTTCAAATAGGTGGCAGACGCGAATATCGCCCGGAGGGTGAAACGGCAGTGGAATACGTATTGCGAACAAATGCTGAAAGAAGCTCCCTTCACCCACGGTATTAATCCAACATTTGTCTCTCCATGGTCTTCTAGACTACAAGTACAAGTACAGTAGATACGAGCCGAACGGTTGAATGACACACCTATTACGCGCGTCTCGATCACCTACCAGTCGCCATCGTTCGTTGATCCGACTACACTCGCTCAAAAACTTTCGGCCCACGATACGCCTGAACCAACTGTCGTTACAACCGAATCTCAACGAAGTTTCTTCCTACAAAAATTCTTCCTCCTGTTTCCCTCATGTCTCGCTGTTCGTATCGTTTACTAGATTATAACTAAATTGTTTTTAGATTGTTGGGAGGTTATTCAAAATACGATCTATTGTATGAACGACTCCTAATGTTTTTGTTGCGACGGTTGTAAGGATGGAAGAAGCGGTTCAACGCTGTGGATAAAAAAGGAACACCGGCAACCTCACCGCACAACGAGGGCTTATTGCACGCTCGTTCCAGTTCCAGCCGTCATAACGCGGTGAACTTCCTTTCGTTAAAGCTGATTCCGCTTTGCAAAACTAACATCGTTAGTCTTCGATGTTCCTCCTCCTCACTGGAATGCAAAGTGCAAGTTTTGCTCTTTAGTCTCACTCAGTTGAGGCTGAGACACCTTTCTAACAAAGCAAAGGAGATACTATCCTTAGGAGACACTATAGTTACTATACGATACTACAGTTACAACTTGTTACCATTGGCGTTCATTGAGAAGTATAGTACAACGTTATAACTAAGTACATAGTACAACGTAATGACCAATGTAAATATTTCAGATATAGTAATGTATAATACGGTGTTTTTAATTGTAACGGTATTATATTTTATATTACAGGGAATGCAGTAACACAGCAGGAGTGTCCGATTATACTAAACTTTGGGAAACATGGCCCGTAAATTAGAAAGGAGGAGTGATCCAGCGGCTCGAGGAAAGCCAAGAATCTCGAGTAGAGACAACGCGAGGCAACTATTCACATTCTTTCTCGTTGATATTCTTCGATCGTGGCTTCGATGCGCCTTCCTAAAGGTTTCCAGGTCGTCCGACACGATTCACATTTACGATTGACTCCTACGATGGTTAAGTTCGTAGCTGTCCTTTTACGTTTTGCTATTTCCTAATGGCAGGATGTTCTTATAGAAGGATGTAACAACGATTGTAAACCATAGAAGCGAGGAGAAGCTGCGAAAATTAAATTCCATAATTCGTGGGAAACTAAATCGATAACGTATAGAGCACTGATTTTCCATAGCAAGTGCCACTTATTTTTATTTTGTAAAGATGAAAATTCCTGAACTTGTTAGTTTGTATTCTCATGAATTATTAATGTCCGTGACGTTTCTTTTTTACTACTACAAAAACATTGCCGAACGAAATTGAATCGTGAGAGTTATTAAATCGTCAAAGCCGAGTGCTTCAATTAGCGCTCGCTGAGGATAAATAATGGAAATAGGATGAACAATCAAATGTCTCTGCTGTACGTGCGTTTGCTGAAAGTTGACATAGAGGGAAAATAACAGATAAATCATAACTAGCCGGGACGGGCTTCGCGCACGCTGACATTAAGAAATGCAATTCAGTCGACAGCAATCCAGAACCGCTAGATTCGAGCTCTCTCATAATATCCCCAATGGGTGAAAGTTGTAGTTTCCCACGCGATCGACCTGCAGACGAATCAATGGGATCTCTTGTACTTTTATCCCCTTTGTCCGACGCGCTTATTCAATCGTTCATTCAACCTTGTATTTACTTGCTTATCACGCGCACAACCTATCGATCAATTACACGCGGTTCGTACTAATCAACTGTCCATTTATCATTTAGCTCGGGGCATTTAATTGATCAGTTACCCGTCCGTTCGGATAAGAATCCATTTAATATAGTTTTACGTTCTGAATGATTACAGACCATCCGTATTACTGTTCCAGCCAGGCGTATCTATCTGAAAAAAAATATCGTGTCGATTGTAAACGTAAAGTAAATCATCCTCTTTCGATTCGCGGGAGTTCTCCCCGTTCGAAATGAGCGCGCAACACGCGGCCGACACCACGCATGCGCGGCCTGAATTTTCAAACGCTGTTCACTCGAAAATGCAACGGTCTGCGGAAACACTTTCACCAGGACTTTCGCGGGAACGTCTATTTTACTTGATAATTTCGATTACATGTCGTGACAAAAATAGTATATCTTTCAGGATCCAAAAACATCCTGAGACAAAGAAAGAGAGAGTTAATCTAACCTCTTTTTCTCTCTCGCCGGTTTCCAAAAGACCGGCAGTCGCAACGAAGTCGATATCACCACACGCAACATAGAAACAAAGAAACAAGGATGTCGAGAAGGGAAGGAGGAGGAGGAGAAGAAGGAAGGTGTAGAGAAGGCAGAAGGAGAATCGGGGAGGTATGGTCCCGCTATCCGATCGGCCGCTAGGCCGAGGCCAATGAACTTGTGGTTCGCCTACCGACTTTACCTGCCAGCCTCAAACCTGTCAACCTGGCTCCGTTCTGTAGGTATCGACCAGGATATTTCGCCTACGATAGCTCTCTGCCACGAAGCATTTCTCACGCGAATTACCATTTTGTTACCAATTACCAGTTTAAACATTACAAACTGGTTGAGGTTAGTTAACCAATATGGGAGTTCGTGTCTTAATGTCTTCAACTATTTCAAAAATATCAGGATTTGGGGAAACTTGCCGAAAAACTACACCAGTTTAGATTTTGGTAGACTTTTCTGTATGTAGATTTTTCCTAACCATTTCAGTTTAATGTACAGAAGCCCAAAATCACTACCTACTGTAACTTTTTTATTGTATACTTTTTAAAATTTTTTTTACAGATTAAAGTACACG